GGAAGATAGATAATGATGAGCATTTAACAACCGGGGCTTGGTCCACCACAGCCGGGGCTTGGGGCGGGGAGAAGGTGGAGTAGCCCGTGTAGTATGGCATCCCGTGACCCACCTGCGGGTTAGAGAGGGTTAGGCCACGAAAAGTAGTTCAATATTAGCGGAAATGACCGGCGCTTTGACCTCTATGACCGGGGAGTGAGGCGGGGAGAAGGTGGAGTAGCCCGTGTAGTACGGCACTCCGTGACCCACCTGTAGGCTGGGGAGGGTTAGCGCAAACGAGAAGGTTAAAGTGAGCAAACCAATTGGGGCTTGGTCCACCACGGCCGGGTAAGGGGCGGTGAGAACATTAAACGAAAGGGTAAACGGGAGCGGAAATGACCGGGGCTGCACGGAGAGAAAAAAGCGAAGCCAGTGTACTGGGCCCTGTCCGCGTCACCAGTTCGAGGCGAGTGAAGAAGGGATGAGCGGAAGCCGTAAACGTGAGGTAAGACGAGATCGACCACGTTTGATCAAAACGGCCAAGACGGTCTCTGTCTACCCCCAAGAGCAAAACATCATCAATTACTGATTGACAACCATTGATTTATTAACCCGGAATGTCTACAATTAAGGATCTATAAACCACCAACGAGAAAAGATAACAGAACGTCCTAAAAACACGGATTTCCACCGTCGGATGTAGTGAGCCTAAATCGGTTGAGTTGCTGCGTGTGGGGCGAAGGGAGAACGTGATAACAAGCTCGAACGAGCGGTGCAAGTCCGAGAAGCAGACGCGCTAGCACACCAAATTGGCATCAGTCGACTTTGTCCTCGCCGGTCGACAAGAGCAATGACCCGTGACGTCTGGACCGGCGCACATAACACGCTTCCTTCCAGCCCGTGATATTCAACGCTCACAGGAGTTCCTCAGAACCAGCACCTCCTGTCCATAATCGGTTGCAGACTTTTCTCTGAAACGTTTGAAAAAAATGTGCTCAGCTGCTAAACTGTCTAGAAACGGTGACGTGTCCGGAGTTGCGCGCACCTTGTCGAGCCACTTGCGGTACTCGATGACCCAGCCGTCCGACGACTTAAGCGGCAGGTACAAGTCCTTGACCCCCTGGTTAGCCTTGACCAGAAGCTCGTTCTGGGACGACAGCAGGCCCATGTCCTGCTCGAACACCTTGCACCCGATGCTGTGGATGAAGAACTTCGGGATGGGGGGCATTTTCAACGTGCTGCCAAACCTGCAAACAGCAGGGGGGAATAACTATAATGCACAATTGATGATGAAAATGGAAGGGGAATTCTAAGGCAAACTTCCCTGAAGTTGTCCGGCCGCAACAAGAGACAAAGCAAGCAAGCCAGGGGCGGAGAAACCGAATTAACCAAGCGAGCCAGGAAAGGGGTCAAGGGAGCAAACCAGGGGCGGAAAAAATGAGTTAAGGTAGCAAAGAACAAGGAATGGCCCAAGAAGCAGCAACTAGAGATCTGAGAATGAGGGCATAGCTCTTGCGCGCTCTACCTTGCGAGTCAGGCGATGGCTTTTAAGCAACGGTTGGGCAAGCAAGCAGGAGAAGTCACCCTCTTCGGAAGACGAGAATGGCAGAAGCCGGATCGCAAAGATGTGCCGGACTGCTCAATAGTTAGTATTGCCACTGAACAAGGCACAATCAGCACAGATTCTGCCAACACGAAATCGCCCTTCTTTTGAAACTTAGTTCGCTGCAGGGATGACTATCCTCGACCCTATGCGTTCACATCTAACAACGGGCTTCTTCCATCTTAAAGAAGTTGATACAACCCCGCGACTACGACAACCTCTCCCAAACCAAAGAGATCGAAGAAACCCGAGAGTCCTGTGGTGTACTGCCATATGCAGGATCCATCAGCAAACCTGTCTATAAGATTTCAACAATTGCGACCCTCGGTGACATACGTCGAGGCCGCTGAATACTATCGTGATGGCCGCATTTGAACACCTTGAATTTAACTCACTTCGCACTGCGAACTTGAATTGGCTGACTGTACTTACAGTGAACATGCATGTTCAAATCAAATAGCATGGCGTAAACGTCCCGCATCAAAGTGCAGATAGATTACCGTAATTGTTGAGAGTATGACGTGGGCAGCCTTTCAGGTGACTTCCAACGATCCCAACGTATTAGAATTCTTTGTCTCACCGGATGATCAAGCGCGACTTTCCCTGCCCGGTCGGGGGGCACAGAATGAGCGCGAGCGAGACGACCTTGTTGCCTTTCTTATCCACCCACTCGCGCCGGCTGTTGAACACGCAGGGGGCCACGAAGCGGCCCGTAAACCCGGGCACCGTGCCGTCCGCCCGGGGCTTGGTCATCCCAAATCTGCAAAGCGAAACGGAACGGAACGGATTGTTATGGACTCCGGAAGGTTCGCCGCAGAGCAATAAGCTTGAACGATCGTCCGCGCGAATGATGGAATGCTGCAGTGTGGCTCTCGATGCTTTGGCGCTTCGGCGCAAATCCATTTCGTACCAAAAGCGCCAACGAGGTAAGGAAGACCCGAACACGCTGGAGATTCGCAAGGCGACGTTGGAGATACGAACCCCCGCCTTCCAGGTCCCATTCCGAGCAGAAATTGAAAGACGCCTGTTCACTGAAGTCCTTGAGCTGATGCTACCTGCATTCGTGCTTGACTGGGCAAGGCCTCAAGAAGCGCCGGTCTGTCCGTGAATCCGCCGCAGACATAAGAGTGAACTAGTCAAAGCATCCGGCTTGTATCTCGAAACGTAAGTCGCCAGTGTCAAGCAGACTGGAAAAATCTCGCTCTTGGACAGTGTCAACCATCGTGGCCCACTCTAAGCAGGGTACCTTCTGGAATAAGGCGAGTTCGTCTTTTGTCAAGGCTCGGTGGTGTAAGACCCAGCGGAAGAGCATGAATTGAAAAGACGTCCAAACTCGGCGCTTAAGCAACAAGAAACCGTGAAACCCACCCGCCGGCAAATCCACGATCGGTCCGCTCTGTCACGTCGAACCAAAGCGCTTGCGCGTCCTCTCGGCGGCCATTGGGGTCCGTCCTGCAAGAATGGAATCCGAGTGAGTACAACGCACAAGGCAGAGCAATCCCTTGAAACAGGGTCGTTTCTAATTGCGAAAACACAAGGCTCTCAACTCATGATAAAATCCCTGAAAGTATGTATTGCTTCTGTCGTGTTGGCAACTTTTGCAGCTACGAAATGTATTATGTTAGACAAAAGCGTTGCGTTTGCAACACAAAGACAAACATCACAATCCGTATCGCGGCTGTTAAGCTGCAGAAACACATGCCTAAAGTGCTTGCATTTTTGCCGTTTTTGCAAACACGCTGCGGCAAACTATCACACCAAGCTTGAATTGAAAACGAGAGGATATGGTTGGGGGTGCGCTAACTTGTCGTGAGAGATGGGGATGTGTGCGGGGTCCATGAGGTTTTCAAGCAGAATCCCGCTGTCGTAGGGTAGGTCATGGATGTGCGAGTCAACTCTGAAGCCCTCCATGTCGAGATCGTTCCAGTAGGGCAGCTTTGACTCGTCCGCCTCTGACTCCTTTCCCATCCAAACCCAGACCACCCCTGGTTGGAGGATGAAACACAGGCGTTAGCGAGACAATTGGTTGGGCTTTAGAGAAAGAACGAACATTATTAGTTTTTGGTTTTGAAAGAACAAGCAGTACCCAACTTCGAGAGCAACAAGACTCCAGATGAAAAGTGTTCATGTCATATAAGTATAGCTTGAAAAGCCATAGCACGTTAAAGCAGATAACAATTGACTACAGTTAGTGGAGATCCCCACAAGTTGGATCAAGACAAACAGTAAGCATAGACAGACGACAAAAGACAAGCGGGCAATAAATTAACGAAGCAGCTTCTTGCTGATTGGAAGCAGACATATTTGAGTTGCAAGCGCCCCTCCCCTTGACTTTTCACATGACCCCTGGACACCAGGGGCAGCACCTTTACTTCTGACATAAGTACAGAGGCATTCGAAGCAGTACAATTGAATCCTGAGTTGATTGATCACCTTGCCGGTCTCTGACTGTGTAAGTCCTCACGCAGGCAGCCCGAGGGATGGCAGCCCCGTCTGTGAGCTGAGGGATCTTTGAACAACTGCCATCCCCCTCAAATTGCCACCCATGGTAGAGGCACTCCAGTTTCCCGTCAATGATCTGGATCAATGAGGGGGAAGAGTTATCCAACCTGGTTCTTCAAAAAGCACAAATTGTCAACGTCCTCCAATGTGAGCTTCAGAAGTGAACCTTTCTTCTGCTAAACTAGAGGGTCGGGCACCCATGATAAAGCAGGAAGTTCTCCTTGGTTTGTCACGTTCGAGTGAGATCAGGGTAAGAAACGTTCAAGCAGTTAGGCCTATGAAAGGCACGGTGCAAAGATAAGCAATCCGTACAAATGCCGTCTGAGGTATCTGATTTGCTACAAAAGCTTCCTTGAGACCCCCGAACGCTTTCTTTAATGATCACAAGAGCATAAGAGAAACAAGGTAACAATCAAAAGGACCTAAAGCCCGCGGCGATCAATCCCTCTCCCGCATAACAGAATATGGGTGACAGGGCAACATACGAACGGACTCCAAGCCTGCGGCAATTGATTCTCTCACCTGCCCTTCTGACAGCTTCGCTGCTCTGTGGGGGCACCTATCTTCCACACAGCTCAGCTTTCCTGTGCCATCATAGAAGAGGACCAGGGGGGTGTCAAACAGGGTGAACGCCATCGGCCGATCCTTCGGCATCTGCTCCGTAATGTACACGGGATACCATTCAGTCTGCCAGTTGTAAGGCACCTTCCCATCTTCTGCGCTCTTGCGTTCAAGTTTCGGCGGCCTCTCCGCAAGAGCTGCTCTGACTGTTGTGTTCGTCCTTTTAGCACTTTTCTTTCTAGGAAGGTTCCCCAAGCACCGCCCAGAGAGGGGCAATCCTTTCAGGAAGCGACCACTTGACCTGTATTTTGGACAGGACGGCGCAGGTGTGCGCATGCCATTGTGTGACACCTGAGCTTTCAACAAAGGCTTTCGCGTGAATAGAGTGGGACAACGTTGACGTGCCAGGTTCTGGCTGGGCACAGCACCAGGCCCACATGTTGCATCCCACCAAGCGCTGACACCTGTGCAGCGGAGTTGATCTTGTAGGTGCATCCTGATCTGAGCCATGATGGGGAGTGCAGCTCGCCGCCGTCAACCAACTGAGTTCAAACTTCAGGAGGCTCCTTTGGCCATTCAGATCTTTGTGCCACTTCGTGCACTCCCCTCCTCCTTCGTTCCTCCCTGACTCCAGATGCACTGATAAATTTGCTCCTCCCTCTGCTCACAGGCGCCCATAAAACTTCTCACGAGGTTCTGCTCAATTTCAAGAGAACTCGGAGGGGCCGCCAAAGTTGGACAGCACTGTCACCAAGTTAACGTTTGCATGATGGTGTTAGGTATTTACAATCCGACCGTTTTACCGGTACGGAGAGGGTCTGTGTCAATGGTTCACATCCTATGCTCCTACAGACCCAAAAAGAGCATAGGACTACCGCAAGCAGCTAGAGGCGTATACGCCGATTCTATGACTAATCAGGCCACTTATACTACCGTACGTTAAAATTTCAGGTTCTTTATAGGCAACGCTACGGCAACTTCTACCACGATTCTACATTGAAGAATGTCTATATGACTACACTGGAGCCGTTAAAAACCCCTCCGAGGTCCCTTGGCTTTTAACTTGGGCCCGCCTTTTGTGGAGGGGAAAAGGTACTCCAGTGTGCTTCAGTGTAGAACCGTGTTGAAGTCCCGTGCGTGCCTCCGTGTCCTGCGAGAGAAAATACACGAGCGCGCAAGCATCAAATTTGTCGATTTGAAATTGAGGGTCAGGTTTTACGTAAAGATTAAAGAGCAGAAAAAGATAACAGCTGTAGAGGTTGAGACTCGGTAACCGAAGACCGTATTTCAATGTTAAGCATGATTGTTGTTTCAGCTGTGAAGCAGTGTGAACACGTCGACTCTGCCCTGGGCCTCAGCCCTGTGTCAGACTCGCGAGTCGCAACCGTTCCCTAGAATTTGAAACCCTCACAGCGGCATACATGTGCATTGTGCACTGTGCAGCATTGGCTTGGCGGTGCATTATGCATTCTTCACACCCGCTATAGGAAGCCCAATTCGACTTGAACGTCTCGTGCACAAGGCCTGCCAAAGCCTAAGGTCTCCTCAAATGCATGCACTTCTTCTGTGACTTTCTTCAATTTCACTATCTGCAAAGGACGGCGGCAGGACAGGAAGGATTGAGTGCTCCAGTTTCCAAATCTGGACGGGCCCTCGCTTCTGATAAAGCAGGCCTGTATGGTGGTGCAGCTGAAAATGAAGCAGGTTTCTCGTGACTGCAAGAGCGAGTTGGGAAGCGCATTAGCACCAATGCTATAGCAGCGCATCTGCTGCACATAGAGTTGTAAACCCATTGAGCCCTAATCCTCCATCTGCACGCGGCAATGCTCAAGGCTCTTGGCTGAGTAAAAGGCGCGACTCTCAGCTGTCATGGTTATAGAGCTGAATTGAATAAGCGCTTATCAATGACCACGTTTATTCAAAGCAAGAGCAGGAAGGACAAGCCCCACAAGAAGCTGAAAGAAAGTCCTGCACAGTAGAGATGCTGAAACATTTGATTCACGAGGGTTACAATGGATTACACGCTGCCAGCGCCCAAGTTCTTCGTCGACCAGTTGGCAGAGACAGAGGTGGTGCCGCAAGCGGCAGAGGACACCGATGACGGTGGACCCAAGTGGAAGCGATACAGGGCCAGGGGAGTCACTTTCCAGAGAGTCTGGCTACAGGTACTTCGAACGCGTCATGCTTTGTGATGATGATCGGCAAGACCCCTCTGGGGCAAGGGCGCTTCGACATTTTGAACCGCTTGGAATCAAGTGGATTGGCCTCTCAATGTCTTGCCACGATTCTGATCTTCAGCTTTGTGTACATGTCATGCCCTGCGAAAGAGCATCCAGCAAGGTGTTCAGAGAAGTTCAACCACCACCTGCCTGTTTTAGATCCTCAAAGGCGATCAGAAAGCTTTGCATTTGATCGCCATGTTTTACTTTACTATACTTTTACTTTTACTTACTTTACCTTATGGATTTCCCACACCACTTGCAGCTTTTTTCATATTCTGCACCCTGAATCTGCTTCATATGCTTGAGCGCAGGGTGTTCTCTTGGCCTCTGACGAAGACCTGGGGGAAAAGATCGGGGCGCTTGACGATGGCACCGGGGTCATCGAGCTGGACATGTCCAAGATGGGGAACGTGCACACACTGCGGGCAGGTGGGGCCTCCTCTAGTTGTCAACCGTGATACAGCTTTCGCAAGCCAAACTGAAATGCTTCATGACAAAGACCTCTATTTGTCATCCGTATTACTGCTTTTGCAAGCCAGATCCAGAAATGCCTCATGACAATATGAGTGGCTTGGATGCAAGCTGACTTGCTTGGATGTTTTGCAGTGTTATGCTTCTTGTATACTCTTGGGAGAAGACGAAAGATTGCAGTCCAGCCCGCACCCTCACCTTCAAATGTTGCTAGCATTATGTGAGGCAAGCTGTAGTGCCAATAGAACAACCGCAAGACTTCCTTCTTTGAGCATGGAGGGACTGAATAGCAGAAGCTCGGTGGTTGGACTCCTTTCAAGTCAAGTCTGTCTCAGATGAAGCGAATTAACAGTCAGTATGCCTTTCGCTTTGATGCCTGTAGGGGCATACATCCTGGTAATTGGGCCCTTGACCACCGACAAGGACGATGGGGGTCACTATGTAAAGGTGAGTGAGGATAAAGAGTGGTTCTGAAGGTAATGGTACTTCGTCAATCTGCTCAATATACTTCGACGAAGCATGTTTCACGGCACTTTTGAGGCGGGACATGGCCGTGTGCCCTCACTCTGAAGAGGCCAGCCTAGTTAACTAGTGCCTCGTTGTCAATCATGATACCACAATTGGAAGTTGTGACACCAGAGCGCTTAAAATCAGATACAAGGCCCCTTGGCAGACAGCAAGGCGCTGTCTCTGTCTTGGTTGCTTAACGGTGTTCACATGCCTATTTGAGTCAGCAAGCACATGAACAGTTGGTTGGATCAATCAATTTTCATAAGGATGGTGATCTAACCAACCACTCTCAACTTTGTCTATACCTGAAAGTTGGCAAGACTGTGCCTTGTGTTTGATCAGGTCCATAAACTGGTGGACCTGACCAAGGCGCCAAACCGGGAAGCTATCTGGTTTTTAGAGGTGATTGAGGCAGACAAGATGAGAACTGAGGCTAGAGAGGCCCAGTGACAAGTAAGTACTTTTGCCTTACGTTTGCAAAGCTGCATGGAAAGTCCGAGGCTGAGCATCGAGGTTGTTGCCTTAGAGCAGCTCAAGACAAAGCGATGTGAGCCCACTTATCGTTATATCTATGATCGATGCTTGCGCTTGCTTGTAGACCCAGAAAGTCAAAGAGGAGGCTTTGCTGATACTCGAGTAGGTAGCAAACAAGCGAGGCAATCGTAATGAATCGCAAATTGTACGAAGATAGACAGGAAAGGTTGTCTTGCGTTAGCTCAGTAACTGTTTATGGACAGTTGCATACGAAGAGAATCGGGCCGTCGAAATCAGAACCGTGTGCAGCCGCGCGGCACGGTATACGCGCGCCGTTCACAATCATTCATCGTTGCGGATGTCATGATTCTTGATCGGATCACTCTCCTACGAAGCTAGTGCAGCCAGCTAGGGGCCGGAGCTGGCAATTGGCCACGGCTCGTTTACCGTACATGAATCAAAGTGGTTGGCCGGACACGCTAGCCGCTGCAACCAGCTTCGAACACTGTGACGACTGGCAAATTTTGTTTACCTTCAAAGGCTGAGCCTAGTACAATGCTTGTTCGGTGTTGATTGCACTTGCATGAGTGTTCAAGTAAGCCGACAGCCAGCCGCAATAAAGTAGCATGGGATTGGCAGTGCCTTCCCCGGTCATGCATGTTGAAAGCTAGTGCTTCAATTGATTGATGCGATGACCGTACGTGTCGACGGGAATCCCAGATCGTGAAATGATTGAATCGAGAACCTAGCTATTCTGCATGATGCCTCGTAAAGGAGCTGCGCGATCAACTAGGCTCAGGCTTCATGAGTCAGCTAATCGTCCACGTGAAAGGAGTCATCTCGTACAACCTGACTTCGTCCTGCATGAGTTGCAAGGCGTGCCATCCTATTCGAATTGATCGACGATGGTGCATGACTCCGCCATGCATATTGTATCAATCCCTGCAGATTGTCGACTTAATTAATGAAATAACTCGCAAAATAACAAGGCCTGATTATATCAACACATATGGACTGATTCGGAAGTCGACGACACAACGGGATGATCGACCAGACAAATTCGCGCCAGATCAGGACCTCCTTCCTGCCCTGTGTCCAGAAGAAAGGTCTTACATGGAGCCTACCTAAGCAACCGTGTAAGGTCCTTTGACGCGATGTAATATTTAACGGCGTTCGTTACCAACACGACACCGTTTGCCACGACCACGGTAGCTACAAACCACTTGGTGAGGCCGGTGGTAAGCTCATTTGATACTGGGCCCCCGACCGCCGTCGCGCTGACTATCACCCCCATTACCGATAGCACAATCAACGTCGACACCGTGAAGCTTAGCAAATAAGCCCCGGCCTCGTCGTACTCTTTTTCGTGCTTTTTAATTTTCTGCACACAGGAACGAAATTGAAATGGATACTCGAGGCTATGTTGGCCCAACGGTACAGAAAACCTCGGGGGCCTTCCATGAGGTCGCAACCCTGAACGAAGATTGAACACTGACATGCCAGGATGAGGTCGTCACGTATGGTTCCATTTTGTCCCTGCGAAGCAACTGTCATGTGTGCTCTCTTGGCAACTACTCCAGAGCCTGAGCTGTGCCATGGCCCTCACTTGCTGCGACACAATAGCAGGGGCATCACACGACTTGGTTTTGTGGCCACGTCTGCTCTGATACGAATCTAACCAGCTAATTCTGACAGAGTTAAGGTTCATCACTCACCTTCGCGGCCGCCAGCCGCTCTTCCACCTGCTTATCCAAGGATTTTTGCTTATCCCCCTGTAGAATGGTGGCAGCTTCAGGTTAGTACGGGGAAGGTGGTAGACGTTCTCTCAGACTTCCCGAGGCCGATGCTAAGCACTTGCTTCGTAGGCTTATATTGCAGGTCTTTATCAGTAAAGAGCATAGGGCAAGCAGAAAACAATTGTGCCGATCCCAAGTTGAGGCTTTTTCTGTCCTTCAAGCAGCTACTGTGAGGTTGAGCTGCCATCGGGCGATGCTCCAGTACAGTCTCATATGCAAAATCAAGCAGAGTCTTCTGCAGGAGTTGCAATTCAAGAATTGAGCAGCAGGCACATAAATTTGATTCCATGTAGCATGTGCAAAGTCTTTTGCCGGGCAGCAACCCTGGCTGCCTTACGAAGTCCAGGTGGAATCAAGGCAAAACCTCTAAGAAAACCAAGCATGTCTGACGAGAGCTGATCCCGGATGACGAACTAGTAGCAAAGATTATAGAATCATTCGAAACAAAGTGTGCGTCCTCACCTGCTTCCCCGGTGGTTGCACAGCAGGTCTGGATGTTGTCGCAGGACCCTTCCAGTCCTATGACGTCTTCTCCAGCTTCTCAATCCTTCTCGCTTTTTCCAATGCTCTCCTTGTTACCGGGGTGTTTGGGATGTCCGGCAGCTTGACCCGCACTACATGCGTTTGACGATCTCTTTGAGATAGTGCATGTGACAGGCTCCCGACTTGAAAGTTGGTCCGTGAGAACAAACCACTTTTGACGTCATCATCATCAACCGCACCCCAATCGCACTTCTGCCAATCTGCCTACTCCGAAGGCCTCGATCAGGCTGCCGGGGATCACCTGCCGCTTTTCCTGCAGGATCGAAAACTTTCTGTCTCCTGTCTGGCTTGCGAACTGCATCAGGATTGGGCAGGCTCAGGGCGTTCTGGCTGTGGCCATTGTAGGTCGCGCGGCCGCCCCTAAACCCCGAAACCCTCATATGTCGCGCGACAACGGCCGGGCCGCGCTGTACTAATTTTGAAGTTAAACCGGATGTGCACGCGCGCGCCACGCGCAATGATTACGATAGTCTCGCCACCAGAGGAAGGGGAAAACTTCAAAGTTCAAGGTGACTCTGAGAAGTCAATTGGCAATAGCTGAAGGCGCTCTTCCACTAGACCTGCCTGGTAACTTGTATGAGACTTCCTCACCATTGGTCCTTCTGATACCAAAGTGCTGACATTGCAAACGCATGATGGCCCAGCTTGTAGCGCTAAAGCCTGCCTCGCTTTTTTCAAAATTTCATCCATCGACGACCCACTCAACTAGCAGCAGGCAAGCCATCGTTGCGGTGTTGCCCCCGGGAGGGACAATATGTAGAAGAAACATGCACAGGGGCCCCCTGTCAGGCTTCAGTAACGATGGTGTTTCGTCGTCGTTCTTCCAGGCCATGCCCACTTGGACGCCAGGTGAATTTTGCATTGATGTGAATGGAGGCAACTTTTGTTCGAAAAGTAAACGGTGTTCATGTACAGCTTTCACGGCAAGAGCTTTTTTACCCTGTTTTGAACAGCGATGTGTCGGAACACTGACTGTGAAAGCCTTCACTTTTACTTAGCAGAGTCAAAATGAGCTATTGCCCCAAGTGAAGCTCTTTTGACACACAGAGTTTCTGCTGAAAAGGTTACTGTAGTCTCCTTGTGTCTCTTGCCGGAGTACTGTTTCTGTTAAAATGCGTCTTTTTGCCTTGGAAAACATACCACCTTCTGGGTTTTGAGATTGTAACGAAACCTGTTGTGGACTTTGGAAGCAGGCAACATGCTCTGTATTACTCGATTACTTTGAAGTTTGCTGTAGACAATTCTGTTGCGTTGTGACAATCCAAACATTGGCTGTTTTGCATCAATTTCCAATTGGTCTCGCTGTACAGGGCACATGAGGAGGCCAAAGGGCCGGTCGTTAGATGCGAGGAACAGAAGGGCAGTGGTAAGTAAGAAGCACTAAACGTGTGAGCATAGCCAACCGAGTCTTGCACAAGCAGATGAGATTCTTCTCAAAGTGATTGATGGCTCAAAGATCCAACAAATTGCTTTGAAGCAGCACGGTTTGTCCTGCGTGGCGATTGAGGGCAGGAAGCCATGAATCTTTACGAGTTTCTCTAATTGTCTGGGAAAGCTGCGTTCTGCTCAGCACTAGTGTCAAACAATTGCCAATGTCTCTGTTGATAAGGTTCAGCAGGCTGTTCATTTGCACAACTGGAAGCATATTCGTTTTGCTCATCTACAGGTTGCGCGGGCCTTCCGCAATGATGACGAGTCCTTTAGCCCTGAATATATAAGAGCCCTGCTTTTCATATCGTTCTGCGCGTCAATCGCAACATTGGCTTTATCCTGGCATACTTTTGGTCCATTGTTTTGACCACAAACTCAGTTCTTATACTCAGAGTCTCCACTTTTGCTCGGAAGGCAAGGTCGTATAGGGAACTTCTGTACATGTGCTTGAAATTCTGTTTACAATTGAGACTTCGAATTCCATGCGTAGTTTACCCTTTCTACCTCAATCCAGTCATGCAGGGTGCACAAATGTCGCGAACCGCTGATTCTGACCTTGTGATTGCACTTTGTCCTCTATCAAAAGAGTATCAATGTGTTGGATGGGCCTTATTGAGTTTGCTCGCAGGTGGTGTCTACCCAGGCGTAGTCCTTGACTTAGTTCCACATCATATTGAAGCCTGGTCATCCTGGCATACATTGATTGGACGTTGTAGCAACCGTCCCTTGCACTGGGATCGAATATGGGATATCTTGCATGCGACAAACTTACTGTCACTGTCATGCATATATTCCGGCTCGGCAGGCTACTTGTGGGAAAGTAAATGTAAACCATACCGTTTTCCACGTGTGTAAAAGAATCACGGGAATGAAGCACGGATCGTGACCGTTTCTTGATGCACGGCGTGGTGGCCTGTTATAAGAAAGTATCTACACTTAAGCTTTGCATTAAGAGCGAGTTTAGTGTAGAAATACACAAAGAGACAATTGTCGTCTTAGCCGACCACGGCTCCGAACCCATATTAAATCAACTAAATCTAAATCTATAGCGAGACCGGTCGCTTGGTCAAGTATCTATACATGATCAGCTCAAGATCCTTCAGTGCATACTAATCGTGTAAAGGCATGTCATGCCGTTGCAGTGACTGCAGGACACAGAGTGACCATGTTGGGCCCGGTCCTCATGTGGGCAACATATATTAGTAGCTACAGCGCTGCATGGACCATGTGTCGCGCGATCCTGAGTCAATAGCTTGCGGATCGCCAATCTGATGGAAAAAGAAGATTCGATCAAGCTGACGTTCACTTACGGCGGGGCCCCTTCGATCAGCTTGAACTTCCCGACCAATTGCAAAACACTATTGGCGAGCTTGTGTAATGACCGTTGCATGCAGGACAAATGGCAGTCACTGCTGCCACATGCTGGCATGGCATATGCATTTGAGCACAAGGGCGCCCCGGCCAGCTGTATGACAACGTAAGCCTGAGTCAGTCACTACGTTGTTGAACAACACTTACCTACAACTGCAATGACAAATGCATGAGACCGATCTTGACGTTTTGCCAGTTGGAAAGACGGATATAGCATGCACAAATACTGTTCGCTTTTTTATAGTAATATCTGCGAAGGGACTTGTCGTTTCCAATGATCAGTGTCCTAGTCTTGCAATCGCCATAAACTACACTCACAAAAAATCGTCGCCTCCTAGAGCCAGACTACGAGGACAAGGTGTATCATGCTGAGCGCCGAACCTTATCTTCGTGCCACACAAGAATACTGTTAACTCATGAGACTCAAATGAGCTTCCGAACGCATCCTCTTAATCCGAACCGTTCTTTTTCGAAGCCGGCCCCGGCCCAGATGATACCTTCACCATAGCTGGCCGAAGCAGTTTTTCACCGATTTGAAAACCTTTCCGGAACTCTTGGGTAACGATGCCCTCGGCATACTCGTTTGACTCCTCTTGCATGATGGCTTCATGAACCTGACAGGGTCAAAAGCTGGAGTCAGCAAGTCGGTTGTTGCAAGGCAGGTTTTGATACAGACTTTGTTCTGAAAACAAAGATGTGCAACCATTCTCCCGTGTGCAGCGCGCCCTTGGTCATCTGCAGCGAGTGGCTTGCGGTCTGAAGTAGAAACAACCAAGCAAACGACTTGAACATTGAGCTTGATTCACTTGGGAGTACATAACCGAAGAAGAGGCGCTGTCGACTTGTTGGGGTCGGCTGATCTCCCGCAATTTCAATCTCCGTTACGAACTGCTGATCAGCTGCTGTCAAATCTTAATTCTGGTTTGAGCAACGCTCTGTCGACGTAGCAGTCTAACTGAAGAAAGCTAAACGGTGACGTTGGCAGTGACTCAAATTCTGATGGCAGGCGGGCGACCTCCAGAAGTTTCGCCCGAGTCCCTGACATCAAGGGAGAACTCTCCGACTGATTAGTCCTATGCTTCTTGCATTTTGACTTGAAAGGTCCAATCACGCGAGATCTTGCCAGAAGAAAAGTGGGAATCAGCCTCCAGAAACGGAGCGCTATGCAGCTCGTTCCCATCGGGCTCTTTTCATCTGGATAGCGAGGAACGTTCCGAGATGTGACCCAAAAATTAGGACTCTAATCATCTGGATAGCGAGAAACGTTTCGAGAGGTGACCGAAAAATAGGACAAGCTGCCGCGTTTGTCCGCGACAGACCTAGGCTAGAGTGGTCAGGCGTGCTTCTTACCGCTTCTTACTGCTTCAAAATATATCATGGTGACAACTTCGTCGGAAAAGAACGTTGAAGGGGGCCGCTAGGGAGCACAGGGAGCCCAAAAAGGTTTTGAAGTATCAAAAGGGAGATGTGAACCGTCTTTACGGAAACAGGCAGAGGTCGAGAATGATCACTATGCCGCCCAACCGACGTTTCAAACAAACTGGGGCCTAGACAGAGAATGCAGGTCGAGCAGGTAGGGAGACGAAGAGATCCTCGCAAACGTTCAGTTCGACCGCACATAAAGGAGGAGAACCAGACACAAGCCTCGGTGGCACGATGGCAAAGGAAACGGCCGTACGGGCGAAAACAGAAACGGCCGTCCATGCAAACCACTCAATTAAGTTTCACATTGAAAGATCGATCGGAGGCAGGAGCTTTGCGTAGCAACGCTCACCGCGGGGTCGAAGGGCGTGCCGGCGCCGGGCACTGGCACGATGCCCAGCTTTTTCAGGATGTCGACGAACTGCTTGTAGATGCCCTGGTAGCTCGCGTCGATCTTCTGCTCCCCCTCCGTGGACGCTTTCACGGCGTCCCGCGCGCGCTCGAAGTTGTCGATCATCGGCAGCAGCTCCTCGATGACGTCGCCCCGCACGCTGCTCGCGAGCGACGCCTTCTCGCGGTCTGAGCGCTTCCGGAAGTTGTCGAAGTCGGCGTTCAGCCGGAGGTACCTGAGCGGGGGGGTTTACAAAACCGTCTGGGATTGAAGGCGCCCATGTGATTGCGTGATTGGGCAGTGAGCACGAGGAGGGCGGCCGAATCTGTCTAAGTCGGCGTTCAGCGGGATAGAATTGCTCGCGCGGGGTTCAAGAACGTCGACAATGTCAACACATTCGGGAGAAAAGGACCGAGGGTGTTCCGCAGCCCTCAGCGACAAAAAACCGAGAAAGAAGAAGAGAAGCCCTGGCTGTCGATGAAAGCTGCTTTAGGCAATGAAGGTTTTGAACCGGAGGCACACGACAGAAGAAAACCGAGCGCTTATATGCTTATCGGAAAGGGTTAAGGGTCATGCAGCGTCCTCAACGAAGAGCAGGAAGCATGCTGGCAACGTCGTATGTAGAGTTCACCTCAACCATTATGTGCCTCTATTGATGCAATAAGTAGATGTGAAGGAGAAATGATACCCGTCGCCTCAGCCGCCCAATCTTTCAGTGCTCTTCAAATGAGGAAAGTATGTTGCTCAATCCTGCTACCGAGATCCAATCCAGCAACATTATCAACCAAGAAAGGAAAAAGATAATGTTGCAGACATTTTTGCGCCGCATGAGTCTTAGATTCAAAGAAGCGCAGGGGCCAATCCCTTTATACAAAATCGTAGAATAGATTCCTTTGCAGCATTGTAGATAGCCAATCCCGCCAGACATAGTCCTAATCAGGTAATCACCTCTGATTGGCGAGAGGAACAAGTCACCTCGACTTCGTTGAAAACCCTGGTGTACAAGTGACGGAGGACATTGACATAAGCCCGATATACGCTGCTCCCATAATGCTAGCCAGTCCCGAAGCAGCACAGGTCTGCAGCTCACCTATCCTTAAGGACTTCCATTTCTTTTGTGAGCTCTTCCGCCCGGCTGCTGCTGCTGCTCCCCTCCAGCGCCCGCAGCTGCTCCTCCAGCGCTTCCGCTACATCCTCGTCATCTGGCCGAAATAAGGAAAATATCGCTCAGGAACAAATAAGGGTGGATTGACAAATCGCTTGTGCTCCACTTTCACACAGCATTTCACGAGCATCTAAAACCCACTCAGACCAGCAAGCTTCTGAGGTGACGCCACTACCAGCGATCATGAACCTATCAACCTGGCTTTCTATAAGTAGCGCCACTGATTGATTCCACTCAAGTTCAAAACAAGGTGTGCCGCGCCTTTGGTCCTCTTTCAGATAGCTCTCCGCCAGTATTTGGAGTCCACTTGGTTGAGCCTTCGAGCCTTCTGAAGTCGACCAGCTACCGAGAATGGACGGCTAACAACCCGACTTCCTACCACCAATAGCACCCTTGGCCATCAATCGATGGGTGGAAGCACAATATAACCGCCAAAGAGACATGCGTACAAAGTATGATGTTAAATTTCCCCCACCTGCCACCACTGCGTCCCTGTACGCCCTCAGCAGCTGCGTCATCTTCCCAGGCTCATCTTGCACCTCAGCAGTCTCCTCCTCCGGCGCCTCTGCTTCCTCCTCAGCTTCCACTGCCTGCACCACAAGGTCTATCTGAGTTTCTCTAACCTGCGCCTACTTTTTCAAACTCTTTTGCAAGGACTTGGATAAATCTGACTTCCTCCAAACCTTTCAGGCAACTGAAACCACAACCTTCAAAGATCAGACGGCAAGCTGCCCAAGGAAGTGTTGCGGGCAAGATACTTGATGGCCAGAAACAAACAAAAGCTGGAGTGTTGACCTGTCTGATGGGGCAAGATGTCTTGACTGATGAAACTGAAAGCCTAGATCCCCCTTTTTCTGAAGTCGCAACGCCCAAGAAGCCACGTTCCGCTACTTTGATGAGCTCGTCATAAGCGCGATTAACCAGATTTTGACTGCCAACGTTGATGCTAACAGAAAGAGACCAATGATCTGCAAAGAGGATTTGTCCTCCTGCAAAAGCTTGCCAAAGTAATCGGCCCAACCTCAGCGATCCAAGCGCACTCTGGACGTTAGCAATGACGAGAATTAAATTTCTGTCCCCAACATGACGGCCACTAGCACATCAACCTCCTTGAAGCTAACATGGATGAAATCTAGAGGTGGCCTTTGCGCGACAGAAAGCGGCTGCTTCCCGGCGCCAAGTCCCTCAGACCAAGACGATGATCACATACAATCGGAGCCTGACTGGCCGAGACCACGCCAAGCAAGTACCACCAAGTTCAAAAGGTCAAACCTAAAAGCGTCAGCTGAAGAGAAGCGTCAAAAGATCTCTGTCGAACCGACAGTTGTAAGTTGCACACGAAATGACATAGAGGTCACAGAGATTGGCGACTGCAGTATGCCACATATAATGCTGCACCGCATGTTGAACTTTTGAACCCTCTGTTTTCGACTTGCAACCGAAAATGTGCATGTCAGAACTGACAAAAACCTTTACCATGCAGCCGACACGGAAGATCATGCGACAAGGCAGTGCCACTTGAGCACCGGGCCGACTATCAAGGAATATCCCAAGTGCCAAATCCACACAGCATTCTAGAATCAAGCCCGAAACCATGACAAATCACCGTCGGGCCTCTAAATGACAGTTGCTTCGTGCTTTCACGATCAGAATGAGTGGAGAGACAATATAGTAATGCTGAGAAACAAGGCCACGTCTTCATTCTTCACACTATAGGAAGCGGAGAAGCGACTTACCTTTGCCTCCTCTGTCTCCTCGGAAACTGCCAAGACCTTCAATTCCCGGGGTGCTTTTGCCTGACCCTTGCCCCAACCAAATGCTACTTTTGCGGTCCCTCTTAATAAAGGAAGGCTAGTCAGGCGCGAAACTTCCTTGCTAGCAAACCTTTGACATGGAGACGAAGGGAGGGCTTGCGTTCGAGCTGCTTTGAATTGTGTGGGGACAAGGAGACCAGTCAGGGAGCCCCTGGAGACTGCCTGACAAGCTGTCGAGAGAGCCATTTTGATGAGGTGGTGGTTCTGAAGGCTCTGTGAACGCGACGCGGCTCGTGCAAGCTTTCAAAGCTGCTTTGCTGGTGCCAGCATTTCTCACAGGACGATTCAGTCCACTCCCTCTGTTGCCAAGCTTCTAGAAACAGGCCCTTGACTCTGATCGAGCCGTACAGTCAAGAATCGGACGGCTCGGATGAAGCAAAGTGTTCCACATGGTAACGTCTCTGTTCCTGTCATCCCCAGCTAAATGGACCATGAATCATCTGAAATTTCTGTTGCATGCCCTGAGCAGGAGCTTGTGAGTTGTGTTCGCCACATAACATGTGACCCGAGCTTCAGATGAACACAAAGTTCGATCCCCTTTCCCTTCCCTTTTGCTTGGATTTGGGTGGGGTAGGTGTCAATGTCAATGGTGCCCTTATCCAAAAGCTAGTACTGTAACATTCAGTATCGCAGGCCGACTGCGCGGCAAGAGCTGATGTAGAGGTTGCGCTGAACTTGAATAATTCTTGAAGTTGTACAAACAGGACGGCTGAGCACGTACATATCTACTGGTGGTCATGCACGCAGCATGTTACGTGGTAATCTTTTGAATCAATAATCCTACATGTGCTGACACCATCCACGTATGGGCCACCTAGCACTGTGCCGGCCGACATTTGTGTTGGCTCTCCATTGTCCTCAATGAACTAATATAGCATGATCAACACTCGAAATGCATGCGCCATTCTTAATTTACAACCGCAGCTGACAAAAGCCAACCGTCGTGTCTTTCTTCTTTGTACTTATTGCTTATCATCGTGTGATCCAGCAGTCTTTCATATTAGTAAAGACTAGGCCAATTCCCGAAGCTTAAGCTTAATGTTAGTTTACCCCGCAAGGAAAAGGTTGTCTATGGCGGCTGCTCGATGTGCCGTCGTATGGCTTCGGTCATAAGCTCTGGTTGAGCAAGATGCGGGAGATGCCCTTCGATAGGGAGATACTCGACCACGCAGTTGTGGAGGTGAGAAGCAACATAATTTGTAACAAACTCCGGCACAGCCAAGTCGTTTCGACTTTGAAGCAGGTGAACTGGTACCGAAACCTGGAAGAGAATACAGGGATGGTTGGCCTTGGAAGGACTTGCAGAACTGAGATGTAAGTCACCCCAAAACTTTCTCTTTCGCATTTCATTAAGAGCCGCACATACGATCAGTTATCATTCACAAACGCAATGAATCAAACCGATATGGATAACCTCTCGAAACGAACTCAGCTTATGAGGTGCAGCTTCCGCTAGACCTTCTCGATAAGTCCGTGCTCACCTGAGGAAGGATGGCCCTGTAATCCGAGAAGTATATTGTCCGGCTAACGCTCAGCGCGATGTCCGGCCGCAAGCTGAAAAGCGTCCGGGAGAACTCTTGCACTCCCGGGCTGTCCGCAGGCCCCAACACGGCCAGGGGCGCAAAGCCAGCAACCCACGTCTTGTAGTTGGACGACATGGCTTCGAACAGGGCCTCCAGATCAGCCACCTCGTTCCCACCAAAGTAGTTCTCGTCATTGAGATACCTGCAACGATGGCGCGGAATACTCGCATCTGGTAGCTGATGGCAAATAATCGCATACGCAGACTTTTCGAAAGACGAAGTTATGGTAGTCCCCTCGAACAAATGGGTCTACATGGTGGCAGCTGGGTTTGTTTCCATGGTTGCTACTGCCCGCGACAAACTACTAAGCTTTACGTGCAAATCTCTCTGTTGAGCAACGCCCAATACACCATTTAATCCGAGTCCGATTCACACTTGCATTCAGTTGAGTTTTGTAACTTGCAAAGCAGTGAGCATGTTCATATGTTCATCTTTGCCAGAGACCAGAGCTCCAGCAGGTTTATCACGTGCAGCCACTTTCACATGCTAACTCGAACAAACCGCATATTCTTACCTTGGCGAAGCAGAGAAGCAGACGATCTTCTCGAAGACCTGTGGCCGCTCAATTGACGCCAGGAAACCAATCATGCTCGAGACAGAGTGGCCCACATAGACGCACCGTTCGACGCCGAGCTCGTCCAGGATCGCCAGCACATCGTCCGCATATGCGTGCAAACTGGAAAACGGGTGCAGAAATAAAAGATGGAGTTAATGTGCAGGGGCAACGTGCAGCATGTATAGATAGCTCTTGCACCAATTCTTACAAATCACGGAGCGCCCATCATGGCAGCGCACAAGCACAAGCTGCAAGTTAGAGGCTGACGAGGGTCAAAACAACCAGTCTCGGCTAAAAGATTGGTTCCAAGTATGTCAAGGCTCGGGCCACCCATATAACAAGGAATCCCTTCATGAACGTTTAGGGCAGACAACTGCACAGATTGAGGGCACATTGCAGTTAACTAGACTGGAGCATCTGGACTTCGACTGTAGAGTGCGCCCAGATGCTAGATGCCCACGTTGACAAGCAATGAAATTGATTTCCCATATGTGGAGCCAACACATCTACGCTGGCCCCTGTGACCTCAAAGGATATAAGACAAGATAATCATTAAGCGAACCTAGCAAATCAGGAAGGCAGGGCAGGGTCGGCGGTGGTACCTGCTGTACCGCGAGAAGGGAAAGTTGTCCGCATTTGTTGTCCCGGCCCCCATCATGTCGTACACCACAACTCGGTGGTCTCTGACCAGATCGGACGCTACATGTTTCCAAGCTGTCTGGTCTGCACGAGCACACAGGCGTTTGGTGGGATTATGCAGCTTACAAACAAACAATAGACACCAACACTGGGGAGTGCAGCACAACCAAAGCCGGGGAATACCACAAACCAGCCACTTTTCCGTCATCAATGGCAGGGTAGTCGACTTAATGGAGCGCTGTCCCTGACACGAGTGTGGCACGATTGCCCTTCGAATCAAGCAAACTGTATCCTTTCCGCAGTCTTTACAGCTGTGGTCCACTGGCAAACCAGAGTGGCTTCAGACAATGCTACGATGTACGCTCTGATCAACAGTACACAACAAGCTCCGACCCTATGCTTTGAGCCCGATTAGAAGCTGTGACGCCAATGTGCGCATCCACAGCCTACATTTGAACAAAAGCTCAAACCCCAGGCGGTTCAGAATCTGCTTGACGTCAAAGACCTAGAACTGCCCACCTGTCCCAAAGCCATGCGATAAGAAGGCCACTTTCTCGCCTGTCCCGTACACCTTCACATTGTGCGCCTCCAAAATGGACGTCATGGGACTGTGCTCAAAGATGCACCAGGTCGGGTGGTTCTTCCTGAAAAGTCTGAGTGTTTATGAGTTCAATGTTTGTTCCAGAGGGGCGTCCTCAAGTTGGAATGGACCCTCAAGCAGCCATGGTCTGACAAAGCTTTGACGTTCCGAGCGGAAGAGCTTGAAGGACGTCAAGCTGGCTACAAATGGGGAGGCTTTCTAAAAAGAAGAGCGCGAAGAGCAAACGAAAAGCTAGATAAACCCCTATAATTGATTGCAAACCAGCGTCCCCGCACTTCAGAGCTATGCATTCCATTTACACCCAGAATTTTGAGCACCTTTCTGCAACACATTGAAAAGGGTAGAACACGCAGAAAAAAGGGGACACTTTGGGGGTTGGAACATACCAGCTTGTTTGTTCCCAAGCGCCCCTCAATGTGCCATTCGCTTAGCACATTCCCGCTTTAGCAGATGCACTCGCTGCCGGCCCCAAACACGTGAACCACAAAAGTTCCAAATCCTAGGGCGCCAGGTTTCCTCCCTCCTGACGTCTTCAGGACTGTTTGGCTAGATGTCGTTTAGCCAAGCGTCCATTGCGTCCATTGCGAATGCCGTTCGTTCAAGTAGGTATACCTTGGTAAGCTCATGCCAGGGGCGTCGCCGAGCTGCTGACTTCCTGCATCCTCTGGCCACAGCGTGAATCCCGCCTGCCTAGGCGACGGTTGCGCGGGTGTCACCAGTATGCACGGGCTCAGAAAACGAGCTTCAGCGAATCAGGAGCTGACATGTAGCACACATGACGTCATTGATAGATGCACAGTATCATCGACGGTTCGGATTTTTTCCACGTGATCATCCGATGTGTCATTCGGAATCTTCTTATACAAACTCTCACTTCATTGTCGCCCTTTTGCAGGGGGCTGAATTTCCCCTCTCATCACCCCAATGAATACATTTGTAATTTGATGTCAACGTGCATTGCTGACGATCGATCGCGAGCGAGAGAATTGGACCCCGAGAAGGACGCCATTTTCGTTGCTGGCGGCTGAAGTCTGAATCACCGACTCAGATTGACTCCGCGCTGCAGCCACCGACTCCTGAGACAGGCGTCATGGAGCAAGCCGCTTCAACAACTCGCCCGATTGCCCGCAGCTTTGGCCCCCAAGCTGCTGCGTTTGACCAATGTGAAAAGCATGTAAGACCGGGGACGTTGCACATGAGTATGTTAGCCAGTCCATTCGCTCTTCAACGAGAAGCAACCACTTCCTTTTGCAAATCGGGGAAGCTTTCTGCAGCACGGACCTCAGCTGGGAGCCATCGACCGCTGTCGTTAGATCATTCTCTGCAGTTTGGGCATACATGCACAGATAGAAAAAGTAGGATTGGTGCTCCCATAAGGTGGTCTCCCTGCGTTGACAGCCCCCGTGCAATTGCTGGGGGCGACATGAGGGATCAGGGAGGGGCCATCCTTAGGGAGGTGCTGACCAGGGAGGGGAGAGGCAAGCTGGACTTGAAAGACGACCGGGCTTTCTACAGCTTTCCACGCTTGGTAGGTTGTCATAGTTGTTTAGGAAGAACAACTGTTAGTTCTGATCCGGAGGCTTGTTAGAAAGAGAGCACTCAGCATTCTGTGCACCTTTGTTGATTTTCATCATTTTTGCATTGCCAGCCTTGTTGGCAGAGGGTGGTGCAGGAAAATCGAGAAGCACGGATATGCTTTCCAAAAAAATTCACCACGGACCCGATGATTTCAAGATCCATTGCATAACTCTGACTAAAGTTCCGAATGGCAGCTCGCTACAAGCCAGGCCAGTGCTCCCGCTGTACCTTCTGGCCCTAGGACCTGAAAGCGACGTCCTCACTACCTGAGAAAGGCTCTTTTCTTTCTTGGTTTACTACGTTTTGTGCTTCGCTTAATATGCCCCGTGCCCCCTTGTGTGAGGACACTCCACGAACATTTCGCTTAGAAAGAGTCGCTCCACAGTTCTTCTCATTAGTGTCGGTATCTTTGGCGCTTCTTCGCTCCTCGTGGCTCCGCCCTCTGTTGTGCGATGCAGGGTAAATTGCTCCATGTACCTTGTGCCCTGCCAGATGATATGCGCTTCAATTTTCCTGTTGGCTGACACTCCTCCCTCCGATGCAGGTCACGCACGTCGACGACCAGTTTCTAAATACGTTAACGGAGGTGTATCGGCAACGAATTCCTGCTGGGGCGGAGGTCTTGGATCTGATGAGCAGCTGGGTTAGCCACCTGCCCCCCGAAGTGAGCTACAAACGCGTTGTGGGCCTTGGGATGAACGCCGCTGAGCTGGCGAGGAACCCCCGGCTGGACGCTTTCTTTGTCAAGAACCTGAACGAAGGTAGGAGCTTGATTCTGTGTTTGGGTAGTGCTCGCGAGGAACAAAGGTGTGGCGAATTGTCGTTTTCATCAAGATGAGGAAGAAGAGGGGGAAGGGGTGGTGGACTTCGTGGCTATCCCGCCACAAATACTTGTCAGGCTTTTCGCCATTGTTGATTGGTAATGTTCGGCTTCTTACACCAATTCTACCGATTCTTTACTTGAGTTGACCAGGTCATCTTTAGTCGAAAGTCTGTGGCAATTCGTCAGCGCTCTGAAGGGCTCGGCCTTAATGAGGAGGGCAAGCTTTATCGATATCATGCCAATTCCACGATTGACATGGAACTCGCCCAAAAATAGAAAGGCATGAGTATTTGGCGTAGGGTTTTTGATACTCCGATCTCAACCCAGCCGTTCACTATGTTTTCTTGCAGACTTGGAGTATATTTCCTGATTCCCGAAAGCTAGGTTTGAATGACAGCCTCAGTGCTTCATGTGATCTAGCTAGGGCCCAGTCGCAGTCCTTCGCAGCTTTCCTGTTTACAACAAGTCTCACTAAACCGTCTACCTCTTCATTACTACCTTTTTCTCCTTGTAAACATTTTAAACCGCCCTCTCTGCAGAGCCGCAGTTGGAGGCCGCCGACTGCAGCTTCGATGCAGTCTTGATCTGCGTAAGCGTACAGTACCTGCAGCAGCCTGAGAAGGTCTTTGCCGAGATCTTCCGCGTGCTTCGACCGGGCGGGGTGTGCATAGTCAGCTTCAGCAACCGGATGTTCTACGACAAGGTGAGGATTAGTTGGTTTCGATGGGTTCCATTTAACAGAACCTAGGCCTTCTAGTCGAGGTTTGCGAAGTTTCGGATCTGAGCTTCGCTTGTTGGGGGACGTACAACGTTGAGGGTGTTATCTGTTGGAAGCAACTTAAACGGGGCTTGCTGAAGGTTTCTTGGGTGTTGTCGGACCTCCCTGGTGCGCCGTCTGAGCCAAGCATATTTTGTATCAGCAACCGCGTGTGTACAGGAACAAGGCGGATGCTGCGGTTGTATCGGAAAAGGGAGTGGGCAGAAAGGCACTTGGAATTCAGGGCCGATAAGCGAAGGATGTTGGGGTCGCACTTTTTGGGCACTGGAAGGTGTAGTCAATAACAGTTGTGCAATCGGTCATAGGGAGCGTCTGCGTATCTGTCGCCAAATGCACGTTCTGCCAGTTTCACATGGTTTGGAGCCCACGACTACGTAAAGATTTCAAGTATAAGGACGTTCGGTTTGGAGGTCAATGATTACCATCAGATGACCATCTTGAAGCGGACTGTAGTACGTGTTCTGAATGATCTCGCAGACGGGTGACTCAGTCAAGAAGATTCAAAGGCGGATAAGTACTGCGAGGCGGTTCCGCCATCTGTCCAAGACTTCCGGCAAAGGTTTTCAGCTGACCGGATTCAAATCAGCGCTTCGAACCGGCCTGCCCCTTTGCTTTACGGCCTGCCCCTTTGCTTTACGACGCCGACGGTCTTTTAGTTTGAGAAAGATTCTGACTGCCAAAAGGTGAGGTTACTTTGTCAACATCCAAACCTTTCCTCGGAAGTTTCCCTATTTGGACTCTGCCGTTCCTATCGGCCGAGTGGTTCCCACCAGAGGAGACGGATCGACAATTGCTGATGCCTGGGCCCGCATTCCGCCAACGTAGGTTCAGAAGTCAGTGATTGAGCACCCTTCCTTTCATGTGGAATCCCGCTTCGCTTGATTTGTGAGCGCTCTTTATTGTGCGCGCAGGCCATTGCGAGTTGGAGAGAGGGGACCGGGTACAGTCGGGTGCAACTGGTGAAGCAGTACTTCTCGTGTATACGTGGCTTCACGCAACCGGAGACGATCACGGAGCTGCCCAAAGCAGAGTCCAAAAGCAGTCAGAATTCTAACTTGCTGCAGAAGTTCTTGAAACTCTTCCGGCGCGCTGGATCAGACCCGTTCTATGCTGTTGTTGCATACAGAAACTTCAAAGCTACGTAAAGTTCATCAGACCATCTATGCGAGATCCCCCTGAGGAAGCTGAGCAATTACTTGAGCCCGCAACATAGTTTTAAACGTATGAGAATCCGACTCAAGCGAAACCCATAGTTGTATGGTACCCATGCTCGCACAATTGGGTACATTTCTCACTGATCATCATTTCCGACCAGGTGTTGTGACGCCCGTAATCCGGTGGAGGTTGAGTTCAGTGTTCGATGCGCGTGAAACTTTCGTCAGTACTTCGCACCACCGTGCGGGTCATAAGGCTCGCCACAGCCAGGTTGTTGCATGCATGTACGTAAGCTTTAGTCGAATCTAGCGTGTATGCCGAATCATGAACGGTAAACAATTAACGATGCGATATAAGGTAATCACCTGCCTCACGTAACTGAGCGCGGGGCCGCGGCCACTGCCAGACTCGGAGCATGATATGTGAAGTGTGGCGTGTTTGCCAACTAGCTTACCGCGATGCGCCATATCAAGACCCAAATTCTTGACTCCTTCCTGGGAGGCCAAATAGTTGGATCGAGTAGTCATGTAAATGGTTGATTTGGACAGGCCGCACAACCCTCGGACATATTTCGAGATCTGCATGAGGTGTTTGTCGAAAGCATGCCAGAATTTTGAACCGCAACCGGGTTCGTATGCATGTGCCGAGGAGCATTCATGCATCTAGCTATTGACGCGTCATTCTTTTGGAAAGGATTGAGCATCCATTTAGTGGGCATGCAGCGGTCCTAAAAAGCAGGCTTTCTGAGATATGCAAACGATTCTCTTCCGGTTCATTAAACAGTGAAGACGTGTCGAATCCTAAGCCAATAAGAGGATACAGTACGATTGCACTTCCGCAGATGTCTCACAATTTTCTCCGTATAAAAGGGGAGCTACAGTTCGGCGAAGCGCGAAGAAAAGGCGTATCGACATCTATGTACGCTATTCTAAGGTTTCTAGTTGGACAGTCTTTGACTATCTTAACTAATCTGGCACTCGCAGAGCCGCAAGCCTACCGCTCATGAACTGGTCACGCTCACCCACTGAGTCGGCTTTCGGTGAACGAAATGTCTGGTATTTACACGGTCGCTTGGAACCCCTGAATATTCTATCTATAAACCAATGTTCCCCAGCCGATGTCACTGTATTCAAGTTGTACGTCAATCAGCTCAAGCTCACAAGTTTGGTTCTGGAAGCTCACGGTTTCAAAGACCCAGTTGGCTGGAGGAACAGATACGGCCCCTCTCCGTCCCCATTTTACTTAAAGCCACTATTTTCACTTACGACACCCTATTATAGCCTTCTATCCATTTACATCACTTGTAGCGCACCGTCACTTCGAAGATGGGCAGCTCGTACTCGACCTTGTCCATGACCACGACGGCGTCGTTGCCCTCCTTGCGAAGGAACCCCACGGGGAGCGTGAGCACCAGAAACACGAGGAGCTTCTGGGGGCCGTCGGGACCGGGGAAGTGGCGGGCGAAATAGGAGCCGAGGTAAGGATTGGTGAAGTCCAGAGAGTAGGCCGGTTTTGTGGCAAAGTAGTCGCGCTTTGCTCTGCGGAGGCGGGGGTCCATTCCGTCCCGCACGATGCTGTCGAGGTTCTCGGGGCGGGTCCCGTGGAAGACGTGCTCGATGGGCGGTTCCGCCCGCCTCCTTTTCTGCCCACTCTCGTTGACCAGCATCTCTGCAGGCAACGGAAGTACCATTACAAAGACGAAGTCGTCTCCGCATTTGGAAGAACTTGCGGCCCCGGCGCTACGGGTCAATTCGAGCTTTTGAGATGCATGGGAAGCTGTGTACGTCTCCAAGCGCCCATTCACATCTCGCGGGCTTTCGTGGTGAAATTTGAGTTCTCATAACTGTCGCTCAAGGCCTTCGCTAAGGGTCAGCATTGACGAACTGGTAAGCCCGTGTAAAGCAAAGGTTGTGCGACTACCTCAGAACAAGATGGAGATGAGGTCGATGCCATTGAATTGGTTTGATGCACCTTCGTAGAATTGACATTCTATCCGGATGGATAGCACAGATTGTCGCTTCTCTTTGAGCGAAGTGCCCAGCATCTGATCACGAGCTCAATCTTCACCATGAGTTGATATGCGTTGAGTTGGGCCCACTTGGAATTGCATCAGTGCCCTCCGCATATAGGAATCAAAGGCTGAATCCAATACTGATCGGCTTCGCAAATAAAACCCGCAGAAACTTGTAAACTTGCTACATACATACCTTTGAGATCGTGCATGTGCTGCGCCAGCGTGTCCAGAAAGCGCTGGTACTGGTCGCTCTCGCGGTCCAGGTACGGATTAGGACGCTGACCCACCAGCTCCAAACCGTTTCCTCCATCTCCTTTCACGAGGTCCTCGATATGCTCAGGAGCGCGCAGAGACTCCACCAGATCGTGAAGCACCTGATTGAGCGAAGGCGGATCTACCGTTGAAACCCCATCGAGCGGAACTGGTTTTCGAGGTCTTGGAAAGCTCGTAATCCTAAATTACGATTGAAAAACATGGGTAGTACATCGAGGAATCCCCATAAGTTTCTATGCTCCGGTTTGTCTATTTCAGCTGAGTGAGTGGGTGGATCTAATATTGCTTGATGTGTTGATATCTTAACCGAAACCCTGGTTGTACCTCAACGGGTTTGCCATACTCGAAACGCAGGAGACTGCTCATAAGGAGACTCTTCAAAGAAGACTGCTCATAAGAAGACTGCTGATCATAAAACCCATAACGTTTCTGAGTCAGCGAGTAACATACTCGCGTGTATTTCAAGGGCTAGTCAATTGCTGACAGCGATTTCACAACCTTGAAATTAGAGCAGACACTAGAAAAGCTCAACCCCAGACAACTCCTTCAGGCGCGCGCACAAATAGGCAAACGCAAAAATTGCCGCTACAAGTGCAAGGTCGCCTTTTCCCTCACCAATTTCTTCTGGGCATGCTCTGCTTTCGCGATCGCGGCCGCGATGCCGGCCGCGTCCAGCGGGCACGCGATGCGGATCTCGGACGTCCTGCCGGTGACGGTGTCGGTCTTGGTCATGGAGGGCAACTCGACCATGCAGAAGATGCAATGACGTCAGCCTGGCGTGAGAGCACATTCGAAGAAATTAACTTGTTGGAGTGAATAGGCAAAAGCTCTGAAAGGCAAAGTGTTTGAGGAAGGCCTTAGCGTGATACTGCCGGAGAAGTTTTTGTGACAGCCAGTCCTCTCAGCGCCTGCCTATTTGACAAATTGATGAAGTTGCAGGTGCATCGTCGCTTTCGTTTAGCATAGAGTTTCTGCCAGCTCACGTACCACACACTGCCCAACTGGATGGTTCTCAAAACATTATTTTTCCACCGGAAAGGCAGAAGGTGCTGCCCTGTGCATCATATATACTTGCCTGCCGTTCCCCTCATCCAGAAGGCATCTGGACGCTCCAGTCTTTGTAACGCGCAGCAGAAAGCGCGCCGCAATGTTGGGGATCAGGTTCCATCGGCTCGATCCGGACTCTCGCTGCCAGATGCGGAGGAACGGCGGGCACTCGTTTGCAGCCAGCGCTTGCCCATTCTGCAGAAAGTCGTGATGAAATCTCGTCACTATTTTCAGAAAACTCCGTACATGGAAGGGGTCGCGAACTGGTTAATTAAACTAAGTTTGGGTTTAGAATTCTGTCAAATTAGCGCTCAGAGAAACGAGCACACGCATACGAAACACGACAACCGGATTGGAGATTGTTTTTCTTCTCAGAGAATGCTTGCCGCTTTGCTGTGGGAACAGATAATTCAAGGAGTCTTCCACTTTTGGGCAAGTCAAACAGCACAATAAAAGCCACGTACAGATTTTTTGGGGTGACCAACTGGATACAACACAATTATTCTGGAAGACGCTGTGGGCGGCCGCCTTTGCTACATTTTTCAGCCCCCTTGGCACTTCGAGCGAAACCCTTTACAGGAACTCTCTTTTTCAGATGGGCGCAACTGCGTTCAAGGGCTCCACTAGATTCGTTCCAAACTTACGTCACTTGACCACGCATTGAACCTTTTCCAGAACATTCATAAGCAACGATAATCACAGCAAGATGCCTTCCATTATAGTTCCTTGCGTATGGAGATTTTCACGACTTAGGCTTTCTTTCGGTCACCAGAATCCGCTTCCGAGAAGGAGCTTGATCGATCCTTTCACAGCGCACGTACCTGAACTTCTCCCGGACCCCCTTCGGCCCCCGCCCCGTCCACGATCAGAACCGGGCGCATGAAGCCACCTGGGCTCTTCTGCTGCATGATCCGCAGATCGACGGTGTACGTTACACGGGAGCCAAAGAGGAGGTTATTCACCCCTTCGAGAGTCACCCATTTCTGGGAGTTACGGAGGCCCTCTTTGATGACGTCAGTCTCCGTGCTTTCGTACCGGCGCCATTTGCGGTCGTCCCGCCACCAGACCCCGGGCGTGGTGGGGTCGGGGATCTGCCCGGTGATGCACATCGGGGCAGCCGGGGACGGAATGCGCTCCTTGCTTTTGAGAGCGCCTTCTGTATTCAAGGAAGTATCTCTGATGGTGAACGGACTGTTCGCTTTGGAACGGAAAAAGCTGCCGAAATGAAATGATTTTGTTCGGGCCGCTATAAGTGGCGGGTTTCTCGATCGATCCTGATGCATTAGAAGTTGTAAGATACAACTTTGTCACGTCGCAGGTCCTTTTTTCCTATTCTGATGCTCAGATACAGCTCAGTCCTCGTGGCTGATAAATTACAACACTACGGTAATCTCCCTCCCGTCCCACCGCTGCGTGAGATAAAGGTAGTTCAGGCTACGTGAGGCTCTTTCGTTTGATTTGACGTCTCTTCCAAGGGGCTACCCTGGGGCGGCGAGTGTAATTTGCAGACATTTTGAACAGGCTGCCTCTGGGCCTCCAGCATTGTCAGAGGCTTCATGCAAAGTAACACCAGCGCATCCCCGCGTATAGCGGATCGTCAGGGTCATCAATTCCAGTTGAGAGCCCGGCCGCTCGATTGATTCAAACTTCTCGTGACAACTCGGCTTGGCTTTGTCAATCAATCATGACCAATCGAAACACTTCAAGTCAAGCTAAGCCTAACAAAAGACGAGGAGAATCGAGTCCCCAGGACGTGGCGTGCTTTGTGACCGTTCATGGATACGCCATGCACGCGCACAAGCTGAAGGATTTAAGTGGGCCCACAAGATCCGCTGACATAACATTCAGCTTCACCTCCGACTGCTTTTATCAAAATCTTCAGCTTGACTTCAGTGCGCAGCTAGAGAGGAGGCAGGACACGCCCTAAGGGGTGCCCCCATGCGAGACAGCGTTTAGTGGCGCTAACGAAGACAAACGCGAACTAAGACTTACCCGGGGCACCTTAGCTCGCACGCTGAACAGGATGAGCCACTCAAACACAGCCTCGTTTTGAAAAGAGGAGAGAAGCCAGCTTGGGTTCTCAAGAACTACCAGATCGCGACGCTTTCACGCTCCTCAAAAGTACGCTTGGTCCGCAGATCAAAGCCCGCAATCTTCTTCGAAGAATGCCCTCGAAGGAGGAGCGCCCACGTTGCTTCCCCGGCCGCTGCTCCCGCCCCCGGTACACCTCCGGAACAGCGTAGCCGCAATTCCAGGTGCCCAAAATGTGCATCACCGGGCAGATCGACGACCCCGCGACGCCCGGTGTCTGGTGGCGGGAAGACGACGAGTGGCGCCGCTACGGGAGCACGCATGCTGACGTCATCAAGGAGGGCGTCCGGAACGGGTTGACGTGGGTCACTCTGGAGGGCCTGTCAGACGTCGATGGAGAGGAGCTTGGAGAAACGTACACCGTCGATCTGCGAATCATGCAGCAGAAGAGCCCACGAGGGTTCATGCGCCCGGTGCTGGTTGTGGACGGGGCGGGGGCGACAGGGTGGCCGAGGGTAGCAAAGGTCCAAGTCGCTGGAATTTCAGCCTCCTCTCTCATTGGTATCCCCGCTTAGAAGTGAGCATGAACATCTGGCCGAAGACCGTGAACGGGTCTGTTTGTCAGGATGATTTCCGAAGTTGCCGCTGACTGATCGCACACATTGCATCTTCTGGTTTTCTCTTTTCTCCCTTTGGTTGGGGCAACTCAATGATTCTTTGAGTGCAGTAAGGTTCTCTGTTTGAAAACGTGGGTGTTGCTGCTGCATAATTGACCCTCTCGGATTGCGCTGCCTTCCTTGCGCAAGCTGCACTTCTTTTGATCCCTATGAGAGCCTTCCTTGCCCTATCTTTCGCCGCACTTCTCAGAAATACTCTTTTGCAAAGACGGGAACGGAGGTCGCTTAACGCCCGCAGTATTCGCTCTTGTGCAGGGCGGACAGGCTCTTTCTGCAAACGTGCTTTCGCCCCTCCTCCGGATCTGGCAGCGGGGATCGAGCTCCGACAAGTGGACGCGCGTCTCTGACTTGGTGGCCCGCTTTCTCCTGCGTGCGGCCAAAACCGGAGCGCCCACGTGTCTGCTGGACGAGGGCGACGGCAGGTAAGTCGAGATCTGGTTCTTTGGCAGAAGTTTATACCAAAATTACAGCTGTTTATTGCAAGGTCAGCAGCACCTCTCTTTCAGAGGATTGTTGTTCTGCAACTGGATTTACTCCCGAATCCTCTCACTAGGACAGATAATGATTTTCTGTCGATGATCTCCCCGGATTGATGATCATTTCAAAATCAGACTTGAGATGGCCTCACTTTCACCTCCTCTGAACTACGTTTTTGAGACTTTGGAAGACTGGCCAAGTAAGATTCGGACGGATTTGCCGGGTGGAATTTTGGACGATGACATGCCAACATTTTAAAAGCCCTCAAGAGTCGCTCTCGAACGTCGGTTGAAGTCTTGACTGATCTATATCAAACTGCTCTTTTGGCTGTATGTATTTAGCCCTGCTGACGTCAGACACACGTCACTGCAGCTTCGCCATGGTCGATTTCCAGTCCATGACCAAGACCGACACCGTCACTGGAAGAACGGCCGAGCTCCGAGTCGCTTGCCCCCTGGACGGAGACGGCATCGCGGCCGCGATCGCGGCAGCAGACCACGCGCAAAAGAAGCTGGTGAGCGCCAATCAAAGCGTGGAGTGTACGTACTTCAACCGGAAACCTGGGAATATACTGAAACTGAGAGCCAAAGCCAGGGACGTCGGAGTTTCTGTTACCTCGGAAAGATGTTTCAGGAAAAGCCGTTCTTTGATCAGGATGAAAGAATGTGCTCGAGAACCCATCAGCCGTTGCATTCAAAGGTTCCTTCCGATTCTGATCCTCAGCGCAAGCGATATGAAGACGTCACTCAAATAGATTCGGCCGGGCTAACCAACTTATTGATGAGATTCAGAACCGCGAAAGGAGTTAGCGAGCACAGTAATAGAGATGAAAAAGGAAAAGGGAGCAAGTGTAGAGATTGAAAGGGAGTAACAAGCACCGTGAGTATTTGATCTCATGATCCCTCGGTGCAGGTGCTTCACGAACTCGTCAAGTCCCTGCGCGAACCGGACAAGGTAGAGGGCTTCGTTAACGAGATCGGGGGTGATTCGGAGTGGAAGCTCGTCGCGCAGCGGCCGAACCCGTACCTGAGCTACGAGAGCCGTCTCTACCAGCGCTTCTTGGACTCCCTGGCACACCACATGCACGATCTCACAGGTAAAGATCTTAGTAAGAGTGTAATCTGACAAGATTGCATCCTGGAAACGGGGCTGTATGTTGCTGTATGTTGCTGTATGTTGATGACTCGCCGGATTTCACCCGCCGATCCCAGTATTTCACGCTTTGCGCCGATTGATATGCATATTCTTTAGAAGTCTTGACGCGCGAGCAAGTCTTCCGGCCTCTCGAAGAAATTTTTGCCTGGATAGCTGCAGCATCATTGTGTAAAAAACTCGCGGCAATCCTGTCCGTAGCTGGACATAGTCAACAGACGGTAATGGTTGACTCTGCTGGCGGCCACAGATCATGAAGGATGGCAAGCCCTTTTGAAACCAATTTTTGAAGACAAAACACTATGGTACGGACAACAGCCGCCTGCATTCGTAAGGCCTTTTGACGTGACGTCACAGCGGAATAAAAAACAACAGCGTTAACGCAACTGCGCGTTTCTCCTCGCAGGGCTGATATTGGGAAAGAGCACTAGTACTGGCAAGAGGAAGCGGTTGAAAGAGTCGCCCATTGAATACGTTTTCCATGGAACGTGCAACAAGAACTTGGAAAGCATCCTCAAGGAGGGTATGGATCCCAAGAAGCGTATATATGGCTACGACTTCTTTGCCTATGACGCCGAACTCTCTTTGGGATACACGGATGAAGATGAAGTTTTGGATGGGATGGATGTCGAAGGAAACCTTCTCGTTTTCCTCGTGCTTACGCTTCCTCCGGGGTTCTCTGAGCGGACCCTCAGAAAGAACGGAACGATGGTACTGATGGAAAAGGTGGAGTACGAGCTCCCAATAGCCGTTGCAACTGTGCGCAAGCCTAGTGCTGGCGAACGAGACGAGAATTAGGTGTTTGTGGATAAGGAAATCTGGTAGAGCTCGTTCGGAATGTTTTTAAAGATACTTCTGAACAGCAGATGGTTTCATCAAATTCACTTAGAGCGAACGTTGATGGCCCTTGATAGACAGAACTTCTATTACGTATCAGACGACATACTGTAGCTCAGGGTGCTACTTCTATTGTTTTGAAGTGATTGCATCTTTGAAAGAACGTTTCAGGGTAAAGATTCCACTTTTATCTCCGGAGTGGATGGATGGAAGTCGTGCGTAAAATTGTCTGATCACTTGTCCTCGCTAAGAAGCAAGAAACCGTGCAGTACTTCTCGCACTTTGAAGCTGCTATGCCCAGACATATAAACCGCACGTTGCAAGAACTGGTCTTGGTATTGGCATGAAGTTGCGCATTCGCTAGCATTTTCAAGTCGTCTTGAGCAAAACTCTGGATGCATTAAAATAGATCGACACAACCGGCCGTGCGCCTGCAATTCTGATCGGATAGACATGGATGCCGCACTGATTCACCCGCCGAAGCATGCTTCAAAGAAAGATGTTTTAAACTGAGAAATGTTGTTGCCGCCACTCGGGTCTGAAGCCCGCCGGAAGCAACGGAATCTCCGCACGGAACTCCGCACAATCGACGTCTGCGTACAAGTAGGGGCGTAAGATGGAATAGCTGATCATCAGGGTGAAAAGGCGATGCGTTTGCCTTCGCTGGCATCGATAGTCCGATTGGCATGCATTTCAACGGTGGCTCATTATTTATTTTGGCAAACAGAGCAAAGGCATCCTTGTGCTTCGTACAAAAAGTAGTAGCTTACTTCTTCTTCAGCGTCGCTCGTACACTAATGATGAGGACGCGACGCTCGGTCTAGAGACATATATTGTCTCGCATCCTGGAATAATCAGAAAGCCCGGCTGTTTCGAGGGCTCATTGCAAAAATGACGCAGTCTCAGTCCAATCGTTAGACTTTCGGTGTGAAACTCTGGTGCAGCCTCAGGATGGCAGAGGATGCGGCTTATGTGAGGTGCTTCTTATCAGGGGGCAGATTTCATCAACCGGGCTGTATAAAAGAAAAACTAACATGATGAACGGGCTGCCTTGGGACCTGCGAAGTCGTCCGAATTCTCAGGCGTTACGACATTGGCGCAAAAAGCGTGCAGACAGCGGGCTGTCCGTGAAGTCAAACTCCTGGACAAGCCGCTCGTACGGACTTACCCTCTGTTTCAAGCTTGGTGTTACGCATTTCATGCTGGTGAGCAAGTGTGATCTTGTTCTGACGGGGTCGGATCAAGATCGACGAAGAATTTTAGCCCGGCCTGTTGTGGCTGCGAATCGCCCCTGGGCGTGAAAGTAGCGCCATGCACAAGAAGAGTGAAGGTGGGCTGACGAGATCGCCCACAAAGTTTCCAGTGCAGTGTCGGCATGTAACTTAGAGAGTACATCAAGACTGATAGACTCGAGCGCCAAATATGCATTTTCGAGTTGGAAGAAACAACAAAAGGAATAAAGGTCGATGAAGCTTGGCACGCAGGCTGCCGGACTTTACGGGGTCCCTTCTGAAGCGCGCTGAAGAGAGACTTGACGGAGAGAAACTATGCTCATATGCGAGCCTGCATCAGGGTTCTTCTAGGCAAACGTCCGACTTACGAGGTCTTCATGCTCTAAGCCGCAGGACTTGCCTGAAAGATCTAGAGCTTGCAGTTTCTCCCAGCGATGCCCCCCTTCAAACGGCGCTCACGCTTTCCCGGTTTCTGGTTCTCCCGCCCCCGTTACAATTTTCGCAAGAGCGCAACAGATTTCCGGTCGCCCAAAATGTGCATCACCGGGCAGATACCCGACCCCACCACGCCCGGCGTCTGGTGGCGGGACGACACCGTGTGGCGGCTCTACCAGAACGCCCACGCTGACGTCATCAAGCAGGGCATCCAGAATGGGCTGGCGTCAGTGACCCTGTATGGGGTCCAGAATTGCGTCCAGCCGGTGCATGGAGAGACATACACCGTCAATCTGAGGGGCATGCAGCAAAGGAGCCCACGTGGCTTCCTGCGGACGGTGCTGATCGTTGGGGCGGCCGCGGCCGCGGGAGGGCCCCCGGCGACAATCCAGGTAGGCGGAGCGGAGGTTGTTTCAAGCTGTGACTTCTAACTTCGTTCGAAACAATTACTTGAAGATGTATGGTGATTCTCGAGGCTTTCAGACAAGAGGGGATTGAAGAGGCGGGCCGAGGCTGTAGGCCTGCGGTGAACCAATATGTTTCTTGATCAGCTTGATGAGCAGAGTGCTGAAAACAACCTAAGCTAAGTCACATGATGGTCGAAGGTCGAGAAGGGTGTGAGCTGTTGCTCCGGGTTTGTGTAAATGCGCTTCGGAAGCGCTGAAAGGTGCCTCCGCGACGGTATACACAAAACATGAATCAGCGTTGACTCCTTTGAGTGACGAGCCTCACTTTTTCTCCTCGCGTCTACTTCCATTCTCCGCTAACACGCGCAAGAGCGCACGCAAAGGGACACAGTTTTGCGCTGCGAGACTTCCCGTACGAAACCCACGACTCCGACAATATGTTAAAGCTCAGCACAGCTTCGGAAGGTCTCACATAGATTCGTTCTCAGCTCAATTTCGTTCTCATCCCAATCTCGTTTCTTTACAGAACGGACAGACACTCGCTCTGCCGCCGAGCTCGAGCTCTGGCCCGCGCCCCCCGCTCCAGGTGTGGCACCGGGACCCGTCTACCGGGGGGTGGAACCAGTTCTCCGCGAGCGACTCGCGCTTCCTCCTCGACGCCGCCCGGTCGGGATCGACCAGCTGCGTTCTGCTCGAAAGTGACGGAAGGCAAGTCAATCTGACCACCTCAACTGCGCGTATTACAGTAATGATCTCAACTGTTTGCAGCAACGGGTGGTTGTCGATGAAGCGGTACTAATTTCCTTCTATAGTCCGCACGCATTGTTTAAGTGAGGCTCCACTGGTCTTCAGGCAATACTACGATAGATTGACTTGGCCAAAGCTTCTGGAATGGCATAAGCTAGATGATTGAACGGCTCGTCTTTGTCGGATGCTGGTCTACAAGGCTTTGATCTGCTGACGATCCAGTGAAGCGTCAGCGATACAATTTCTCTGTCCCTTTCGAACAAGGCGTTACATAAGTCCAGGCTGATCCTCGTTTTGTCATTTCCAGCCACTTCAAAAGTCCGTGGACGTCTTCTGTAATCGACTTCGCTTCGATGACCATGACCGACACCGCCACCGGTGTCAAGACGGACGTCCGCATCGCGTGCCCCCTGGACGGGCAGGAGGTTGCGTCCGCAGTCGCGGCGGCGGAGATGGCACAGAGGAAAGAGGTGGGCGCCTCTCTTTTGGGTCACAACGATACTTGTAAACGCTTTTCCCCAGCTGTGTTGAAAGCCCTCGAAAATTGATGAGCAGCACTTCTTGCGGGCCAAGATTGCCGAATCTTGGCAGCCGCAAAAGGTATGTGAGTTTGCTGGGACTCTGCTTTGAATGTGCCCATGACAGCAACCAATTAGCGCGTAAAACCCTTGCAATCATGGAGATGAGCAGAAACAATCTTGCAGTTGAAAGATGACTTGTGTGGCTCCAACAAAGCTTTGACACATGTAAAGCAGAGCAAATCTCGGTAAAACTGCCTACATTTCAATCTGCGGTAAAATTCCCTATACCTCATTCTCCGTGTCTCTGCCCACAACCGGAAGCTTCGCGTCATACACTTCGTGAGGACCTTCGACCCCCACGGCTGTGCTCACCAGCGAGCGCAGCAAACTCAGAAACTTCCCGCACGATTTTCGCGCTCGTTCTCGGCACAAAAGCCTCCGTGTCTTCCGCTTACCGCTTCGAGATCCTGTTCTGCTCGTTTCACAAAATGTGGCTGACTTTGCAGTTCAACAAACACCAAGTCTTTTAAGGGCCAGTAACTGAATCTCTTTGATGTATCCACTGACTGGCAGCGTCTGTACGAGATGGTGGAGTCGCTGCGCGCCCCCGAGAAAGCGGAGCCCGTGTTACAGAGCCGTGTCCGTTCTCAGAGCTACTTGCCGGGCGTCACCTTGGACGTCACGAGCGTGCGCGCGAACTCTTTTCTGAGCCGCGGCAACCCGCTGTACGAGCGCTTCGTGGCGACCCTGGCGCGTCACATGCCGGACCTGAGAGGTGAGAATCGCGATACGCGTCGCCGCGTTGGCAAGTTGCGGAATCGATAAGTCACGGATTCTTTAGATGTGGTGTGTGAGCGGTTCAATGGTATTGAGGGAATCAATATGGTCAACATGTTGTGTGTGTTGTTATACAGCCGAAGCATCCCAGAGATCCGCAAACCATCCCAGTCTCTCGGTTGACGTGAGCCCACTCTCTCTGCTCCTTACCTCCATGCTCACATCAGTTTCTGCAATGCAGGGCTGCTTGAGAATGGCGGCGTCTCTCCGAGCAACCCTCATTCTGTCATCGAGCACGTCTTCCACGGAACGCCTCCGGACAACCGCGCGAGCATCATGAAGCACGGCATGAACCCGAGTCTGAGGACGTCTGGGGCGGACTACTTCTCCACCAACGCGGCTGTCTCTATCGGCTTTTGTGGAAACGAGCTCAGTGTCGTGACGCGTAGACGTGATTGGGCAGTCAAGCTTCTGGTTTTCTTGGTCCTGAAGCTGCCCCCAGGGTTTGAAGCGAAGCGCGGCAACGTGGTGACCATGCGCGAAGTCGAGTACGAGCTGCCCATTCTGGAGGTGACGGTCCACGAGAGAGGATGCTAGATGATTGTAAGGAAAAGCCTACAGTCAAAGTGAAGATAGGGAAACAGTCTCGAGTTCTCCGGTCTCGCGGCCTGTACCTGAGACCAGATAGTACGCTTGGAATTATAGGAGCACTTCAGTCGGTTCAACAATATCGTAAGCCAAAGGGATCAGGACCGATGAGCTGTACAGGATCATGCAGACTTTCACTGGGCTGTAAATTTAAAACTTTTACTCTGATTATGAACCAGGGGCCATAGCTCACTTTGCCGGTTTCATCGAATGAAAACATCTGGTCAACTGTTGTCGTGCGAGTGTATGGACAACCACAATGCTTGGTCACGATTGATAAGTGCTAGAAAGACATATCCGTCGAGCTCAGCTGGTTTGATTACGCAAACCATGAATTTATATGTGCACGCTTGCAATGTCAATATATAGGATTTGCCTGCCTAAGACGCCTTATAACTGCAGCTACTGTTGTATGCTTTAAAAGGCTTGGGCGCTGCACCATGAAGCCTTCGATCGCTGTTTGTGCACATGTCCACTTCTGATTCGAGCATGATGTTCTAAAATTTTAATGACGAATCTCATTTTTCTTCACGCGCTCGTTACTTTGAATATACCTATGCTACGACCCATGCGCAGCGCGGCCGCGCAGTTAGTACCTGTTAACTTCGGACCGCGGAGGCAGCCGGAAAAGTAGATCTATCGGCAGCCAAGCGCTAAGAACGGTTGGACTCGAACGACGCTAGCGCGTTCAGAATAAGTCACAAGAGTTGAATGTCTATGCTTCGAGAAGCTCCCCGTGTTCGTAGTGTAAGTTCTTGACGTACCACAGGTGAAGACCGAGCCCGTCGAAAAAGGCTGACTGCAGGGATATCGCTTTCGTGGCGGGGGTGACGAGACTTTTCATAGGTCTTCTTAAGAGGTTTCACTGTACCCGGCGCGTCAAACTCACGCTCCAGGGAAGCTTGCAAGACTTTTGCCGTACCGAATTTAGGTATATGTAAGACGGTTGTGTCTGCGCTGAAGCAATGACCATCAGACCCTTCGACACTGGATCGTGCGGCTAGCCAGAATAGTTCTTCACACCGTCAAATGAGAATGCTCATGATCCATCCATCCGATTCTAGCCTTAACTGCTTTCAAACCCATCTCTTCCTTTTTACACTGACCGTACAATGTACATGATCTCACTCATAGTCCCGACCAGATGTACAATCCTAGTGCCCCTGCCTCCTACCCTGAGCTAGCATTCTCCCCAAGGTGCTACTCAAGGATCGACCCCTGCTCCACCCTTTTTTTTCCATCCATTCAGTCACCGAACGGATACTATTCTTAATGGCCGGCCCAATTGCTCCATAGACAGTTTCGTTTCTTATCACGGCCTCTGCATGTGCCCGCGCTGCAGCGGCAACTCCCCCAGCTCCTCTCGCAACGTCCGCTCGCTGCCGCAGCAGACGATGGACGTCCGCCAATTCTTGCGCGCGCTGCCCGCGTGCCGCTCGAACTCGGGCGGCGTGAATGGCTGCCGTGCGCTCCCTGTACGAATAGCTTTCGCTTTTCTACCACGTCTTCGTGTGGAGACACGAAGGGTGCGTACGAGATCGGAGTCTGAGGATTACAGCGAAACGGCTTACTACTGGGTACGGTTTGCTTACGTACGCAGGCTTAGAAAGGACAGAAAGGGTTGATGAGGCAGGCAGTAAGGAGACGTAGCGGACGACAAAGAACAAAGAAATCAACACGACCTTTCAGAACAGCTTCCAGCAAGGAAGTGCTTTTAAAGCGTGTACAGAACGAGTTCCCGCTTGTTCTATCCAACGAAAGCATCACCTGAGACTGCTGAGACCAGCATGAGAGGAACTATCATTGCCGCTCGCTGAACCGTCGATAGTCTTTGCACTTTTACCATCAAAAGGCTTTCAAAATTCTCTTGAGGCACACGCAAACACAGGGAACCGAGAATAGTGCACAGAGGAGACTGCATTTCCGGTCGACGGACTTGCTGCCAAAACGGAAAGACACAGTAACGAACAGCCCACTCTTCGACCTCTAGAGGGCACTTCCAGCCCAAGAATCTCATACAGGACTCCCTTCTCACCTCCACCGGCCATGCAGGCAGCGCATTCACACCAAACCCAGCACACCCCGGCCCCTCCCCCGGTCTCCTCGTACGCCAGCGTCCCATACGTATCGTCCTTGCCCGGGCCACTCCGCCGACACCTCACCCGCCGCCGGTGCGCCTCGTCGAACCGGGCAAGACCAGGCGGTTCTTCCTCCAGAGCCGCCCCCTGTGACTGCGGTTCACTCTCCGGTGCATCGGACGCTCCGTCTATCTCGGCAGACTCCTGCACGGGTGGTTCGTACCGCTTCTGGGCGGGCGGTTTGTACCCTTCGCTTGGCTCCTGAGCAGGCGGTTCATTCTCCCGGGCAGTCTCCTCTGGCCGTGACTCACCGCCCCGAGCCGACTCCGAAAGCATGGCTTCTTTGTTCTGGCCGCGCAAGTCACCCAGCGATGACGTATGCCTCGGCCGCTTCAAGCGGATTCGGGTCGGGGGAATGTGCGCATGCGCCTGAGCGGAGCCTCCCTGCCCGGGGGAGTCCTCCGGGGCACCCTCTACATCCGCCAACGAGTCCAGTGACTTCAGCTTCTGGAGCACCGTCAGCTCCTGAGGGATCCCCCCGTCCCAGGCGCTTGAATCAGTTGCCCCGAGACTGTGAACTTCCTCCCGGGCGTTCTCTTCACTGAGCTTTTCTTCAGGAGATCCTTGCTGTCTCGCCTCCGCTCGTACACTCTTCTCTTTGCTTCCCTCGTGCATCGGCCCCCCGTCTCTGATCGCACCTTCATTCTCCCGCGCCTGCGCTGCTTCAGCCCTGGCCATCGCAGCGTCCCATTCACCCCCGGACAAATCGCCCCAGTCCCCTCCCCAATTTTCCTCCCCGTGCTGCTCCCCCCGGCTCGCTGCCTCCCCCCTCTCCGTATTCTCCGCTTCCATGCCGCCCCTCCATTCTACTCCCGTTCCCCCCCCGTCCGCTGCTCCCAGTTCTCCCCCTCCCTCCAGTCCAATCTGCGCCCCCCAGCCGCCGTTTCGTACCAATTCGAACCGTTCCGAGTCGCACTCGGGAACAAAGCTCGGGCTCATCAGCAGCTCCGTCCCCCACGTGGCACGCATCCCGCCATCCCTTGCCACATCTCGACCGTCCGATGGGCTTCCCTCCTCCAGATCGAGGGTCTCGATTCGCGGCCTCTTATCGGCGGACGTCTTAGCCCCCTTTTTGGGGGGCTTCTTGGCTTTCGAGCCAGTCGCTTTGACCGTATGTCCCTTCGGGACTTTCGATGGGGAGTGCTTCTCCTCGCCGGATCTCGCACCTCGGCTGCCGGATGCTTGGACGGCTGTTGTCCGGGTCTGCGCGCGTGAGGAGAGGGGCGCGCTTTGGGGCCGTTGTGGCGGCGGTGAGGGCTCGTCCGCTGGTGCCGGCCGCTTCTTTGCTTTGCGCGCAGCTTGTGAAGTGTCTGCACGTTGAAAATTCAAAAGCTCGAAAGAGAAAGAAAGCTGGAATCGGAACGTCATGAAGGTGTGCAGAGGTTCGCAAACTTCTCGAAACCAGATTCGACAAGGGTGATCCTCTCTCGGGTCAGCGAGCTACATCCGGAATAAATTCCTCAATGGTTGACATCCTGTCATTGAGGTCCATTGCACGTTTCTTGGGTCTTCTTAGCTGTTGACAGTTGGTTTTAAGAGAGCTCGGGAAGCATAAATCGAAATTCGCCAAGACAAGCGACTCTCATGCACGCATCGAATGACTTCATGTCAGCAATGTCCATGACCCTGTCACGCCAAATTGCTTTTTCTTACCTCCGCCAGCCGCCCCCTCCAGAGCTCCCACATTGCCACCTTTCTTCCGCCTCTTCCGCTTCTCGACCTCCGAACCTGCTTTCCGACTCGCCGCCTGCTGAAACGACCCCTCTTCCATATGACCTGCCGCTCTTTCACCTAGTGTACGGGTTTCGTTGCCCTCAGCGGCGAGACGGGGCAGGGAGGGCTGCTCCTCGTCCGGGGGGCTAGAACGCCCAGGCGCTGCACCCCCCTCTTCGTTGCCTGTGCTTGGGGAGCCGTTGCCAAAGCGCTCTGTCCCTAAGGACCGCCCTTCTCCTGTCAGTCAGATCGTCAGGATAATCCGAGTTGGTGCTTCTTTCAAGATTACAACAACTGATGTAAATGAAGGAAGCCAGCAGAGCTTGTAAGAGATGTGTCCAGGACCTTGGCTGCTGGAGAGCTGTCTCTCTTGACCGAAAGCTCTTTGAGAGCTTGATAAAACCACACTCGTTTTCGTTTCTGACAATTGCGCCCGTCGCTGCGTCTGTTTGGACACTACAGAGCTAAACGGATGCTCAACATGAGGGTCTCGGGTGATCTATTTTGTGTGCCACGGATTTCTACAGGGATCTGAAGCTCCAGACTGACTCTTACCTGGAAAGTCTCGAAAGTCTAGTCTGGCTCTCACCTGGAAAGTCGGTGGGGAGCATCTTGTGGATCTTGTTGACAAGCGCCAAGTGCCAGCGGTTGAGGCTGCCTGCCATCTCGGGCACGATGCGCAGGCATTCCCGCTTGACCGCCATCTTCTGATTGAACATCTCAATCTTGTGCTGCTCCTTGAGCCTGACGAGAAGACAGCTTGATTATCAACTTGAACTGAACAAGGATAGCAAGAAAGATAAGCTCATGTAAGAGTCACACACGCGAATGAGCCCGAAAAGTAGAGCTATAGGAGGCGAGTTGTCCCGCGTCGATGAATCTAATTGCTTTACAAGAGCTACCTTGCAATCATGAATCGGTACTTGTTGGAAATTTTCCATCAGGCAGTTCATCTCCTCAAACCACTTCTCCTTTTCATTTCGAGGGTAAGGTTCACTTTCGTTGTCAGCATAATCTCGACAGGCGGGTTTCTGCCGTCTAGTAGTGCACCTCTTTGACGGTATCCAAGGCGCAACAATAACCCGTAGCCGCACTAAAGTATCAGGTCAGAAATACGTATACTTGTGAGCCATGGTTTTGGAGAAATGCTGAGAACTACTGAGAGAGGTTCTCTGCGCAGTAATCTCGATATGTGCTTCAGGTGCTTCAATTGGTTTTCGATGTCAACCACAGCAATGAGCCTTCAGCACTTTTCAATACAGATAGGCAGCTTCTTCTAAATATTCCACGACTTTCTGCAAACTTTACCAGCATGCACAAAGATTGCATGAGGAACTGCTCTTTTAGCGGTCAACTCACCTGCTGATCTCTGCATCCTTTGTTGCACTGCACTCCTCCCACGCCCTGGTCACCGCCCTTGCGCACATCTCCCGCGTCTCCTCCTTCATTTGCGCTGTACACTCCTGCCTTTTCCTCTCCAGCCTCTCCGTGCACTCCTCTCTCTCCCTCTCCTTTGCCTCATGCACCAGCGTCCGGACCTCCTCCCTGTCCACCGCTTGCAAAGATCCTGGAGTGTTCACAGCGACAAACTGCCCCCACTGTTCCCGCAAGGCCCCCTCCTGCTTCTTTAAGATGGCTCTGAGCTGCGCAATCGTGTCGCTGAGATGTGCAATGGTGTCCTGGTGGGATCTCAGCTGTGCCTCTAGCTCCAGCTTTTCCTGTTGGAGTTGCTCCAACTTGGACTCCATGTCGTGGCTGGGGGTTTGGCACAGGCTGGCAAGCTGCGGAGTTTCAGATGGTGCAGACAGCATTTCTTCAGAAGTGGGGAGCGCGTCTGTGAGCGTCTGCCTGCTGACAATTTCAGAGACGACTGCCATCGTTTCAGGGTTGTTTTCTGCAGTAGTTTATGGACTTATTACCACCATCCAAGGAGTCGGCTCACATAAAAGGACCTACTTCTTCTGAATTTCGCAGAAACAATTGCAACCGCTACTCTTCCAGCATTCTTTGGTCCGGCTAGTCAGGATGGACTTTGTTTCACTATTCCCCATTTACCTCTCTGCTGCATCGCCTGCTGCATACACCATTGCTTCTAGTGTGGGAGCTAATGAATGTATTATGATTGAGGAAGGTGGATTAAGGGCATCGAAACATCAATGATTCCTGACACTAGCATTGGTAACCCAATGCAATGTCAAAACTCGAGTGCCTCCTCCCAGCTTGATCAGCCCCAGCAATCGTCAAAACTCCACCACCCTCATCAAAGCCCCTCAAATCAAGGACGAAGCTTCCTCCTCGATGAAGAGCGTTAACCTGCCACAGCCTGCGAACTAATGTGCAAACCTCGTCACAGCATTGCAATTTGCACTTCCAACCATGCAGAAATTAGCAGCTCAATGGCAATGCGCATTGGCTTGCTTTTGCCTTGGGCTCAGAGTCAGAGTCATGGCCCTTGCCATTGGGTTGCATGATGAAGCCTGAAGGGGGCCCCGTCAACTCAAGGTCTACCCCCCCTGGCAAAGCTTCGCAGTTTGACTCGTTCATCGAGCCGTCCATCTTGTCAGTGCTATGCATCGAACGGCTTTATATCTGTCACGATGGCGTCTTGGGGTTCGGAACCGAGGCTTTTCGGGGAGGTGGGCAAGCCAGTCTCAGATTGGTCAATGCAAGAGCAACTCCACCTGTCTTGAGCCCACTTGAGCCTGAGCCTGAGGCTGGAGCAGACGAGCTAGCCAGGTAGGCTGGCGCTTTCATTCTCACCGTTTGAAAGTCGATCAGGAGGTTGAGTTGGATTTGTCTGGATCACTTCGGTTCTTTCAAAGCGCTTGAAACAGCTTCTTGGCGTTAGGGGAGAGCTGGGCATCTGTTTGTCGTCAATCTAGTTGAACGAGACGATGGCGTCTGCAGTGCATATGGCTGCTTCCAGCGTCAGCTCACGAGTTTTTAGTTCTGCCTCTGCCTCGTGCAGCGGCAGCCTGGACCGGAACGATCTGAGGAATGTCAGAGCAGCAAACCGATGTGCACAGTCGACGTTTGTCGGCAACCTTGCGCCTCTGAAGAGCGTGCACTCAAGGAATCACAAGCAGCAAGCACATGCGGTGGCCCGTCCGGTTGTTGCGACTTCAAGTGGAGGCGGCCGGAGAGACGGTGAGTAGAATGTCCTTTGAGGCAGTCACTCTGTTGCTTTAGGACAATTCTAAGATGCTCTGAAGCTGTTCATATGAGACGGCCTTGTTTTGCGAATTTCATGCTAAAAGATGGTTGCCCAGTTCAAGGAAAGGCCCTCTTGGAAGTTGCTTTTTTGGTTGGTGAAGACTTGTTTCGCTATCATATGCCAACAGCTTGCGATGAGAGAAGCGCAAACAGTTAGAGTAGCTAGAAGTTGATTTAGAGCCGATTCAAGGTGGTGCGCTTTACTTCCCAAAGCAAGCGGTCCTCATTTGCCCAATCTTACTCAGTATCAGGATTGCCTTTCAATCGCTTTGGTTTCTACTGATCTTTTTCATTGCCAATAGTTGCAAGGCGTTCGCTTTGAAAAGTATCTTGGGACTAAGGAACCCATCCATGTTAGAGCTCGTTCCATGTTAGAGCTCGTCATACCTCAGGAGTGGTTGCTTTTCCTACCGTCCATCTTGTAGTGTCTGATTGTAGTCTGCGGATTCTCAGCGGCTATCTGGTGTGTGCAGATTCTATTTACGACACAGGGTCGTTTGAGATGTGCAACAAGAGGTTCGGAGTCTTCACACGAAGTTATTGCAATCAAGGTGCCACAATAATGTTTGTGTATTCGTCACCCATCACTGTCACTCTCTGGACTCTTAGAATGTAAGCCCCCATCTCTTGCGATCCCACAGGTGACCAGACCAGCAAGCAGGTGCTCGACGCTTTCTTCCTTGGTCGTGCCCTGGCAGAGACAATCAACGAACGGTTGGGAACAGCGCTTGGCGAGCTGATCAGTGAAGTGAGCCGTGTCCAAGCGGAACAGCGGGAGTTCATCCGGGAGTTCCAGGTGGGTATCTTATTTAGCCCCCCTTTCCTGATGGTTCTGCTATTATCTGCAACAGGTCCTTTTCAAAGATGTCCTTGGGCTTGCAAGAATAAACTCGCTACTTCTAACAGCACTGTGGAAGGGACCTTGTTGGAAGCAGTTGTGAAGTCGAGCTCCTTGCTTGTGGTGAAATAGCTGCCTATGCTAGAACCTCTGCATCTTGCTACCCGTTTTCACTATGTATTGTTAAAGGATTGTTTTGGTTCAACTGGAGCTCTTCTTTCTCCTAGGAAAAGTTGGTTCCTGGATGTTGATGTGCTTTGCGATCCTGCTGTAGGAGGAGGTGCAAAATCGGGCCGAGGCTGAGCTTTCCAGAGCAGCCAAGTCCGTTGTCTGGGAGCCCCCAACGAGGTCGTCAACGAGCAGCACGAGCGAAACGAGCGGAAACAAGACGTACGAACCTCCTCCATCACGCATTTCAGTCACGGCTGCTATAACCGAGAATCCTGCCAAACCCGGTTCCACCTCATCCGGGTTGGATACGAGCGACCCCTCTCCTCCTTCTGTATGAGTCAATAAGAGAGTCGGTCTTGGCATCTAACAAGTAGCAGTGAGTGAGTTTAGCCCGACTGCTGGCTGAATGGTTCTACCTTCCGCCGACTTACTCTAGTTTCCATCATGAAACATTTGAAGCAGCATCTGACGGCAAACGCACCTGACAGCTTCACTTGGGAGAATTGTCGTGAAAGACTTACTCGGAGAGGAATCAGAAATTGGACATGTTGAAGTCCATGCCGCTGAATAATCAAGGGCGTCTAGCTCATAGAGAAAATTCCACTTTCAACATTAGGTTACTGCAGCCATGCCGTGCTTGAACGCCTTCCGATTAATATCATTGTGATTGAAATTGAGTGCGCCACAGTCTTTTGATGAAGTATGATAGATATTGGCTGTTTGTATTATCAAGCGGTCAGCTAAATGCTAGCATGCACGCTCAAGCCTGACAATCAGCGACATTGCAAGTCTGCATGACCACAATGAACAGTATGCATAGCGGCCAGGCCATGGGGCCCGACATGGCGCGTGTTCCACATACACCATCATATAGGACCATGATCGACTTACACCATCATATAGCCGATCTGCATGTATAGATGAAATATTCTTCCATGCATTTGGCGTGCTGCCCTTTGACGATTCAACCATGCGCTTGTCGAAAGTTACAAAGCTCACATCTTGGCATGGCGATGGCGGCCGCGGCGCGGGAGCATGGTTTGAAATGCATCAGCTGTATCATGTCCCGAGTCCACAATGGTGGCGGGCTAGCACATTGCAATCAATCATGCCAATGCAGATGTGGGTCCATACATTGCACGTTTACAGATGGCATGGTCTTACAAACTGGGCAGGAGAAGAAAGCCACGTAAGAGGCCGGTCATTATGCTTGATGTATAGACAAGCCGTCTTGAGTGGATTCAATAATCGCATGATGGCGTGACATTGAAGTGATTCCCCCCAATCTTGCATGAGCATCGTGGCCGTGCCATACAGTAGTCATTTTTAAGAATCGCTTGTGAAGCGAACCGCATGGTACAGAGCGATCGAGAGGCCTAGTTGACCTTTCCACAGGGCGTGCTGTTCCTAGTCTCGTTCGATCCTTACAGCCGAACAAGCTTGCAGCAGCTACAAGGATCAGCCTACTCAGTCAGGGCCTTCAATTATCAACCCGAAGGAGTTATTATGGTAAGCCAACGTCTTGTTGAGAGGAGTTGGAAAATGTCCGCTACTACAGTAGCTGCATCAACCCAACGTTCATAGCATACACATGTACACATGTAGGTACATCCAAAAACCTGGCGGCAAAAAACCTCCCCACCGTTTCCTCCGCTCCCAACCTCCCTTACAACTCGCCTGTTCCCAGAGGTTTTCTTGACTCGTCTCCAGAAGCCCAGGCTCTGTAATCCTTTTCGAGCTGCACAAAGTGAGATGGACTGCATTACAAGCAGGCTCAATTTCAAGCCGGTCTTAGCCAAAGTTTCCAAAGTTTCATCTTCATTGCCGTTGCAAAACACTTAGGTTCTCGTTGCTCTGAACAAGAAAGCTTGCGGAGCTGGTCGAAGCACAGCCCGTAGGGGGCTGGGTTGCAAACCAGGCAGTGTGTTCTTTTTTTGGGGGGCGGAAGCGGATGAGACGGCCACAACTGATGCTTAAACTCTGATATTTGAAAGATTGGAGAGTTAACGTACTTCCTAAGAAGGCATCAAGTGTTTTCTTCGAAATCACCCGACCGTTCCGAGACATTTCCATAGGACGTCTCGATACCACATGAACAACGAATCTTGGAAACCGGTTCCGATAGCGCCAGTCAAAGAAGCTTTCGAACGTAGCCTCCCTCTGCTTTGCAACACTGAAACTTTCAGATATTTATCTGCTCAAGCGGGAAAGTTGACCACAGCAGACTTGACCCTTCGCTGGCCACAGCGAAGAACAGTCAGATGCTTTTGACATTGCCAATCGGACGGCTGAGAATACAAGTATCACGGGGTACTGGTGACACGGTGAGGGGGTAGGTTACCGCATCGCCCTAGTTATCCACGTCCCACGACAAGCACGCCCAAGGAGACGTCGACTGGGTGAGCCATGCCGTTCGATCTCCCAGTGGCGGTGATAATCCTTGCTCCTCGGCAAAAAACGCAGTGGTTTCGGGCGATCTAAGCACTGGTGTCGTCAGCCAGTACATCTCGCCTCAACACTGATGGACGTTCTGCCCCCAGACTTCAACTGTTTGCAGAAAACTTCCAAAGCCTGCTGACTGCTTTGACGGGAAGCGTGATAAGCGTGATCCGATGCGCACCTGTAAGAGGAACCGGGGGAGCACGAGCCGCAGCAGCTGCTGCAGCACCTTCCGCCCTGTCATCTCAATGCCCTCGACCGGAATTCTTCGGAACGGAGCCGGAACCTCGATCGAAACCTGCATAACGCCCAGGATATTTTTTCTCAGACTGTCTGCCAAGGTGACAAAACGGATGGACTTCCGGGCAACTTTCGGAGCCCCATTGGCTACAGATCCAGGGACGCGACGGCTAACGGTCTCCTGCCAGGGAGACCTTTTCGGACCGTCAATTTGGGGGGTTACCACTGAGGGGGGTCATCGAAATGACTCCTCGTTCTCCTTGCATCCGTTGTGACAGAACAGTATATCTCGGCGTTTGTTCGTTTTGGCAGGGGTTCGCAAGGACCGGACACTTCTGCTTTGCGGAACAGAGACAGCCGAAATCTGAAGCGCACCGGTGGGTCAGAGCCTGATCGGAACGCTCAGTATCTCCCAAGCAACGAGGTCTTTACCAGCTGGCTGTGTGCCTGGAGCCGGCCCGCTTTGAACCATCATCTGAACATCTCTTTGGTCTTTCACGAGTCGGCTTCCAGCATGATCCGACAGAATTCGCTTCCAGAAAGTACCCCGAAAAGCGGAGGTGGTCGCAACCAGAATCACTCACGTCGATTGTCGTGTCTGAAATAAGTTGTTTCTTGGTCGGCTCATCAGGAACGTCGCTCCATCGCACGTTGTTGACCATGGAGGCTGCAGAGGATGCACAAGGAGCTGTTTAGCAAATAGACTGCTTAGGTAAGACACGACGTCACCATACGGGACAATTGCAGTTCAAAGGCTCCAAGAAGATTGCCGCTTTTCTTAATAACGACGCCATTGAGACCATGAGAACATGCCGGCACGAGGGCTTCAACGATTGAACATCATGACTTTCGGAATAGGAAGTTCCATTCGGGACAGGGAAATGAGGAGGAATGGATATCTAGTTGAAACATTGTTTTCTCCAATGTGAGGTGCCCGCAGTATCCAGAACAGCGTCAGGAAGTGCCTTCGACGAGTCTGACCGTACTCCTTGGATTCGCAACGACAGGTAAGCCCACGCTCGTCATTCAAAGGTGCTGAAAGACCACAGGGCTGACGCGCCCCATGCATGTTCAACAACAAAACCTCAGACGCATCTGTAAACTGACCAGCTTCTCAAGTCAAATCAAAGCTCCTCTTCTTTGTCAGCATATCCAGCTTCTGCATTCGCATAAAAACTAGAAAGCTAAGCAAGTAGGTCTTACCTGAGAACTTCTCGTTCTGAGCGACCACTAGCGGAGATCCCTCCAGCTGCATCGATAAGGATTGGCCATCAGAGACAGCCATTAGCTAGGAACAAGTCTCTGATGCCATAGTGCGTCAACACGCGAAGGCGTGAGTAACCACCCAAATTGCTGCAATTTTCTATCCAAAATCATACTCCAATGGCGCAAGCAATTGTTCACGTTCACTGACTCTCCATTGAAGTAGACGTGCTTCTCAAAAGCGAGCTGTTCTCTTAGAAACAGGAACTTAGCTAGTTATCATGCTCAATCCCAATCAGCCACGTCAGGGGAGAGCTTCTGTATCATGACATAAGCCTGCACAGGGTATCTTCTCACCGTGCAGGAAAGCAACCGGATGGCGCACCCGTTTGGCTTCTCATCCACTCGCACGAGCAGCACCGGGCAGACCTCAAAGGTGAAGAACTTGATCCGGTGGACGTAGCACTTGAACGTCTTCTCGTCGACTCGCTCGATCCTCTCCGCGTCAAGGACGGAGTACTGAGAGGCGGGCAAGCTCATGTACTCCGCTGATGATTGAAGGAAGAATGGGCAGGTGTGGGTGAGTTGACAGCAGAGGCAGGTTTGTCGCAGATCTTAAGCTGAGAGTTTGAGGGCATCTGACGAAAAGCAACGATGTGCGAGCTTCAGAGACGCACAAAGGCGAACAAAGGCATACACAGGCGAAGTGCGGAGCTCCCCAAGTACAGCCAGTACCGGCTTGAAGATGCTGCAGCGGCCGAAAGCTGGATTTCTTGTAAAGTGACTGCTCTTTCGAGGCCACATCGGGGTATATTGAAGCTGATGTAAGCTTTCTGCGAACCAGCACGAAGTATCTTCAAAACCGCACTCACTCAGTCTGGATGCATACTGACACACAGAAACATCATCAAACATGTACCCCACTGGTTATTTCTTACAGAGCACCTAGTCCTTTGCTTCTGAACATTGAGGAATGAATGAAACCTCCACCCAAGCGCACTGTGCAAGGCACATTTGTGCTAGAACATTGTTTCAGCTCCTCTGAATCAGACTCGGATAGTGAAAGGGCTGTCCGACTCCTTACCGAGAGGCCTTTCAAGCTCCTCCATCTCATGGGTCTCCTCCCTATGTGCCATCAGATGTGCCCGGTTCTCTCGCCTGCTCCCGTCTGCAGCGTCTGAATGAGCCTGTTCCGCAGCTTGAGCAGCCACAACCCAGGCCGTCCGCCTGACTTTTCCTTGCGGTCTGGACCACATTCTTTGTTTTCTCGTATCTTTATTGTCTTCTGACTCAGCAAAAGCTCTCTTGTCATCACCAAGAGCCGCGCGGCAAAAGACCCCATGAGAGACAGTACTGCAACCGATCAGCGCAGGAGATTGCAGGCAAGATCTGTGGATGTGCAAAGCGTCTACAAACCTGGGGCCTGCAATGCTATGGCCAGCGAGAGCCCCTTGGGCCATGACAAGGGCCGCGCTGGCCATGTCTCCTCTTTGGACAAGGCGCCTCGTTTGAAAAGATTGCTCCGGTTGCCCTCGCACGGCTTTGACCCAAAGGACCTTGTAATAGCAACCTCTATTGGGTTCCAAAGACACAATGGTGATTTGCAAAGCGCCCGAAAATGAAGAAACCTTTCGTTCAAGCTCTCAGAATGTCTTCCAGAACGGTGAACTTTGTGCTGCACATCGCTCTTGGGGGGGCTGAACTTCACGCTGCATTGCTAGGGTTCCTACCTGGGTTAAGGCTCCGTTAAACCCGTTCAAGGGCCGGGTTTGCCATCCTGGGAAGCTCGCAATCAGACTGGGTGCGGTCAAAGTTGCAATGCAGTCGGTTAATGCATAACCCCCATTGATGCTTTCCTGCTTGAAGAAGACGCGTGCACTTTCGCACAGGAGCGCCCCTTTAGGCTTCTGCTGATTTCAGCCGTTTCCAGCCTCTAGCTTGGAGACTGGACGGAGAGAATGCTCTGTAGGCTTAGCTCAAGTTGAGCTTCGTAGGTGTTTGCGCGCCCCTTTCAAAAGCATGGGGTCCGCTGGAAGCAAGCGCGCAGACGGCACAGAATGGGAGGACAACTACAAGGACGGCCCTCCGTGGGTCTTCAAAGGGAGGTGAGCACACTTGCTTATTTCATTTCAATCAATGAGTGTGTTTGAAGATGCTAATCTTCGAGGGTTCTCCTGTTTGTTTTCAGGGCAGCATTGCGCGTAGTTTCAATTGGGGGCAATGCCACCATTTGGTGGCGCACAATGTGGCTACGATGAGAGTGGTTGAGCAACCAAGTGGAAACTGAACGGTGGCATTGGACCAGACAGCCACCTTTCAAGCCTCTCCGTTCCAAGCTCGGTCTCTTTGTAAGTGGTGGTGGACAGTGCACCAGAAGTAGCGGTGCACTAAAGTATATTTAGCTGGCATCTTTTCGCCCCAGCTATTGTCATTTCCCACACCGCTGCACTTGCTAAGCGAGTCCAATGTGACACCGATTGAGAGGTAGTCCGCGGCCCAAGTTCTGTCCTGTCACTGAGTGTCAGTTCTGGTGTCCCCCTTTGCAGGGCCCTGTACCAGCTCCAGTTAGTGAAGGCGTCTGAAGCGCGCAAGTTCATTCCGCCAGAACTCAAGATTGTAGAGGCGTTTGGGTGAGGCCCCTGGTCAATCTGTGGCCCCTCACAAGAACTGAGCCCGTTCACCTAAAGGCTTGAGTACGGTTTCAAAAGGGTTCAGAGTTCAGGAAGTCTTGTTGTTGAAGCTTGCAGGGTTCCTTTATTGAAGCAGCTTCACCAAGGATAGAAAATGTTGAAGGGTCAAACAGGCAATGCCTGCAAAAACATAGGCCCTCTGTTCCCTTGCCGTATATGAGTCTGTTCTGCTCGCCAAATGAGGCATGCTCTTTTGGCATCAGCTCAGGAACGCAGCAGCAACAAAAGGAGCTCCTCAACTCTCACCTCTTTCTCAAAAGAAGGTGCTTGCGCCTTCACAGCTGGTTTTATTTCCAGGCAAAGGAGAGGCTTCACAGGACTTGCATCCTACAAGATTGCAGAGGTACTCTGATGTCGTAACTCAATCTGCTTCTGCTGCCACCCCAGACCCTCAGCACGCCCTGCTTTTGAACCCAGGTACACCCTGGGAGGGCTGTACTTTGCCCAGTACGATTCTAGTCCCGCAGGCCAGTTCGATGAGGTGCGTTACTTGCCAAAAGGGTCAGTATGCCCACATCTTGCTAAACGACTCTCAGAGAAGCGAGGCAACGTTCCTGTTTTGGCTGCCACCCCACATTCAGTGGTGGAGATCAGCGTCCTGAGGACGCCGCAGTAAAAAGTCTCACTTTGTCGTTGCATAGAGGCGATGCGATATTTCTTTTGGAAAAGCAGAAAGCTTGGAATCAGGGCAGAGGAGCAAAAAGCGTGGCATGTGATTTCATAAGCCCTTACTGAAATAGCTGCAGGTTGAGCAATCACTGTGCCTTTCATCGAGCTTCTGTGACGAGTTGCCTGGTTGCCCACTTGCAAAGCTCCTCCTCCCTCAACAGGCTTCAAGTAAAGAACGAAACCTGGTCGGCTGTACTCTCGGGCTTTTCTTCAAGCGCAAGAAATGCCGCGATCTTTCTTCAAACGGCTCATTGCTTTCCATCTCTGCAGTTGGTGGCCCTAGCTGGTATTGTTTGGAACCCGCCCACCTCCTGCGCGTGAGTCGTCCTTCACAAGTCCCCCACCATTTAAGCCGGGAGGGCTTTCGGCTGGCAAGGAGGCAGACGATGCACTTATCTTGTTGTACGATTGCTTTGAAGGGGTTTGTTTCAGGTGTGCGGTGCCCTTCGAATAGCTAACGCTGATGTTTAAAAGTCCAGGTAGTCTTGTACGCTTTCGTCTTCTGAGCTTAAGCCCGTCGCTTGAAACAAGTCACAATTTCATCAACACTTTGATCAGGTCGCTTCTCGTGCCTGCATAGTGTTTCTACTCTCTACTCTCCGTTCATTTGGCTATCCTCTCGTTCCAGAACTTGTCGCAAGTTGGGTCGATGACCATCTCCGTTCAAGGGGGTCCGCCCTCGTCTTCGTGAACACCGTGTTAGGTCTGTCAATTGAAGTCCCCAATCGCAGGGGTGTTACTCTTCCCATTATCCAGAGTCCGAATTTTTCAAATTAACGACTCCGGGTCTTGATACAACGCGCCGACGTTGCAGATGGGCAGCGCGCGTTTTGGTGGACACGCCCGTAGCCGTCCGGCATGGGCTGACGGAGGTCGGCCTCCCAAGCCGTCTCGCGCGCTTCCAAAAGGTGAGGCGCCGGGCGCAAACGTAGGCTACCCCAGGGGTTAGGTCGTTTCCGTACAAAAGAGACGTGAGCCGCTAGAAGGAACGAGCACAGGTTTCGGTCCAACCAACTGGTCTTGTTTGATGGGGGGAGGTGTCTCAAAGATGAGAGGTGAGAGTTCGGGATGATTCTCAATGCTTCTGTGCACTCCGGCCGATTCTAGATAGTGAGTCGCCAGAGGGCGAGCGTAAAGACGCCGCACGAAACGGCCAGCTGAGCGTCCTCGGACGAATGATTTTCTACGGTGATTCAAATTGAGCCAACTAAGGAATCGGTTCAAAGCACGTGACTTAGGAGTCTAGGCCGGCTCCAGATGACGGAGGCCATCGGGAGGCCTATGAATGCTGTTGGGCTCTTGCAATCTTGCATCCTTCTGGTTTCGAGGGCAAGGAAGGCAAGTCCGAGCTACGCCCACTCAAAGTTTCTGCATGTGCAGTTTCTGAAGTGATCTTGTATGGACCAATGGCTATATAAAAAAGAAGTTGCTTTAAACTGGGCCTTCTCTATCAGACCTTGGCGCGTTTGCTATATCGTGTTTCTTTTGGCCGTTCAAGAAAAAAGTGGTTCTCGGAGTTGGCATACAAAGACAAGAACATAGGCAGCATCAAATGCCTTTGAGCGCGTGACTTATCGATATGCTTCTCGACTTGTCCTTTGAAGCAAGATGACGCAAGCGAGGGAAAAAGCAGCCGACGAAGGGCACTCCTGCCGTCCATATTTCTTAAGACATTTCCACCAGAATCATGTCTCGACAATTCTCGTTCTCCGCTCCTCCACAGCGCCGCTTGCCTCAGCAGAAGAGACGACATCAACGGAGCTCGAAGTCTGACAACCTGGGGGAAACTTCACTGCCGGAAGGCGCGAATGGGTTGACAGAAGTGTCTGCGGAAACGGAAGACGGGCCGCTCCAAGTTACTATTGACGAAGTCGGGTGGCGAAATGAGAACCGGCATTTGGCGGCTATCACGCTGCCCAGAGACCGTGAGCGACGCGGAACTAACAGGTTCTTGGCCTGACCAGAGTCTGGGGTTGAGAATTTTGGGGTTGAGACTTCGAAAAGAGCAATGTGGCTACTCTATTCGAGGTGTGAGGACCGAGTCAGGCAGGTGGGCTGGCAGGAATACCGATTCCGATCTTGTTCGACGATTGCGTTGAAGCTGTTAACAGCGCCCAGATTGATTTGAAAAGGGAATGGAGGATCAGGACCGTTCGGGTGTGACTCTTGCGCTGAAACCCTCCAGTAAATGTTCTATTGACAGAGGAGTCGCACCTTGATCTCACGGACGTGCAAAAGGCTGGCTCGTTACAAACAGTAGCAGCCGGTTGAAACCAAGTATTGAATAACGTCAGGAGACCGTAATTGTTCTGACTCGGCAGCTGTCGAATCTAGAGTTGCTGGGAGACCGAGCAACCTGCTTCTTGGAAGGCTACGAATCGCAGATTTCACGATGCGCCAGTCACCGCTTGTTGCCATCCTTGCAATTTCCGTATTCCAAGTCTCGCTCTAGTCTGCTACGCTTGTGACCCGTCATTAGATTGGTCTCTGATCTTCAGTCGTGAGCTCTCGATTGGCCGGGCCTTTCAGCGCTGTTGAGAAGCCTTCCTTGTATTTCTCATCTCGCTGTCTTTTTCCGCAGGGCGGAAAGGGGCCTGGGCGGGACCCCGAATCAAGATGTATTTACCAAGTTTCAGGTGAGAAGGGGGATCATCCTCCTCACCCGACAGACTGAGGTCGTGTGCCGCGTTGATTACGTGGGAGTTCTCGTCACCTGTCCTCATCATGTGTCCTCAGGCGACACTCCCTGGCAGTGCAAAGACGTGGTCGGTGTCGAACTTGGATAAGCGGTTGTTTGCGGGATTCTTGGAGGGGTTCTAGAGACAAACCCAGGAAGGAAAGCGTACTGTCCAGGGCAGCGTGTGAAGCATCCGTTGGGACGGTAGCCGTCTTTCATCTTGGCACAGAGCCCGCTTCCATCTTTCACGTATCATTAATAGCCAAGAAAGAGAAGGGTAGAAAATCCAGTTTCCAACTCATTCAGTTGGAAAGAAGTTGTTCTTTCTGAGCTTGGTTGAAGTACATTTAAGTACTACCATACATGATATGTATTGCTCTCGATGACGTAAGCGCCGCAGATCTTCCGACCCCAATGTTGCTTTCTCAAGTACGCAGTCGGCCTTTCTTTCCATCGAATCACACCAATCCTCTGCAGTGGCAAGACGGATCTGCAGCCGGACATGCTCAAGTACTCGTGCGAGCTACGATGCAAGTAAGGCAGTCTTCCGTGTTCTCTCCCTTTCTACTTTGTGTTGACAAAGCCCAATTGAAGATCTACGCGCTTGGGACTGCTTGGCAGCTGCCTCGGTCGAATAGCGTTTGCTTGCCGCAGAGTTGAACTCCAAAATAAGTCTGATATCTCGCCGTTGGTATTTTCCACCGAATTCTCCAAGCGTCTTGCAACTACTTTTCGCCTACCTCGCCAAGAGAGGATAAAATCTTGCATACTCCCAGGGGAAACGCTCTCGATCTGTTCCATCCAACTCAATCACTGCTGATTATCCTGCTTTCCAAACAGCGTTCGTCCAGTTGCGGCCGCGAGAGTCGAAGCTCCAAAGGCGAGCGGGCGACCGGAGGCGGATTCCGCTCTCCGGTCGGTCCTTCTTGGGCGGCCCGTCTTTTCACTCGTTTTCGACAATATGGAAATGTCAGTCGAGGCGCCAATTGTGGTAGCCAATCACATCGAAAAGCGGGAATTAGAAGAGGGGCAGAAAAGCCGGAAGTGGGCGCCCGCATTTGGTAAGCTACAATGGGGGAGCACGTGAGGCAACGGCAACTTTTTGGCATAATTCATCGAGGGGAGTAAGGCAGCGAGAAGGTTTTGTTTGCGCCGGGATGGCCGAGTTTCCCCAAATTGAGGCTGTAGGAATTGCAATGAGACGATTCCCTCCGCAGTCAATCAGTGCTTGAATTGCTGGATTATGCGAGTCTCGACAAGCTTGTAGGAGCAGCCTGTTGATACGATGATAAAGAAAGTAGCTCCGAGGAGCCATTTATGACAGGGTCGAGTGCAAAGAAGCCAAGGTAGGACTGGCTTCAAGTAGCATCGAAGAGTATTGACCGTTAAGGAGCCAATCCTTTTTGGTCTGCACTACACCAAGTTGTCGGTATATCCACTGCGTATCTGGCATGTTGTGGTTGGTCGGAGTTTGCATTTTGCCGATCCCAATGGTTGCCATGAGCCTGAATGGAAGTGGCCAGCAAAACTGTGTAACTCGGCATGTTGGGACTCAGTCGGACCTTACTGCGAAATAACTGTCTGCACTTGACCAGGAGTGACGTGCACGCCAGGCTCTGCCTATAGAGCTATACGTCATACCGTACTAGGTATACTAGGTACTAGGTATACCGCACTAGCATGGCTGGTTCAAAGCATGCAGCCGCTGCACAATTCCTGAGGCCCCTGCAACAAACGACGCATGTTCAACTTTCATTCAACAATTAAAAGCCGGTGCATGTTGGAACGGCGCACAGCTTAGTATACGTTCAGCGTGTTGGTCTTGGCCGGACCATACGTAAGGCCATCGTCAAGCTGCAACCAGATGCAGGCGGGCACGCAATTGGCATTATAGGCCCCGCCGCGTGCACCATGCTCACGGACTATACTAATATAATCATGCATACAATTCCACATGTACTTGAACTTTCCTTTTTTTCTTTCTCTTTTGCACATTATGCATGCATGTTCTTACACATTTCCCCCTCTTTTTTCTGATCGATGTATGTGGCATACAACCTGGCTGCCAACATGACGGCCAAACCTTCTGCACCTACCAAGATGGTCAATTTGAACAATCCTCTCACTGCATGCAGGTCGCCGGCTTTATCCAAAGCTTCGCTTTCATGCTTTGCTAACATGATCTGCGCCAAAGTTGCATATACCAATCTTGCGCGAAGCAAAACTGAGTTGACAACAGATGAAATAACACGGGTCAATTTCAGCAAAGCGTTAAGGGTAAGACCTACCTAAGGTAATTTGCAGCTACTCTTTTTGAATGAACACGGGTCGCTTGCGGGCCAGCCATAAAGAAGAAATTGACAACCGAGGCTGCCCTCGAAAGTCTGGGAGCCATCGCTTACTGGCTAGCTTCCTGTATCCTAATCAAAGCGGGTGAGGGGGTGGATGCAAAACTTGCTCGAGACGCACCCTTGCACGTTTATTATCACCAGCCACAGAAGCTAACACTACAGCAGAGAGACCCTCTGCTCTGAAAATATAAATTATTCTCCTGTCAACTCGCGCCTGACTCGGTCCCGGAGGCTGAGACCTCATCATCTAACCTAATCATCCTACACTACCCGGACCCGACAGCGAACCCCCCGTTCCGGAACTCGCTCATGCGAGTCGCACGCACCACCGAAGTGGGCCACGCCCCGCTCTCAGCCGTCCACGTGGAAGGTGTAGTTGTACTGCCACGTGGTGCACTCCGGGACCCACCCGTCGATCACGACGGCCGGCTTGAGCGAGTACGCGGCCGCCGTCTCCCCGAACGCGCTCCGCGTTATCAGCAACCGGTCCATCTTCGTCAGCAGCCACCAGTCCAGGTACGTCTTCGCGGCGAGGTCCATTGTCGACGACTCCAAGATGTGCGACGGGTCGTGGTCCGTGCGGAACACCCGGATCCCCTCCGCCACCAGCGTCGCCATCAGATAATCGACCGCATCCTGGCTGTCCCCCGTCAGAAACACGATCACCCGCGACCGCAGCCTCCGCTCGTCCCGACTCCGCGTGTTGTTCATGCTCAGCGCCAGCCGCCGTACCTCGTCCCGCATCAGAATGAACAGCTGCTTCTTGTAGCACTCCCACGGGGGCGGCCGGATGTACTCCTTCATCCAGCCGTCGAGCGTGATCCACGTCCGGATCTGGACGCCGATCTTGAGCGTCCGGAAGTCGTTCCAGTCCGGGAACATGGCAATGTACTCGTCGATCTCGGCCTTGATGCACGGGGACGGCTTGAAGAGCATGCGCATCGAGACGGAGAAGAGGTGCTCCGGTTGCAGCTTGTCGAGCCCGTACGCGAGGACCGCTTGCCGCATGTGCAGATTCGTGACCCACGCCTGGTTAAGAAGGGGATTAAGGGACAGGTTAGCGCGCCCTTTTTGACCGAGAAGTTAGAACGGAGACTTTGGATCGAATTTGGTTTTGGCAATTGGGAATGGAAAGCGAAAATAGTAGGGTCGTCCAGCTTGAATGCGAAGCCGCCTGCCGCACGAGCAGGTTCACGGCCCACGCCTGGTCAGGGAACGGTCAGCCACGGATCGGGGCTGATAAGGACGCGACGAGAAGCAAATAAACTCATGAAGAAGCGGAAATTGCTGGTCAGCTTATGAGCATCCGGAAAGGGTTGGTCATTTCTTCAGGTGGAATCAGCAGCTGCACGTGCGTATTTGCAACGCACGCCTGACTGAGAAGGGGACTAGGACCGGCTTATGATTAAATCACAGGGAGCTGTGGACCGTTGATTGGAACAGGAAAGAGAAAGGAGGGCAGTCGACTTCGGGTTCCTGTTCCAGGGGGCGAGAATTTGAAATGACAAATTGGAGGGAAGCTGGAGCAAGAAACTGAAAGATAAGTCAAAAGCAGTGTTTATAATTCCGGGTTCAGAGAGGTGTGGATGGCACGATACTCGGCAGCCATCTGCCAAGATTGCCTACAGCATATGCAGGTTCGTGAGTCTCTCTTGCCTCTTCAAGAAGGGGGTAAACAACTAGATAAGTAACAAAATCACTTACAATTCGGAGTTAGCAATTAGTCAGTCCAGGCATGTCAATTCCCATGCCCGAAATGGGGGGGGTTTTTTGCCACTTTGAGAGGGAGACGGGTCAAGCACGAGACAACGCCCGATAGAAACATACTTCGGCCCATTGGAAGCGACTTGCTGTATGATACAAAACATAAGAGATACGATTAGGACAAGCGTATGATTTCCAGGTCTCTGTCCGTGGAAACCTTGGTTTTGTGAGGAAAGTTGAGAAAGTGGGGCAGGTTCGGTCCTTTGCTTAGATTGTCTGCAGTAACACACTTTCCATCTGTGGAATAAAGGGAAATTCCCAATGCTTGTCACGCAGATACTCGACAACAACTGTGAACGCCCGGGAGGGTCATAACTCCTCCGGCATTCTAACACTGGACCAGCATATTCCCCTCCAAAACAGTTCACACTACGAGCTTCATGGCAAAAATGGGGGGGATTGCAGCAGAGAAAAGAGATCCTGAGCGAAAATATACTATTCCTATGTTGTACACACAGCTCATCTCCTACATGCTTTTCTAACCCCCGTAACCAAGAATCAGAGATTCCCCATTCCATAGTTGCTTCATTGGTTTGCAGGCAGTTACCAGACACAGTAGTCGACCCCACAATAAAGGTACCATCCCCAATTCTCACAAGGGAACCACCACAGAAGGTTCATCGACTCTCATCCCCTCACCTGTGGATACCCAATGTTGCAGATGAAGCGGTGCATTCGTTTACTGCTGAGCTCCCGCGCCGCGTCAAACCCCTCGAAGTCAGGCCGCCACAACCGCTGTGGCCATTGTGTGAGCCAGTCCCACCACTGCGTCTCGTTGTCCCACGTTCGTAGCCGCCAGGTTCCCTGCAGATGGGGGCTTTACGACGTTAAGTGAGAAAGTTTGCACCAAAGTGCAGATGACTCCAATAATTTGTGTCGAGGCGCCAGTCAGCGGTGACCAAGACTTGTCTGAGTTGCTGCACGTATCTCAGGTGGTGTATTGGGAAAGTAGTTGGCAGCCTCCGTTGGACACGTGCTCAGAGCAATCTCCCCAGGCCGAAGGTGGAGCAACAGAAGGCTGTGAAAAAGTACGGGATCTACCAAGGAAAGTGGCAGTCGGCATACACAGGCGCACGAAGATCAAAATGCTTTTGTTCTTAAGATAGGCAGCCCTTGACTGAACGAATGTCGCCGCTCTTATCCTGGTGCAGCAGATTCCTCGTATCCTTGACGAGGACTAGCCGAAGTCCAAGCCCGCTGATACACCTAATCAGCAGCTGTGTGACTCTGAATGTCTGAAGATGTCTCTGTGTAATGGCAACAAGCATCATGAATAACGACTGGTGAACACCTCAGTCTGATCAAGACCGCTCTCCCAGACAATTCAGCAGTTCATTCTTCGCTCTCCCAGACAATTCAGCAGTTCAAAGAATGAAAACAAGTACCACTACCATAAAATTTGACAATGAGGCTCCTGCAATGCTGAGGGTAAAGCTAAGACCTTGCACTCCTTCTCTGCCTTGCAAACAAGCGCCCTGCAAACAAGCGCCCTGCCAGCCCGCCAAAACAAGTTTGTGGTGTTGCATAATGATCGCAAATTTGGGAAAGCTGGTCAATTGAACATGTCTCCTGAAGCTCAGAGGAAGAACTGTCTCACTGAGTGGCCCCATGGGATCCGCAATCAGCATTTGCATACGTACTTCCTGCGACAGCTAAATTGAGGCGCAGTGGAGAGTATCTAATGCAGCGGATCGATCAGAACAAATAGCTCACACGTAAAAGGATGCGTAAACCCTAGTTCAAGGGTGTTACTAGACCGACATCTCCTTTACCAGAATGTCAATCTGGATGCATGAGCAGATCCAAATGCTAGCAAAGAATGCCACCAGCATCTGTCAGAATGCTTTAAAAAGCTTGAACAACAGGAAAGAGAGATTAGAGGTCGGTTTCTCTGAGATTCAACTCCCATTAAGCATGCCTCCAATGGAACTTTTGAAAAAGGAAGGTCGATATGGACACCGAATTTGCCAGTGCGGTGTAGTTGCTGCATTTCTACAAACAAAACTTTCAAGAACATGCAGTGCAGATATCTCTAAGTGAATCCTAGCTCAGAACTGCCATTTTATGTCTCCTTGTATTTGCTAATCCACCCTTTTGCAGGCTACAGTTCGGGCGTTCCTTAGGAATCAGGTAATTATGACTGACCTTCCGTCCCAACAGTTGCGCCCCCACGGGTCTCGCCAGCGGCGTCGGGGCCAGCGTGCTGTCATTCCACCAGCAGGCCCTCCCGTGCACCTGGCCCTCATAGCTTACGGTCGCATTGATCCTCCAGTCATACAGCGTCGGCGTGAGGAAGTTAAGCAGGGGGTAAGGGATCTGGACATTTAGGAAGAGGCTGCTGCTAGTCAGCAGGGAGAGGTAGAACAGAGTGGAGATCCCTCGCAGGCGGTCCCCTAGGCCGTAACACCGCCGCGGCGTGAGGCAGTCAAACACAATGATCCTGTGCTGCGCGGTGTTCTTGGTCTCCTCGAGGGCCACACTGTACTTGAAAGCAAGCTCCTCGGCTATACGGTCCAACTTTGCGACTTGTTCAGAGTGGTCGACCAAGCGATGGGACGTCAGGCTAGGGTCGTACTCGGGATCCCGTCTGAAGGCTGCGTCATAGAGCAGGACGAAAGGCGAGCAGAGGACAAGGAGAACCGACACGATGTGCACGATTGTCCACAGAGTGGCGGCGCTCCAACGCTTCATGAAGCTGCGTCATGAAGCGGAACGCTCATCCGGTCTGCAAATGCAACAGGCTCCGGCCCCTCGTGCTGCTTCTGACAGGGCACATTGGGAATCAGCAACCTTGAGGAACAAGCCTTTGCTTCCTACAGCTTAGTTGGAGAGTAAGTTACCGCAGACCCTCGCCAATGCAGGACAACCCAGGCACAGGAGAAGATCTCCGACTCACGAAACGTTCCCGCTACTAAACCTAGCATTCGGACTCCAAAAGCACCAACAATGAGGCGGGTCTATGGCCTTGAAATTGCATGTGATTGAGCACTCTTCCTGCAAAAGTCACCACCCTGCACAACTCCTGCAAGCCTCCCAAAGTTGCAATGAGATTGCAATGCTGCCACAGAAACTGAGAAAGATTGCAGCCGCCCTGAAAATGCGAGCTCTTCTCGGGCTTCTCCCGCTCGATCCTGACACACGTCACCGTCGTCAGATATTGTGCGGTCTGAGACGTGACAGGGACTTGTTGGCAGTCAGAGTCAGTGTCAATCAGACAGCATCCCGCAGGAGGCGGCTGAGCGCGGCTCCCCTTGCAGCGACTTTCTGACACGCGATGCCAAGACTCGAGTCGCCCACCGGAGTCGCCGTTGAGTGGTAACGGTAAAGTCGTGCGGGAAGTGACCACCCATGACACCACAAGCTGGATTTCATCCTTTGACCGGTAGGATCCACCGGTAGCCTAATCTTTAAAGTAAACCAGCCCGGTGGACGTCTCCGGCCATTGGTCCTGCACGTGGGAAGTCAAGCAGTCACGTCCGTTAATATAGGTATTATGTGGTACGTACCGTGCACCGCGCTTCAGAACCCTGCGAGGAGTGATCCCGACACGTCACACTGGTTACACTTCCCTCCTGGGGGGGTGCGGCGCACGCGGCTGCGTCACCCCTCTGAGTCGAAACAATCGGACTCGACTCAGCTAGTACGTGACTGAGCTAAAGGTGCCAGCCGTTACCATCATTTGACTGCGGTCATCTTTTGCCGTCTCTAGTTACACATTGCGCAGCAGCTGTTGCAAATCGCAGCAGAGCTGGCAAAAGATTCCAGCATTCTGCAGCGCGTCGTCCTACCCATTCGCAACATTGGTTGGTTGAGGAGGGGCTCCAGTGCAAAATCAGTCTGTTCATTGCACGTAAGATCCCCGTAAGATCGTGCCTGTGTGCCCTTAAAAGCAGAACATGAAATGAGCACCCTGTTCAGATAGATGATGTCCGCTCCTACATTTTGGCACCCCAAAAGAGAAGTGGCGACAGGAAGTTTCGTTGCAGATATCTCGCTTTCAAATGAACCGGACGCTTCAAAAACTGCGGGTTGTGGCCAAGCCTTTGCTGGAATTGGCGTGGACAAGGCTCCTTCATCAGCTCACTTGCAATCAGCGCAGGGTCACCACACTACTCCTTTGCTCTGGGTCTCAGCTGTCGCGAAGCCTGAGCTCCGCTCACGGCTTTGATAGTGCGTTGGAGTGACGTCAAGGTGGTCCTCATGCAATGCTGTGAAATTGGTGAGTCAAACCGGATTTTTCAAGCTTGGGGGCAATTTAAATCTTGAAGATCTTTAAAAGCCAAACTGATCAGTTCCGCCAGTGCTATGCCTGAGGGCAGATTCGTGGCAGATGTACGGCGCCTCTCGTCGTTCGATTTCCTGTCCGTTCTAAGCTTGAAGTCCTGGTGGAGTTCGATTAACCGTCTAATTCAACCAGTCATCTTCCCCAACCGAGCACTCTTGCCACTCAAAGTCCCGACTGTGTTGATGCCCTGACTGCTTTCAGCGAGAAAGAGTTTCAAGACAATCTATCACTGTGATACCATGCCTGCAAGTAGCGGTGCAGTCATGCCAGGAATGGTGGTACAGGCCGTCCTGGGGGTCTGAGTCGCAGGAGTACTGGCTGTGGGAAATGTTTCTAGATCAATTCCAAGTGCTTTCAAGCTGGCGCTCTTTGACTGTATCAGGCATGATATCTTTGCTACGTGTCCCTGATAAAGTTTGAGTGCCGCTAATCATAATGTTTGGTCTCGTGCAGGTTGGTAAAGCATGCAGCCAGCTTCCTCCACCTGCAACGAACTTCTTCATGAATGGACTTGGTGTCCAGTCTCGTTCCAGACCAGATCTTAGGGCCTCCTCAAACCACTGCACATTCCCTTAAAAGTCAAATATCCTGGTCTAACACACAGAGCATAGCTAAAAGTCATTGTCCAGCTACGGCAGAGTTTCTGTCGTCAACCGGCACCAACAATGGCGGTGGCTGTTGGAAAGTCGGGGGTAGGGAGGAACGCCCTGATCACTGGAGTGGCTAACAAGGCAGGTGGGTCCTGGGACTCTTGCGTGCTACTTGAATCTATCTTTGTAAACGGAATGTCGCAATCTTGCTTGACCTGAATTTGAGAGCCCTGTTATCATCAGATTCTCTTTGCCTTTAGAAATTGATTCGAAACTTCACAAGCAGTAAAGAGGTCGATAAGCGGCCCGCACCTATTTCAGCTGTCCCTTTCCGCAAAACCCATATTTATCAGCCAACAGCCCCGTTCGGCAGCTTGATCAATGAAGACAACGAGCATCACACTTTTCCCTCGTGCTGTCCCTGCTTTGTGTCGGCTGACTTGACCGATCTTGCTCCAGATTTCGAAGTTGAACAGATACAGTCCCGCTTCTCCAAACAGGCATCGGGCAGACCCTCGTGAAGGCCTTCCTGGCCGAAGGCTACCGGGTCTTTGGGACTGACATCCGCCTACTAGACCCGTTGGAGGGTCTGCTCAACGGCCCTGAAGTGGCGGGACCGTCAGGAAGGCAGCCCGAGTCAAGCCCCAACCACCGTGAGGCTTTCCACTTCAAGCAAGCTGATATCACCCGGCTGGAGGAGGTGAAGAGCATGGTCCAGGCCGCTGCGCAGTTTCTCGGGGGCCGTATTCACGTTGTGATCAATAACGCAGGTGAGAGTTCGAGAACCTTCGTTCTTCAGGTGCAGGGGTCACTTTTTCGCAATGCGGGTGTCCTGAACTTGCACGATTTTGACAGAACCAGTGGCAGCACGATGCAGATTCCCGGTAATTAGGAATTTTTGCTGCGTCACCATTTGGAATCAACGGTTGATCAAACTGCATATTTGAGCAAAGTCGACTTTCGGTTGAGGGGGTCCAGCTAAACGAGGCTCCCAACGAACCTCGTTGAAAGTCCCCGTTCTCCCTACCTGAATAATCACAACTTCTGGAAGTTTCAACCTGAGGCAAGCGTCGAGTGGGTTTAAAGATGGTCAGTCGAACGAACGGCCCATTGACCTTCAAGCTCCTCTGAAAGGCACTCTTTCGTAAAGCTCTTACAGAACTTTTTGAGTGACAGATTAGCAAGTCCTCGACCATAATAAGTTGGCGGTCATTGTCAAGAGTGGGATGAGAGCTCGCAAAGCGGTGACGAAATCGGACGGCCGGTTTTGAATTCGTCTTACCCAGCGTGCTCGACATGTCCCCATATCGCACGCAAATGGTTGTCATCGCTGTCTCCTTTACCACGTCAAAACGGATTGTCGCAAACGTTTCGTGTCACTCGTGCAACCCATCAGCCGTCCAGTTCCGGTGGCTACAGCAGAACGTGATATCAGACGTTGTGTTCCTTCCCTTACTTTAAATTCTGCTTCTTTCTTTTGATGAACTCTTTTTGCGGCATCTCCTCTTTAGCTTTTCGGAAGGCCTATAAGACGTTAACGACCTTCGGATCTGTCTTAGTACAATAACTTGGAATCCGTCTTTCGACATCGACGAGAAATGAGGGCGACTATCCGCGCCCAACAGCCGGCACTTCGAAGAGCGCCGTCGCTTACGCTGAGATGCCTTACGAAATCTCCAAGTAAAGGTGTCAGGCGATCGTATTTGACTTGATGCATAAAAAGATCGGACGGAATGAACTCCTGTGAAGATCGTGACAAGCCCAGCTCAACCGAATCCTGACGAAGATATGATTGTAATCTGTCCCAAAACCTCACCTCTCACTTTGGACCCTATCCCAACAGGCCGTGTGGACCCCCACATCGCCGAGGGGAGTGACGTCATCCAGGAGTTCGCGAGCTTCATCAACACGAACCTGGTCGGCGCATTCAACGTCACCGCGCACGCGCTGGAGCACATGCCGGTCGGCCAGTCGAGCGTCATCCATATGTCGAGCGTGCGCGCCCTGCAGAGCGAGCCGCACACGGAGGGCTATGCGGCGGCCAAGGCCGGGCTTCTGGGCCTCACGCACGCGCAGGCGATGTCGCTGGCAGGTGCGGTCGTGAGAAGGTGTTCTCTCTTTGGTCGCTCCCCATTTAAGAATTTTCTGCTCCTTTGAGATTTTCAATTTGGCTCTCGGTGGTTGAGTTGCCTCGGGAGCTTGTTGGTGGAAGTGAACTGACTTGGGTTTCGAACTCCGTGGACGTGCTGATTGCGAGACTGCCTGCGGCCAGAATCTACATATCACGTGGGCGGGCAAGAGCGGGGCTAGTTTTCAGTTCGCGAGTGGCAAAACCCTGTTTAACCCGAGGGTTCTAATGGTCTCTTGGGAGCGGCAGAGGTCAAGGTTTATTTTTCGGTCCGCTTCCCCGTTGACACCACTTCTTGCTTCTTTCCTTGTGTCGACACCTTGTTTCCGTTTTGACTGCACAGGAACGGTTCGTTCGGCAAAGAAACGGACGTGCAGATGCACCCTGATCAAAACGGGGCACTTTGCTCCCTGAAGTTGCAATTGGCCACTAATTGTTACCGTTGGTCAACCTTTGGAACCCGTCGAGGGGTTCCGTTCTGTGCTAACCCCTCAACCTGGCATCTTTTTGATCACCTGAGAGTTTCGTCAGAGGGCTCAGAACATCTGAAAGGTGGTGCATTCACGCGCCATACGAACATCAGCCGCAATCGGTCGTGTTGGATGCCCCTGACAAACGTACGAACCTGGTTACTGCAACCAGGTCGACAGTCAATTCATCATGTAAAATGTCATCTTCAAACCGGCAGCCGATCAACCTCTGGTTCTCCGCGCAGGCAAAGTGCGTGTAAATGCCGTCCTCCCCGGTTGGATCGACACAGATCCCAGGGATGACCCTTCGAGCTACCACCCCGACCGCACCAAAGAGGAGCACGCAATTCAACCGGTCGGGAGGGTGGGCCTACCGGCCGACATTGCTCACATGTGCATCTTCCTGAGTGACGAGTCAAAAGCGGGCTTCATCACCGGGCAGGACTTTGTTGTGGACGGAGGCGTCACAAAAATGCTTTGTTATGACTAGTAAGATTCTGCCTGGCGCCGGTAGACTTGACATCAGGAAGGATTTGGACTGAAATAGAGATCAAAAGAATGGCCCGCGAGGTTTGTTTGAAGTTTGTGTATGGCTTAGCTACAATCTGAGGTGAGCCATTTTGACGCTCGTAGTCGAAGTGGTCACTGAACCTTTTTCAAATAGTACCACATCAAAAGTTGTGAATGTACATATGAACCGTAGAGATCTTTATAGCTGCTACAGCTTGTGTGTGCGTGCTCTTGCCGCGCCTACATTGCACCAAACATAGGAGCCGCCTAGGAATTGTTCATCTGGAGCGGCCCACGGTTTAGGTTTAATCGAATGCATATGCGCATGGGCCAATGTCAAATATATCCGATGCGTCGAATAGCCGCATAGGTCGCCTGGCACTTGTCCTGCTTAAATACCGCAGGCTGCATGGCTTTTATCATGTCTGTGCACGTACGTGAAATTATCAGATGTTGCATGATCGGACATGGACGGTCATGTTGGATGCATATAATCGGACCGTCTGCATGAGGCATGGGTCAAGAGCATCATGCATGTGCAATATTCAGCTAGATCTAGCTAGCCCGCCGGCGCGGGCCTGCATTAAAATGAGTGATTGCACCTGATCGAGATCAATCAAGATTTGACATCATGCAATCTACTTTCACAACTATATGCACATATGTCTAGAGTCCGGGCCCATTAAAACCTCCTAGGTCTCGTTCTCAATCCGAGTCACGTATAACGCGACCTGCTTTGCGACAGCAAAGCGGGTCAAGCGCCTGAGAAGTGCAACCTTACTTCCTCTTTCTCAGCTTGAGAGAGCAGACATCTTGATCGAAATTGAGGATCATCTCTGGTGAACAGGTAAGCATGGTTATACCCGTTGGGATGACATCGTTGGTATATGGTAGCTGCAGTTTCTGGAGGGGACCAGCAACAACGACAACGTCATTATGCAGTCGCCGAAAGGTAAACAGGCTTCTATGCCACTTAGGATGTCCAGGTCATGTTGGAGACAACCGTGTACTCAATCTGCACACATGACAAGGCGAAATGACCATTCAGCTCGTTGAAAAGCTTCTTGAAAGATCACTGCTTTAGGGGCTCGAAATATCATTCATCCCGATGAGCCGGATAGTGACGGGATAGTGACAGTACAAGAAGAAGGTTTCATTGAGACGACGAACTTTGGCACGCTGTCGATAGCCTACAAACCGTATAAACCTGTGAATGATGCCAAAGACGTCCCAGAAAGGTTACGAACATACATAATCAGAAACAGTGTACCTACCAATGAGCCTAGAATTCAGTGCGGGAGAGTAGTCAACAACAGGTGGAAAGCAAGACATTGTGGCCGTTGCCAATGATCAGCTTTACACATTGGCCGAATCATCTTCACATGCTTGCACATTCTCAGACCCCTACAGACAACGAAATAGAAGCCAGGGCTTACCGAACTTGGGCCAGTAGACTGGACCATCCGTGCGCAACTCGATTCTTGGCAGGGTTCGCTGGATGGCAAGGAGTGGCCCCAGCGTCTCCTTCCAGGAAGGCTCCTGATCAGAGCTCCACCTCTTGCCTCTCAACACAAAGCTTTTTAGTTTCCTCAGCCGAATCAAGAACCTCAAAAGCCGGTCGACGGGTTGCCTGACTATTGCCTGTACTCTGACAACCAGCTCCCTGAGCTCAGGCAACAGGCTGGCTGACAACCCTTCTATATTGTACCCATTATGAAGGGCAAACAACGCGTCCACCAGAGGATCATCATCGAGCTCTAGAACCCGCAGGTACTGCAGACTGGCAATGAGTGGTGCTATGTTAGCGGCCTCTCCATTCGGGTGGACATGCGAGCACCTTTGCAGGCGCAGATACTTGAGGTTACGCGATTTGTCAAGAATGCGGACACAGTCTGGAAATGTGACGAATGTTCCTGCCGACGACAGCTCCAGATAAGTCAGGCCGGCAGGTGGACAATCGAGGTCAGGCCCAACCCAGTCACTGATTGCTCTTTTCGGAAGCTGCACAACACCAGAGCAGTTTGGGTCTGCATTCAAGCTTAAAGTTCTAAGCTTCGGGTTGCCGCTGAAGGACCACTCGTCATCGCTGTCCATCCAGGGCCCCGACACTTCGAAGTGCTCCAACACAGGACAGATCCTGAGGAGACAGTGGAGCTCTGTTCGTTCATAGCAACCATCGATCAGTCGTAAATAGGTCAAGCTGGTGAATAAGTGAGCTTTGACAGCACCCCATGTCAATGGGCCTGTAAAACTGATGCCTTGAAGTGAGAGCCGGCTGAGCCTTTTACAAGTGCTCAGCTGGATCAAGACCTGGACAGGCAGGTCAAAAGCCTGGTTAGGGTCATTTGTGCTGGTTGCATAGAAGTCAAGCGAAACGAGTGTCTCGCTCACATGCTCTAGAAGGCTCAGCAAAAACACAATTGAAAGAGGTGGCTTGTCAATATCAGAGTTGTAGACAACCAGCCTCAGGTTTTTGATGTTGCAAGCGAGCTTGGCAATACGCAGCATCCTGCATTCCGGTCTGTCCCCCGGAACCACGCTGTGAAGATCTAAAGACTCCACCAATCTCGCAAGCGCCCGTGCTTTTCTGCAGCACTGCCGGACCAGCATCACAGTCTCAGCATCTCGCAGCCTGTGGAACACTTCCAGAAGAAATGCCTCGGGAAGGCTTTGGAAGAAGTCGCCATCCGGCTGCAGCGCCATGCTAAGCGACTGCTTTGCGATAGCGGAATTCAGGATAATACGTTTCCATATTTTGGCATTGCCATGCTATTAGCAATCCCAGCAAACCCTCTCAAGGCTGCACCAGGGCCGACTCTGTCTTGACTACCTATACAGTACCTGGTCAGAGATCAAATGCCTTCTTCGTGAACAATTTTAATCACTCAAATTGACACCAGCTCTAATGTAATAGTGCCGTGTCTCGAGCGGGGTGGAAACCGGCCCTTCGGACGGTCCCTCTTTGCGGGCAAGCCGACTGGCCCAGCTAGGGCTTGCCTGCGGTTTGCTTTGGTGCGTCTCCAATTGAGTTCTGGTGTCAGTGAAAAAGTAGATGAAGATCTAATGACGAGGCCGCCACGCTGCATTTTGCTTGCTATTGAAGCTAGGCTCTCCGGGCAGCAACGCCCTCCTGTCACCTCCGCACGAGCGCCCTTGGCGCTTGTCCGTTTGGTTCCTCTGTAACGTCTGACCATTCTATCCACCCTTGCAGCTAGTGCTTTGGTGTCACCTGGTGAGATTTCCCCGCCGTACTTAGGGACAGATTTTCAGTGGACACTGCTGTAACAAAGATGGGTAGGAAGGCGCCTAAGAAACCAGCCAGAAAAAGGAAAAGCAAACGACTTGATGACGACTCTGACGACCGGGGCGACGGGGGAGCTAGCGATTCTGAATACGAGCCTGGCAGTGATGAAGAAGGTGAATTCGAGACTCAGTCTCCTTAATTCTGTGTTGTTGCTGCTGGAATACATACTGAGTCCAAATATTATTCTTGCACCAAACATTGTGATGTTGCTGCTGGAAAACACAGCGAGTCCAAGTCATAAGCTTGCACCAAATCCTGGTTCAGTCTTACATGTATGGAATCAGGGAGAATCAGCCCCCAAACTACACTTTTGATCTGGATTCTGGTTTTATGTCCATCCGTGGCCGTCAAAGCAATGGAAGTTTAGCTGCACGAGACTGGTATGTGGGGCCAGGAAAGACGCAGAATCTCCCGGTTGCCAGAACAAAGCACTGGCAGAAGCCAGCTGTGTGCTTTGGATGCTTGCAATTGCATCCCGCTGCACAGGAATGATCAAGTCAGAAGGCAGTGATCGTATGGTTGCTTTAAGTTCAAGGGTTGTTTGAAGCTAGAAGCTGTCCCAACGTATTCGAAAGCGCATTGGCTCCAACTTTTGTGCCAAACATATAGATTGTTATTGTGCTCGTTAAACCGTGCTCCTGCACTACCCTGCTTACTGGAAAGGTACAGAACAATCACCATTAGTAACTTAGATGCAGTTCTCTGGGGCAGTTCTCAAATACTTTCTTCTCTTGCAGAGGAGGACGAGGAGATCGATGAAGAGGACTCCGAACTTGAGAGCGAGAGCACTTCAGAAGAAGAGATGGAAAAAAGCCGCAGAAACAGCCGCTCCAGTAGCAAAAAGCTACCTCCCCAGGGGAAGGGCTCCAAACGGAGAAGGAAGAAAGGGGACGGAGGGAACGGGGAGTCGGATGCCTCCCGGGATTTTGTTTGGGAGCTCCAAATCCGGAAGGTGTGGAAAACAAAGCCCCAGGATGGACAGACAGGGCCTTGGAAGAAGGTGACTGTGAACGAGCTCTTTGACATCTTGAAGCTGCAAGTGACATCATTCGAGGAAGAAGGAGGCCCTTCCAGAGTGGGGATAAGCGGGGCCAAGGAGGGGGGCTCGAAGAGGAAGAGGCAGGTCGGCAGTGAGGATGACGTCAGCGAGCCTCGGGCAGGGGGAAAGAGGAAGTCGGCGAGGCTTTCGAGCGGGCGGGGACAGAAGCGGAGGGAGTCGTTTGCCGATCCAGGCAACATTGTCGGATCTGACGAAGATGACGGCAGCGTTGAAGAGATTCCAAGAGAACGGGTGACCCCAAAAGGTGGGGGAAGACGGAAGTCAAAAGGAAACAAGTTCGTGGCGGGGGGGGAGGCGCGGTCGGATGATGACGAAGAAGAGGGAGACGACGACTTGAGCGATTTTATTGATGATACTGAGGTTGGTGAAGGTGGGGCGGCGGGGCGGGTTTCAGAAGACGAAGAGGGGAAAGAATCGGGGGAAGAGGGGGATGCGGACGAGGGCAAGGAGACCGGTTCTGACGAAGAATGTGGGAGCAGTCGCAGGCGGCTTCAGAAAGTGCAGGGAGGCCAAGGGAATGGGGACTCGCTTCCTGAGTTGAGTGTAGAGCTAGAAGATTTTATGGGCGAGCACGGGCCGTCCAGTTCGCGGAGGAAATCAAAACGGATGGTGGAGAGCGAAGGGGAAGAAGAAGCGGACGGGGGAGAGGGACAGGGAGTTGCGAGGAAGGCTGACTCTCCGGAGATTCCACTGAAGGGCGGGCTGACGTCACCTGTGGCTCTGGAGATTCCGGAGGTGCAAGCGGAGGCAGCAACAGAAGTGGGCGGAAGCAGAGGCGGTCCGGAAAGCTTGAGGAAACGGAGACGGGTGGAACTCCTGGAAGAAGACAAGGACGAAGAGAGTGAGGCAAGAGCGGCGGACGAAGGGGTTGGGCAAGTGGAGGGGAAGAAAAGCGACCACGACTTCGGAATAGACGAAAACATTGTGCAAGCTGGGGGGAAGGACGTGGCGGATTTGCATGAGGAGCAAGGTACCCAGGCCGCAGAGATTGGGGGCCAAGCAGAGTGCGAAGACGGTTTTGGGAAGGGAAAGGACGCGGAATTCGATGGGGGAGGGAAAGAGAATGGTTCAGCGATGCCGGAATCAACGGGAAATGAAGTGTCTGCGGAGGCGCCAGAAGCGGCGGTCGAGATCGACGGCGGGGGAGGGCGAGGAAAGCGGTCGCGCCGGAGTGACGTTTCACTTGACGAGGTGCTCGTGAAGATGATTGATCACCGGAACAAGGTGCTTGGGCTGACCGCCGAGGAAGAGGAGGACGAACTAGAGGGGGAGGAAAACGAAGACGATACGGAAGACGTGACCGATTTCGTCGTTCCGGACGAGGACGGGGATTACCAGGGGTATGGCGAGGGAGCCGAAGCGGGGGGCGGTGAGAAGGGGGCGTCGGAGGGGGGGGAAAGCGAGGGGGAGCCGACCGGCGAAGATGAAGAAGTGGTACAGAAGGAGGACTTTGAGATGTTCGTGGAGTATGTTCTGCGGACGATACAGGATCCGGAGTATAAGAAGGAAGCGAGGCGGGACGATGAGCTGATGGCGTCGGTCAGGAGAAGTGAGGTGAGCTTTGGAAGGAACGGATTGTTCGCATTTTTATGTACGAGCTGTACTTGTACTGGGGAATGAGGACAGTTGACTGTCTGCGCGAGCTGTGGAGATGACTGATAAAGTGAGCGATGGGTATGCGGGGTGCTTTTGACAGCTGCGCAGTTTGCGGGGTACATGATGTAAACGATGAACGCATACAGATTGGATTAAAACTAGGTTGGATTTTGGAAGTTATGTTATTCCGTGATTCCAGGGCGTCCGATGTAGCGCTGCAATTAGCAGTCTCAGCGCATGCGTCATACAACAATAAGTTGACTTGGCCAAGCTTAACTTAAACTTCGAGTTCTCCGCTGAAGTTCTGCTAATCATCCGTGCTTTTGCTAAAAGAGCAGCTTCTTTGAGAATGAAGCGGTCAGTCTCCGGCCAGTCTAGACAGTGATCGGATGAGGCTTCCTACTGTTCTTCTGCCGCATTTGAGATAATTTGAAGTCCAGACTGTTTTTCGTTCCTGACTGGACTTGGAAAGTCGAACGGTCTCTCTTATACCAGTTTTTGGACAGCAAACTAGCCTTCAAAGCAAGCTTCTCGAAATCTGAAAGCTTTCGCGGACTAATCTGCAGAGGTCGGGACATGGAGGTGGCCCTGTCAAGCAAGTTCATCAGGATTTTAGCAGAACACAACGAAGGACCCTTCTACCGAAAGCAGATAAAACGGTTACCTGTTGCCATCAACGAGCATCGCTTGGGTCGAATCTTGCAATCGGCCCAGGTCGGAACCGGGCATTGCGGCAAGGTATACTGCAAACCGGGCCACCAAACAACCGACGATCCAGATTTGGAGTGTATCGCTGAACCGAACGCAAACGCCCCAAACGCGCTGCGGCTTGCTCGCAGGAGGCCCTGACGTCCCGCCGCACGCAGCTGGTCGAGAGCACCGCATGGACCCCGGAATTCAAGCGCGCGCTCGACAGCCGCCCCGGGCTGGCGTGCCGCGACACCCGGGACCACGAGGACTGCCAGGCGTGCGGCCGGGCGAACCACCCGTCCACTCACATCATGGTTTTCTCGGGGGAGCGGCTCAGGTGAGGGGCAATCGCGCCGAGTGTGAATTGGTTCGTCGGGAGCCTGGGGTTATCCTGATGTTCTTTGTCAGCTTACGGTTGCACTTCTTATCGAGCTCAGCCATGACGTCGCCCCCTTAATCGCGTTTTTTTTGTCTCTACGTCTTGCTTCGCTCGTCCGCCCGAGATCTTCCGTCCTTGGTCAATCCTGTCGAGGGCAAGTTCGTCCCATGAGTGCATCTTTTTCGGTTTGTTATTCTCTGACTCTGTACTGCAATCTGGTTCTGGCCGCCTTTTTTGAGTGCAATCAGGTTACTTACCCCGTTAATGTGACCGTTATACGTTCCAGTTCACAATCTGCTCCAATTGTAACCGAATGAATGGCTGAACCTGACACCGACCCTTTGCACTCTGGATAAAAGTGGAAGGGGGATGACTCGCCCAGACCCTGGCTCGAAACGTGGGCCCACATGCTGGCACCTGCAAGGGTCCATTTCGACCGACCGCAACCTTAGGGGTTTCCCGCCAAACCCGCTCAACCGAATTGCTTCCGTAGTCTCCCATATGTTGAAGCAGTCAACTCGTCAATTCTCGCTTGCATAACATCCGAGTGCGCCTGGTGGGTAGACTTGCCGTCCGGTTTTGCCCTGCCCTTGTCTCTTTTCAGGAGCATGGACGGAAGCTGTCTGAACTCGACTCTTGTCGAGATGAACCAAATTTTTTGTACACGATCTGCAGGCCGGGCGAGGTTTGGGAGTTCGACATGGCGGTCTCAGCTGCCTCCCGCCTGCACAACGACAACGAGGGAGAGGAGGACGAGAACGAGGGCGAGGAGTTTTTGGTGGGCCGGTTCTGCTACGCCCGGGCTATGGCGTACCACGCCTTGCATCACTACAAGTGGCGCTTTACGCGGCGACTTAGAAAGGTTCTCGCAAAAGCGGGGTCCGGCTTAAAGGGCGAAGACGCAATCTCGGCAGCGCTGATGGCCACCGAGGTCATTTCGAGGTTGCACCGAAACATCAATCGGTTTGTAAACGCCGCTGAGCGCTTCAGGGATCGGACGCAGGATGGCAAAAAGGGCTTAGTGACCATGGAAGAGATGACGGAGGAGGATAGGTTCTTGGAGATGGTCGAGGAGCTGGACGAGGGAGGAATTGTAGTATAGTGCAGCAACAACTATAAGAAACTTGTACAGATACCCATGTCCAACATAAGAGGACTTTTTACATCCCGACGACTGTGCTTCTGAGATGTTGACGTCTGAATGATTCCAACTTCAGGACGAATCCTGAACGATATGTCTTCAGCACGGCCTGTCATGCACGACGATTCGCGAACGCATGGCCGCGCGCATTGATTCAAGTTTGGACCATGGAAGTTTGAGTTATACTTGATCTGAGGCCGCGGATCGAACAGATATATGCTGCCCAGGTCCCGCATGCAATGGTCACTGACCGCACTAAGTCACGTGTACAGAGATCTGAATTTCAAGAGTTTAATGTGCACATGTCAATCTGAAGTCAATATATGCAATCACCGGCCCGGGCCCGCGGGGCCAGGCTCATTTTATTTTTAACATACCTACATATGCATGCGCCACTGGCCAGCGGCCAGTGCATAGCAGAGACTCGCCGGCCGGTCGGACTCACAGTGGCGGCCGCATCCGGCGGCAGTATGAGAGCTGCCCCTCTCGTTACATATGTGTGCGAAGCTACCGTTAAGCATAAGATCAGCAGCAGTGGTGTTGGTAGATTCGAGCTAATGTTCCGCTAATGAATTGCAATAAGTTTCAAAGTCCATTGCACTTCAAAGTGCGACCTGTATCGTCGAAGGACTATAGGCAAGTCATAGCGCCTGGCTCTGACAGCCTACTCCGTTTTTATCAGCCTTTGCCCCCTTGCAATTTACCATCCGCGAGCGAGCCAGTTACGGCGTGAGTTCTGTGAAAGAGACTCACTTTCATGCAATCTAGCGCAAAGGCTGCTTGCGCATCTTTTGACTGTTTCGCTGCTGTCAAAAAACAATGCTCAAAACAACTGACCAAGGGCTTGCAGGTCCTCGTATATCTCTGTGCGACTCTCTGCTCTAGTTTCCTGTATCTATCTGCAGCCCTGCATGAGCGACAAACACATCAAAACAAAGCGCGCTGAGCATCTATTGACGCTCGCACCAATGGCTGACTGCGAGCGAGCTGCCTATGGTCGCCCTCTTAAAGATCTCTCTCAACTCCTGCGACTTGATACACCGGGGCACCTTGTACTGCCCCGCATCGATCCCGTGCTCCTTAACCCGGTACCGAAACAGCTCCTCGAACGTGCTCGGTTTGACGAGGCACACCTCAAGCGGCGATAGCTCGTGTTTCTTGATGGAGTTCTCGTACAGCGAGTTTCGACGACTTAGCGCGGCGTCTAAGCTCGCGGCTAAACTTTCCAGATCCAGTTTCACGTTGTCAGATGCATCTTTTCGCAACCGAACAATCTCCGCAAACACCGTGTAGCGGGGGGGGACGCAACCCGTGTCAACAGCCGTCGTGTACTCCACTAACTGGCGCCCGGTTAGCGCTAACCCCTCCGCCGTCTCAAGCACCGCTCCGGTCAGATCCTTTTCCGTCATGTGTTCCGTTGCCCCCTGAATGCTCAGCACCCCCCGGCGGTACTGAAAGGACACCTGCGGCAAAGATTGCAAAAAACCCTCGACCTTTATCACGTCCTCCAGCCGGTAACGATACAGCCCGGCCCAGTTGGTCAGCACGACCTCGTAGCAGCGGCCCAGCTCTAGTTCGTGCATGCCCACGGTCTTGACGCATGCCACTCCAATTGGGTTCTCGCTTGACTCGGTTTCGCCTGTAATACTCCCGTTCTCACTGGTCGCTTCATCCGCACTCCCGTTTGCGTTTCCGTGACAATCGGTTCCGTTTCCGTTGCTTTGGGCCTTCGACTCCCGTTCCCCGCCACTCTGTTTCCCGGCCCCTCTTCCTAAGTCATCATCGGTCTCAGCCCAACGACTTCCGCTCTCTCCGACGAAAGCTGTTCCATCCTCGACCGATCTGTTTCCGGTCTGTCCGTCCACATCGGACTCGTCCACCGGAATGAACTCCCAGAACGCTTCTCGGGGCAGCAACGTGTAGCGGACGCTGCTCGGCTCATCTCGGAGGTCGACATTGACGCCGACGAGCGACTCGGAGCAGGCGTACGTCAGGCTGACGAGGGGCAGGTCCGGCCCGGTGAACCTGGCAGAGGTTTTCGAGGGCGTGGTTAAGCAGGTTCTTTTTTGAAAAACTGTTGTTTCGTTGGTACTCAGTCTGACTAACCCGGCAGCGAAGTGTCCCTAAGAGCGACATGGGGAAGGATGGGTTAGCCTGAGAAGGGCACGAGATGGTGACAGGAGCTGCAGAAAGAGAAGAGGACCTGAGGTGAAAAGGACCTGAAATGAGAAGGAGATGGGAGCTTCGTCAGCTGGCGCCAGTCCGAAACGCTGGCACGAGCAGCGCACATAAATACCTTCCCGATGAATCGAGGTTTGGGAGTCACAAAAAAAAACCTGTGAAATGTTGCGGTCTCTAAAATTAGCGACCTCGAGCACTGTCTTCGAAGGGTAACGCAAGTCTGAAGTTGCTGATAGAACCAGGAATCACTCGCCAAAGACGGCCGGAAAGACGGTCTTCACCTTCGCAGCGGCGCGACGTAACCCGTCATCGGCCCCGTGAAGATGCACTCCACGAACTTAACCCGCGGCCAAATCCGTGGCACGATGCCCTCAAACCCCTCCCGAAACTCCGCTTCCAACGCGTCCGCTAACCCGGGGTTCGCCCCAATCCGTCGAGCAACCGCATCCCTAACCACCGCCGACGAAATCCGCTCCTCGCTAACCGTCCCCGTCCTGATGTCGTGCATGAACTGCGCCCAGTTAAGCTCCAGGTCGGTTAGCGCCGTAACCAGGGTTACCGCAAACGTCGTCCTCAGGGCGGTCAGCTTTCCCCGCGCCGCGAGCGCGCACAACACGTGGCAGTAGGAGGCTTCGTCGTGCAGCGTGTGGGTGTAAACCTCCGGCGGCGAGCAGTCTTCACGAAGGACACGTGGCAGGTCGTACTTGAGCGCGAGATTAATGAGCCCGGTTACGATCGGGATGGCCGGTAACCCTCCCGGGAGGATCTGCGGGGCGCTGCAGTTGACGAGGCGGAGGCTGTGGTCGGTGGATTCGGCTCCGAAGTGCCTGGAAAGAAGATGAAAACAAAAAGATGGTTAGAGACTCCCAAAAGATTGTTAAGCTCTAAACCGAACCGGTTGATATAGATCATCGCTCTTGTTTCTGACTGTCTGGTGATAGCAGGTCTGACGGAGAGGTAGAAAGGAAGAACGGGCCCTCGAAAAACTTGACAGGTTGATGGTTAGTCTCGGTTCTGGGATGCTCTTCCCAATGCTGCCGTGAACTTGAACACCGTTTCAACGTTGCCTTGCGAAGAAACAATGTTGATTTTCTTGCAGAGGAATCCTTCATCTGGGGTTCTGCCACGAACTGTTGAAATCGACTTCGCAGCAGTGTGCCTAAATATCGAAGACTGAAATGCTCGCAGTTCTCAGAATACAGTGAAAGACAATACGCGTTCTCAAATAAATCATGGCCAATCAAATGGACGCCCAAGCAATCAGTCAAGTATTAAATCCTGCAATACCTTGCGGAAAGCATGCCGGATCCTTTGTCTGCAGACTAGCGTACTCTTTTTAAGTAGACAAGTGCAGCACAAAAGGATGGCTGCGAGAGAAGCTTCCACAACTTCAAAGGGGATTCATATGGTGAGTCACTGAGACTTGCCCTATTCTCGAAGGGAATCCGGTCCAGTCAAGATCTACGAAGAAACTGGTGAACTGGCACCTGGTCGCTGTCCAGATTCTAGTAAGATGCGTGAGAAGGAAGGTATCTCACCGCTGGATCAACGTTTTTGTCAACTGGCCGAACCGCACCGAGCGGGTCATGGATCCCACTGTCTCCGGAATCAGCTTCCGCCCAGACGTCGTGCCGGAACTGTACGGCCGGAACGAGGAAGAGATCGATGGCGAAAAATGTTTTTAAGGTAGGCACAACCCTCCGTGTTGACTCGACCTACGAGAATCTCCTTTAAGTCAAGGATCAACGAGCTATGATCTTACTCGTGAACGCAAAGAACAACATTCGCGACAGATTATCCTTCTTTTAATCGCACTTGTCGACAGCCTACTTTTCGACGGTCAAAATGACATTGTAGAAGGCAAGTGACGTCTGGTAGAAGGATTATTAGTGGGAGGATCATTTGAAGACACATAAAAATCTCAAGAGTAGCTCGTGGACTCGGATGAATAGTCCACGTGTGAGGGGCACCTGAATTCAGAATCTTTGCTTCGGAAGAATTTCAGAGGCACTCAGGTTGAATACCCGGGCAGCTTTATCCTTGCAGATGACAGTTCAATACCAAAATATAGATCGATCTTTCCAAACTCGTCTAAAGACAAACTTCAGAGCCACATGTCCCGAAGATCAGAGGGCCAAAACTGAGACGACTCACGAGAGTAGGAACTGGAAGATCTTCTCGGCACAGAGTATCTGGTTGCTCGTCCTTTCGGCTTCTCCAGAGGCCTCTCGCTCAACCCACTCCCGAAAGTGCGGGTAGTCACAGACTGGGTGTAACGCCTTGAAATCCTCCGCAGTTGATGTAGGCCCCAGGTTGTACCTGCGGGAAAAAGCATGACGTCATCTTTGAGGGGATCAAAGAATGCAGCTGCGACGTCAGGCCATTGGAAAGGCTGTGAAGCTGCACAGGAAAGCGAAGGAAGGGTTCAGATATAAGACAGCGCCACGAATGTGGTGCCAATTGTTTCAACAGAGTCCATTGTGGTTCACTTTCTGTTGCACGGGACAATTGCTGATAGATTTTGTTACGTTTGGTTATCTGGTTTGTAGGTTTCAAGAACGGATAACAAAATGCATGAGTGTGGTCTGGGACTCTTTTGTCCCAGACCACAAAGTTCCTGTTCAGCCCCTGATCAAGAAAAGGTTATCAAGAAAAGGCCAAAACCATTAGACACAAAGTAGATGGGAACTCCGAATTGCAAAGTCACAGCGCACTTCTGGCCCTTCACTTTTTGCAGGAAGGGGCATCCAGAAAGGACTCGGTTAAACAAGCTTTTCCAGGAACATGGACTGATTATGTCATCCCTTAGGCATGTTACTAAGCAGGGTCTTTAGTATCTCCTTGATATTACCTGTTTCTATCTCTCATAAGCTCCGTAATTATCCTACTCTCTTCTAAATCAAGAAGAGAAGGGTATTGGTGGGGATTGAGGGGGTAAAGTCAACTGACGGAGACTTGTCTACTGATTGCAGACGAATTGTGGGGACTGAGGGGGTTAAGTCATCTGACGGAGACTTGTCTAATGTATTTGCAGAAGAGATGGATCTTTGGTTCCCTTCATATAACAGCTCTCTGACTGCCTTCTTACACAAGCTCCTTTACAATCTCCTGCTGAGAACATGATACTGCCATCAGTAAACTCTTTGAACCAAAATAATGAACCAGCAGCTTCCAAAGTGAATTGGACAGCAAGGTCCAATTTACCCCCCAAAGGGATACATGCTCCTTAAATATACACGCTGTGCGTTGTATGCGCTACTCTCAAAGTGGACCCCAAGGGGTCTCAGAACACATTCTTAAGCATCCGGCAGACTGCCGATCTGTTCCGTGCAGGATCATGTACTTCTTGGGACTGCTTCCAGCAACCAAGAATGAAGCCAATCTGCAACCTCAAAGATTCTTCAAAGACCTCAAACTTCAGAGGACTTGGCCGCAAGCAGACTTTGCAAGAATGGGGCATTAAGGTTTGACGCAAGTCACAGATCCAAAAACTGTGAGTGCTCATCAAGCAACCTTGTCCCTTCTCCAGCTCCGAAGCGGTGGTGGTGCTTGACAGCATCTGAATCCTTAGGATCAAGATGTGAACAAAACTTTGAAACAGAAGTTCCCTGACATGCATTAAATGGGGTGAGGCTCTTTCACAGCACAGAACAGAAATGTTGAGACAGCACCGCAGACAGCACCCATAAAAAAAAATGCTGCAAAAAGACAACTAGTCCTTACCTTTGCAGATACTCTGTCTTCTCATGAAGAAGCAGGATGCCACGCAGCACTTGCTGCTGTATCTGCTCACAGCCTGCGGCTGCATCCTGCTCGAGCTCATTGATGCCATACACAGCCGGACGCATTGTTCCGATATCATAATGCTCCATGGATCTCAAGCTGCCCGCTTTCAGGAAAGATAGCAAGCGGATGGAGATGCTCTCAGTTCCTGTTCTTCTTCTGTTCTTGTGGCAGAAATGAATGCAAGCAGCACGTTGAATCTTTGTAGTGGTGAAAGCAACTGCACCAGCAATCGCACCTTGCCAACCTGATCTAATATAGCAGCTCTGCTTCACAAGTTCATTCTAGATTAAAAAGGATGAACAATCTAAGGACACCACGCTCATCAGCTGGAGACGTGGGACTCCTAGGGGCTATGCACACCTGGAGGGGGGTGTCGGGGTTTCTCTGGTAAAATGGAGACCCGGGTCTCGAAATCGACATCCGGCACCCCTTTAGGGCTATGCACACTAGTCGGGGTCTCGCTGACGTGTCGGAGACCCGGGTCTCAGAAATTTTCCAAAATCCGAGACCCGGCCCTTTGGCGGGGTTTCGATCGAAAGTCGGGGTCTCGGTGATGTCACGGGGGAACGATGGAACGCGCCAAACGTACTTTTGCGGGCTTCGATCGGTCCGTACACAAACTGTACACGGTTAGGTACACAACGCGTTGAGGAGCGGAAACCCGACATCCCGCAACCCGGTGTGCATAGGGTCTCGGGGTTGCTCCCGAGCTTGGATCTCGAGTCTCCGACAAACGTCAGCAAAACCCCGTTTCTGGGCAAAAACCCCCCTCCCAGGTGTGCATAGGCCCCTATACCTGGCGATGGTCGCCGGAGCGCGGGTGCCAAACCGCACGGCGGCCCCTGGGAGGCGGCGACGACCTCGACTTACGAGGAATTATACACCCTTTTTACCCCGCACGCGGCATGACCCGCGTGGTTAGCCGCTAACCACGAGGCGCTCGAGCATGTATCGCGTGATTCCTATAAAAGGGGCGTACCCCTACAAAACCCCCTTGCACCCGCTATTCCACGGACAAGGTGGTGCCCGGGTAATGTCGGCGTAGCATAGTGGTAGCGCGCGGTTCCAAATGCCTCAAGTTGCAAGTTCGATTCTCGCAAAAATGTTTCCTTTTTGGGTCACCCGCAGAGCGGCGCACATGTTATCACAGCGTATTCTTTCAAGGATTCAAGGCGAGGCAATTTTAGTCCAACACCTGTTCGCCAGTGACTCTGGAGACAGAATAGTTGTAGGACGCGGAGATCCAGGCGCTGCGCGGCGTAGGTCATACAATTTCACAGGGAATTGATGATTCCCCGTAGCTTGCACCTGGCCCCCGGTGCACTTACGGACTGCCGTACGCGGTGAACTCAACTTTCAACCGACCACCAAGGCGGAGTCAAACTCACAGCTGCGTAGCGTACGTCGATCTTCTTTTGAGCTTTTGAGATCGACGGTCAAATCGCTGACGGATCGTCACCGACGGCTGCCAATCCCACTTCAGCGACCGGCGTTCCCCGGAACGGAACGCCCCTTATAAGTGGATTCCTCAAAGTGGATCCAATCGACGCCGCACGTGCGAATAGGCGCTTCCCCAGCACTGGCGACAATGGCTTCCAATCAGTGAAATGAAGATCTCCCTCGTCCGTCCTCCGATATCCAAGCTCAAACCACCCTCCTGTAGCTCTCTCTTAGCTTGTCATACTCTGCCTTGGTGCTGTTTCTGTAGTGGCGGTAATAGAGAGATCAGCATATAAGAGTGTTGGTGATTGTCTTACGGCCGAAAAGCTCAGAAGCCCCTGGAGGTTTGCTGCAGGATCAAGAGCTGCGATTGTGAAAGGGGCTTATTCTGCACCAGTTGTGCAGAGCTGAGGTGAAGCACCCGGAGCTGCGCTTCATTGGTGTGACGGGAGTACCATTTCTTTATCGATTGCGGGTTCTCCTTATGCAACATTCATGCAACAGATGCAAGCTCTGAAGCTCCAGTGTCCAGATCATGTTTACCCATTGCAAGCATCTATCAGCGATTTGGAGCTTTCTGGACTTGATGCCGTTTGCTTCTTCCTGATCCATTGGGCGAAGTCTATGCCTCGTCTATGCTCACAAATATCTGCTCATGCTCGTTCCCTGCCACTGCACTTGTGTGTAATGTATTCTGAGCAGATTGTCGATCAAACGACGTTGGCACATCCATTTACCTGGATATTGCAGGAAGCAGCTCTGAGATTCAGGCTAGCACTGCTTGGGAACGGTATTCAGCTCTCCTTCACATTTACCCGCTGGAAGCTCCTCGCGAGCCTTTACAACGTTTACCCATTTACTCACATTTACCCATTTACCTACGTTTACCTGTTTACCCATTTGCTCGCTTTACAAGCTGTACCCCATTTCTCTTGGGCAATGCCAGATTCAGCTACTCTCCATTGGCCAGCTTGACGCACATCTCTGATCTGAGGCTCCTTGTGTCAAAGGAGCTAATCCCTTCACGATCTCCCCCGCAGATTACTGACCACGTGGTACCTGGTGTCCTGCCGGTTCTCACTGTGCTACGTGACCAGGGCAGACTGCATCTTAAGGGATGTAGCCTCCTAGTTGTTTGTGGAACTATTCACAATTACCGTCCCGCAACAGGCTTATCTCGCCCCCTCAAATCTCAAACTCTCCATTCTGTTGATGCTCGACGCTCGGTGTTGGCCCAATGTCGGACTGTTGTATTCTTGTTTATCTAAATAGATGAGGAATATGAGAAGGCTATTTAAGGCCCAATTGGCTTCTCCACACTGCTATTTGCCATGATACATCAGATTCATGTAACGCCGCTGAAACTCTAATATGCACGGAAAGGCACCCCTAGAGTACCTTTTCCCTCTTCCAAAGAACCGGACGCAACAAAACAGGGCGAACCGGAAGAGGGTTTTTAATGGCCCCAAACTTTCCCTCTGCGGAGTATACTTCACGCGTCGCACTGAGTGCATGGCAGACTCCCAGTGATTTGGAGAAGATTCCACCCAACACATTCGCGCCCGGATGGTCTCGGCTGCTGAATACAAGAGTTTGTTTGTTATCTTCTGCGGAAGGGGTGGCTGGCCCCATAGACTTACGAACGTATCATGCGGTCAATTCCATCCCGGCCTTCACAAGTACACAACCACTCTGTTGACGGTTTTGGATTGCCGGTCAAAAAGATCTACTCAACACAAGCGTGCTGCTGATCGTACATGACTACCTTACCGACAAGACGTGCCGCTACATCCCCAACATGGAGCCAACACCACTTGTACCATTCCATCATGGTTTAGCTTAGCCTCATATAGCAATCCTAGGTGAACAGGATTAGGTCCAGTGCACCTAGTTGTAGACTCTGAGTTGAAAATTAGTATGTAGCTTGCGCATGTAATCCTGATCGGTCACTTTTGTGTAGTGTACAAGCAGCATCTTCGTACGGTGACTTTTTGAACCTAACGTCCAGACTCGAAACAGAAGTGTACTCATTCTCAGGTCCATGGCTTCACCGCTACGGCCTTATAAAAGAAGTATGTATGTATGTATGTATGTATCATCGGCATACGCATGTATGAGCCCCACCGTGACCATCGCAAGAAACGATCTCCAAACCTTGTTACATACATACATAGAGCATACATACATATATACTTCTTTTAGAAGGCCGTAGCGTGAGCCATGGACCTGAGAGCGAGTCACACATTTTGTTGCGAGTCTAAACGTTTGACTAGGAAAGCTACTCTATCACTGCACGTACACCTATATGTTATGGGCCTACCCTGAGTAATACCCTCTGTATGAGTTGATGCCCTATTCACCTGTGATGAATCACGAGCTAGCTTGCACAAACGGGGGCTTATGCTAGTGTGCTTGGAGAGATAGCAGGCCCGGGTCATCAGTCGGGCCCCACGTAGGTTGGTCATGTACAGCGACGGTGTGCGTCTCTCCAAGTTGAGGAGAGGCATCATGTAGAGCTTTCCGGCGGTCAGTTTTGACCAAGTTCCCAACAAAATTGGCGTGTACTTGTCAAGGCCGGGGAGGTGTTGGCTATGATACGTTCGTAAGTCGGTGAGGGCTACTCTTCCGAAGAAATTTGACGAACAAACACATGTATTCATAAGTCAGAACCTGTCGGGCAGAACGTTTGGGTGGAAGCTTCTCTAAGTACGAGTTGTTCATGCGGATAATAGACCAAGCGTGGCCATGTCGTTGCTTAGCAGAGGGGAAAGTGTCGGGCCATTAAAAACCCTCTTCCAGTACGCCCTGTTTTATTGCGTCTGGTTTTTGGGAAGAGGGAAAAGGTACCCCGGGGGTGCTCTCCCGTGCATGTAAGGCTTCACTCACATTGGCAGCAAGCAGGTCGCATGAACAGGATCTGATACAGAGAGTCCACATGAACTGTAAAAAGTCGAATCAAACGATCGATGCCAACAGTTGGTACGACTTGTGCAGCAACTTAGCGAACGACAGCGGTTGATGACGGCTAAAAGCTGCCAGTTGGCAAAGACGGCGCCACTGAGATAAAAGCGTTCATAGATGCGATGTTGTAAAGCCCGCGCATCGGATCTTTATCGAATTGCGGCTCACAATGTACCAGCCACAAGTAACAGAGCCCGAATTGCTCTAATACCTCCTGCCCCAGGTCCAGTCGGAGGCCTCCAGTCCAGCATCTTTGAGCGGCACCTTGAACTGCTCAAAGCGGCGCATCATGGCCGCCTTGGCCGCCGAGTTGGTCGTGACAAGGCGCCAGGTCTTGCACCTCGAACCGCCGTTGATCGCAACGCACTCCATGAGATAATTGCCAGCAATGCTGGTCATCTTGGCTTCCACGCCCACCTCGGCAAGGACGTCGAGCATGTCCTGCTGCTGGGGGAAGTAGGTGTTGGACTTCGACGCTTGCATGCAGATGAGGCGAGCAAGTTCGGTGATTCTGTAGCGGCCGAGCTTGGCTGCAAGGGAGGGGACAACGCGGGGTTAATAGTAGGTCCAGTACAGTCGGTCAACAAATGAACAATGACTGACAAATGAAGTAGGTGCAACTTTGCTAGCCTCAAAGACAGACTGGTGTGTTCAGCGGGGTTCAGGTGGGCCCTATGTCAAGAAGATTAGTTGCAAACTGTCCAGAAAGTCTGTTGCGCTGAGTCTGACGGTTGCACAGTGAAGATAACAATGTGTCAAGCGGGTTGTGTACCTGGATCGCTAGGAATGCCGCGGCTGTCAACGGGGTCCTCCTGCCGGGCCTGCTTATACGGGCCGCTCCGATTCGGTCTGTTGCGAGCGCTTAGCTCTGCTGGGGGTCCTTCGACGATTCCGTACGACATGAGGCGGCCGAGATGGTGTCTTTGGAGTGAGGGACTGCCGCGGGGCCAAGGTTGGTGAAGCCCGGTCCCGCCTGGTTGCTGCGGCTCATGTTGGCGAGAGCGTCGACAATCCTGCCCGGGGACAAGAATAGGAGAAATTATGAGACGGGGCTGAAAGGTGTTCACGTTTGTCAGGCAAAAGAGTTGTGCAACAGCAACCGTGCCAGACTTGCGCGTAGATGTATATGTGTGACTTCGTTTATTGTGACAGGGTAAAGAAGGAAGCTGGTACAGAGGTTGTGTAAGCTGTGCATGCAAAGTCACTGCGGATACAAAACGTCGCCTCAAGTGCTAACATCATTAGACTGACTGTTCGCTTTTGATCTGTGCGGAAGGCGGGTACATTGAACGGGGGCGACATTTTCGCAGACGAGTGAGATGAAAAGTTGGAACGATTAATCGCACCTGTCATGAGTGACGCGCTGGCTAGCGGCTGCCTCCTGCTGTCCAATCAGGATCTCTTGCTGGCGATCGGCCATAGTCTCGAGCTTCTCTTCGAGGCGGCGGACCCTGGCCGCAAACGGTCGGTGAGGTTTGTCTCGATGTAGTCTGCCATGGCGGCGAGTTTATCCGGGACCTGTTCTGGGGGCGCCGCGTCGACAGCTTCAGCGATGCGCTGGAGCTCAACGACGATGTCGTCCGTGGCGGCGACAAACGTGGCCATGGTGTCCCCGGACGCGATCCCCGAGTTAACGGCCTGTACGATCGCCGCCAGGTCCAGCTGCTGCGGTGTCGGCAGCGCCCGGCGAATGGCGGTGACGCACGCCCTGACCAAGCTCTGCTCGAGCTGAGCAGCATCGGAGGCCTGGGGCGGAGGCGCAGGCTGCCCGGGCGCGAGCGCAGGCGGCGGGGCCTGCTCCGTGCTGACGAGGTCCGCGGCAGCCGCGGCAGCCCGCGCGTCCGCGGCCGCGCGCGCTTCGGCGGCCGCACGATCAGCGTCGGCCTGAGCCTTCGCTGCGTCTGCTGATCATTTCCAGTGGACGTTCTTGAGTTGTACACATCTCAGTGGCGCTACCCGCATGCAATCACGGCCCTTTTCGCCGTTTATTTTCCATTTGATTTCACCGACTGCGAGTCCTCATGCACCGCCGAGCTTTGCCCTGAGGGTTCCGCTCTTATGCTTGATTATGTGGTACTCGTTTTCTCAGCGATCGTACGGAACGGTCTGCACGTCGAACCCGACGAACTCGCAAACTGCGCAAGAGTGCAACAGAATGAGGCGGGGCCGCTGGCATGCTTGAAAAGGCTAGCTTGTTAGACTTCAAGTCGTGAACCATTTGCGAACTTGTATACCTGTAAGAGACGTGGCGAGTCTTCATACATTCTGCATTGTGTATGGTTTGGCTTGCAGCGAATCATGTCCGCAAACGACTGAGCCTCAGAGAAAGAGGACACCATCGCACACTGATAGAGATGCTTTGAATGCTCTGTGAGTGAATGATCAGGCTGTATGGTAGGAAGCTGTTCTGGGTCAACTCGGGCCGGTCAGATTTTACGGCAACTCGATCGATCATGAGCAAAATTGAGTGCAGTACTCAACTAAACGATATCACTGCAACTGCCGCCTAGGCTCCGCCTGTGTGTTTTCCGCCGTAGCCAACAAGGCGGTTCCGGTTGACTAGCTCTTTTCCCGCTACCAAGAAGTAGGCCGTATGTCTGCAAGCAGGGAACACAACGACCTCAGAAGCAGCAACAGGTGTCCTCAACTGGACACTGGACACTGAGAAGTCCTTCTGGTGTAAGCAAACAACGACCTCCTTGTCTTGCCACTTTCATGAGCATCGGTTTCCTAGAAAGACGAAGTCTCACACTGAATGAGGTCAAGGGGAGCGTCCAAGCCGGCTTCGGATGATGTCAGCGGGTCGGACTCAGCACTCGCAGGTCTTTCAAGCGATTTGGAATAGGGCCACAAAGCAACAACTTTTCATGCAAGCAGAAACCGGTGCGACAGGCCTTTGAGAGGCACTAGACGTTTGACGAAGTGTACGATAATATTGGGGAGGCACCTTGCAGGGTAAATACTGAGCTTTTATCCGAAGGCATAATACACAACTTGAGACCTTGTCGTCCTTATGCATGAAGGCATTGTTCCCTGCAAGGCCACTGTTTCTGCTTTTCCTCCAGAGATACCTCCAGTGCGATGCAATCGCCTGATCCTCCTAGTGACGACCCCGCTGACGTCACTTTCACCTGAAGAAGTTCCGCAGCCGCTGCCGCGAGTCTTCGTCGATCCCGGCCGTCTCGTCCAGCGCCTCGTCCATGTGCTCGAGCCACCGCTGCGCCGCTCGCTCCGTGACGGCGTATGGGCCGTGGCGCCCAATCAGCGCGGGATGACCTGGAAATAGAAAGTGACGTCAGACAACTCTTTGAGTGAACAATTCGCGCCCAACAAGCGCTGCATGGCCTGTAACGAGAAGCGAAGGTCAGCCAGAGCAATGTGAGAGCGTCCTTTTTGATTACTCGGCTGAACGTTTTAGTCGTGCTGTGGCGAGGGGGGGCAGCGGGCAGTGGTGGGGTGAGGCAGCAGGTGGGGGGACCGGACAGGGGGTCAGAACATCAAAAGTGTGTCGTGGCTTCCGTCGCACTCATGGGCAGCGCAGAGTGTCCTGCAAGCATTGATAAACGTAAAAGAACCCCTTGGCTTAACTTAGTTCAATGAGTCGCTCTGATCACCCGGTTGGCTTCACCGCCGCTCCTCCGGGGACAACGTACGGGCCGTGGCGCCCAATGAGTGCGGGATGCCCTGGAAACAGAAATGTGACGTCGAAAGTATGACTGGGTATCGTTTTGAAAGGGTCGTTCTGATTCTTGACGCTGTTTCCGTTACGCAAACGGGCCGTGACCGAATTAGTCTGGAAACGAAAAGACACCTTAGAACACTTGTTGAGTGTCAGAGTTGCTCTCATCACTCGGCACTCTTTCGGTGATGGCGTATGGACCGTGTCGCCTGATCAGCGCGGGATGCCCTGCAAACAGAGATGAACGTGGGAATCGGCTGGGATAAGAAGTCGAAAAAGTCAATTCAGACGCTCGGCTGAGCGTTCAACCAAATGCTGCCGCTCTTTCCGTGAAGGTGGACGTGTTGTGGCGGCCGATCAGCGGATCAGTCGGAAGATCGGAAGATTCGATGAGGTATCGAAGAGAATTCTAATCGGATCATCAGGCTAAGAGTTACCGCCGCCCTTTCGGTGGTAATGCGCAGGCTGTGGCGCCATGGGATGGCCTGCGGACAGAGAAATGACGACGTCTAAAAGTCGTTAGGATAAATGGTCGAAAAAGTCATTCTAATCAATCGACGAAGCGTTCCAGTCGTAAGGTCGAAATCGAGTTGGAACGCCCTGGAGACTTCACGCAGCCGAGACGCAAAGGGATACAAGAGTTGAGAGTTTTGTCGACGAGTTTTGCACGTCAACTTAGTACCGGGTCACAGAGTACCATGTGTTCAAAGGTCAAGAATCGTCAAGACCATTATCTTGGAACTGCATCGAGCGATATGTAGGAAATGCAGCGAGTAATCTCCGTCGTTCAAATGATCTACACAGCGAAGCTGATGCGGGGCAGGAAGATACTGGAGTGATTGAAGACGCTATATAGACGTTCTCAGAACAGCACGGCTGTGCTGACAGCAGCGTGCGACTTTTGGGAAAGGTTCTTTGACATGCAATTTCTGTCTGGTTTGGAAGTGAAATCAACTCCAGCCAACTTTTTTGGCCTTTCATTGGCTTCTACTAACGTACGAGAACCATGACTGGAAGTGATTCTTTCCGAACAGCTGACAGCAGGACGTCTTTCCAACCTTGGAAGCTCTAGTGAGCGTAATCTGTAGGGAGTCTTTATCCCTGTGACAAAATCTTCAAATCAATTTCAGGGATGGTGCCAGAATCTCTAATCCTTTCCTTGCCTTTCCTCACATGCTATGAACGACTAGAATTTTCAAAGAGTGCTCACTTCAAACGTGAAGTTTTCTGAGACTTTTCACTGCAAACGTATCGTTCAGAGCAGGCATTTACTTGGAATTGCCATAGCGAAGGCTCTCACCTTTCCGTTGGGAGTAAAGAGGAGGGCCCCCGAGTCTTTGGATGAAGAACTCGTACTGGTTCTGAGTGGCATGCTCTCTGGTCGAGTTTGCGAAGATGTCCCGAAACCAGGTCTCCTTGTCGTCATAGACCCTACACATAAGGGAACTTCAATCACTCATTGGCTCAAGAATGAGTAAGCTTACCTTGGTAGCTATCCCATCCAAGTCAAGAATGAGGAGGGTCTTCTCAAAAAGGAAGAGGTGTGATTCCTCCTGATTGCAAGTGGTGACAGGTATTCACCTTCTGAGCCCACTGCACCCTGCACAAGCACCCCTGTTCATTGATTTGACAAAACGTGGGGCGCCATTGTTCAGCTGCAAGACTCTTCTAGTCTCAGTAACTGACTCTTATTTACTGATTTTAGCTGTCACATCTCGCTTGATACCTTTGCAGAGAACATTTGTGCGGCTGATCGACAATGTCTCTTGGACCTCTAAGATGAGCCCCTAGTGGATCAAATGGTCCCCTTGCCTTTGAAACGACTCAGGATTTCTGTGGACAATCCGACAATCTTAAACATGTGGACAATCTGACAATCTTAAACATTAGCCCAGGTCAGTCACAAACATATGTACAGGCCAGCACACTCGGCTGACCTGAGAGCGACTCCGTCGCATAAAAGTAGAAGGTTTACTGTTATCAATCTGAGAGATCTGCAGCAAGCTGGGCCTTCCGGATCAAGAACCTCTGATAGTTAGTTCCTGGGTGTTTGGCGCCACCCCTTGAACAGGCTGCAAAGCCCATGCTTCGATAACAGGAGGCTTCATGTGTGCCATTTGTGTCTTAGCGCTATGTAGACACGAGGACACCATAAGATATAGAAGAAGCTCATAGAACACCATTTTCCTCCCGGGGCAACACTTTTTCCTCCTCGTTCCAGCAAGATTTCTCTTCTTCATCAAGGCTCAAAGAAATACTAGAGTCCAGCTCAGCGTTGCCTGACTGCCTCTGTAGACTGTATGTGCGCCAGATCCTCAACCAATATGATTGCCAGCTAGTGGAAGGTCAGAAACTCAATTGGAGCACCTTATACACATCGGTGCTTGTACTCTGATGACTGTTCGCTAGTTGCCTGGCTGATCTTTCTCAGAAGACCCCTTTTGTTTTCTATACATCCTCCTTTCATAAAAACCCGCCCCTGAAAGCCACCACACTTCTGTGAGCCCCATTTGGCCTTGGAGCAATTTCCCCAGAAAAGTCTCAACTAGTACTTGCAGAAACACCCATTCAAAACTTTTGAAACAAGCAAGCGACTCACCGGGTGTAAAAGTTCGTTGATAAATCGATGAAAACCTGATGCCCCAGCCTCTCATACAGGTTCACTGCGTCGACCTGAAATGCTTCATCCAGTGGCACACCGCTTTTCTGAGAGGCCTGCTCCTGCAGTGACTGCATCGCCGTGCTTAGCTTGCCGCCAACAACTGCAAGCCACAGGACGTCCCCGCTACCAGCCCAGCACTGCACGAAGACCAAAGAATCAAGGAAGATCTGCGGCGCCAACAGTTAGAATCTCCTTTGCAGAGCGTTCCCGATTTCTGCTGCACTGTCAGCGGTCCCTGTGACACTGACAGCGCCCTGCCATATTTGGATTCTAGATCGCCTTGCAACCAGCAGCTGTCGTCTCTGCTGCCGGAAAGGCAGATTCGCTGCCAGAAACGGCACAACCTGATGGTATTTCTGGTAGGCATCGCTTCGCGGAAGGTTGATATTAGTACGTCGGAAGAACCGGTAAAATTGGCAAGAGCGCCTCGCGCGGGCGCAGGCCCAGGCCCCGTGGCAGAGGCAGAAGATTCCAGACGCCATCACTGCTTCTAATTAAAGTACCTAGCTATACGTAGATCTTATCATGATCGAGACTTTGGAAGTTGTTGTAAGGCTCTCTTTGAAGAATGGAGCTAATGGCCTCCCGCCCATGGCAATAGGTAATTGGCCTCCGGTGGCAGCGAGCTTCGTTGCATCCATGGGAGGGGTGCACTTTCTTTTGTCATTGAAGAGCCCGTGCCGACAACCGTATGGCATCAGCGCACACAGCACTTAAGTTCGATCAATTACCTAGTGAAACCAGAACGCATGAGACTGAGACCGGACCTTCTTCAATCAACGACTCGGCTGCAAAAAGGGCTAAGAGGCTAAGCTTGTTGCCCATTGATTACTTTCAGAGCATGATGCGAGTGAAATCGACAAGACTGCGACCCGATTGAATTGCTAATGTAGTATGGTCACTGCTACTCTTAGTAGGATTCAGTCATTGAATGTCTTCTGCATGCTTGACTCCATCAAATGTCATCAAGAGTCTACAAGGTTTAGACACTTGGCAATCATCCGCCATGCGAGTACCAGCATGAATACGTATTTTACTAAAGCAAGTCGTTCACTGTTACGAAGGCACGAGCCAGACTTGCAAATACTAATTGAGTACTGACTTGTGTCACCGGTTTCTATAACCTCTGTCCGAGTCTCTAGGACCCCGGTCCCTACTATCTTTCCAATCCCGCTCCCTTTCCCCCCCATTCCGGCTCCTTTCGTAATCTCGTTCCTCGTCTTTATACCCCCCTCGACTCCGCTCATCCGTCTTCCAATCTTGCCCTCGATCCCGATCCCGGTCTGCCCCCCGACTCCTCTCACCATCCCCCTTCGCCCCCGCCGCCGCAATCTTCCAATCCTGGCTCCTGTCACGGTCCCGATCCACCCGGCCCCTGCTCCTATCCCCCCGGAAATCACGCTCGTAGTCGTACGCTCGCTCCTGGCTCCTCTCCCTTTCTCGCCCCTTATCCCGCTCACGCTCTTTTTCCCGTTCTTTCTGCTTGTCGCTTCCGTCCTTTCGTGTGAGGTCCTCCTGCTCCCAAGCGGCCTTTCCCCCGACCGGCGCGGCCGGCGCTTCCTTCTTCGTCCGGAACTTCTTCTTGAGGACGCCGAACTCGTCGTACATCTCGCCGTCTTGCTGCACGTGCGGACGGCATGGTCTTGTTAGTCCCACAGAGACGGAGCTTTCGAAAAGTGCGAGGCTCAAAAAAGAGTGCTTGTCGCAAATTCGTTTGTAACGGAAGGGAGTCCGGAAAAAGCTTTGCAAATGCACAAACGACAGGCCAGAGTCAGATCTGTACTGGCTTGCAACAAGGTCAAATGCTGGTGTGCTGCGTACGGCATGCAGGCTAATAGAATCAAAACGGACTCCTCTCTTCCAGCAGGGGACCAGGAGACACGAGCGGAAGGTTCGGTCGACAGATCGCTAAACCACAGAAGATCGTTGCGCAATGTGCATCTACAACGATCGATTAGGAGAACATCCGGACTTCGAAACCTAGAAGGACCAGGAACAAGGGCTTGATTTGCGATAGTGTATCAAGAAGGACCGTTCAAAGCACAGGAGGAACTTCTAACGCACAAAAGGGACTGTTTCGTCACCACACAGAAAGCCGTCCCTTCCACAGGTGACAGGTAGAATTCTCACAAGGTGAAAAAAACGAGCATCTATATGCAGTCCGAGCATCATAGGGGGATAGCAGACAGAGAAGCGAGACACCGGCATCTACTACTTTCCAAAATTGAGTCCCTTTTAGGACATCCGAGCGGAACCGATGGCGAACAGGATCGGATCCATTCGACCCACCTCTTCTGCTTCCTTTCTCCTTCGCTTTGTCTCTTCCGCCTCGGCTTCATCAAACTCCTTGAATCCGCCGGCCCGGCCCTCCCTGCGAAAAGTCAGCGAAGCCATGTAGTAATGTAGTATTAAGAATCACAATTTTACTTTTAGCAAGTTTCGAAGTTTCCCTTGAACAAACGGAACGGGAAAGAGGTGAAGAGCTCAAAGAAAGTTGACCCTCGTTCTCTGCGCTCAACAAATTGGCAGAGAAGCCGTTCGCAAATCCTGTAAAAACTTGAATCGAAGCGTCGTCTGTCGAACCACATGTCTTGAGCATAGTAAGTGCCTAACCTTCAGGAGCTGGTCACGAGAGGGAAGCATTAACAGCGTAGATAATTGGTCGCAGGACTGCTTTGCAGACTACGTCAAGACAATTTACATCCCTTCGGCAAGATCGCCAAGAACTTCACATAAAGCACCAAACATTCGCGCTCTCAGAAAGCAAAAAAGTCGGTATTTGATTGACAATCATCTGTGGTGTCTTCTACCACAGTTGACACCGAACGAGAAGATACGCACTTGATTTTTAAGCCCGGTTATGCTTGCTTAAGGCGCTCTACAAGGAAAACCCCGTGGAATCTGCTGAGTGCTTCACTCGTTGATCAAAATGACAACCGAACTTCCTGCACAGGTCTCATAGAGGAAACATACCTGGGCCCACCCTCGGTCCCCGGCTTTGAAGTGTTGCAGATGTTGCACTTGTTTCGCTTCGCCCAGTTCATGTTTTGACACCTGTACGGAGAACGCCGGCTTAGAATCGTCCCACCGGTTGAACTGGAGAAACACTTGATTTAGTCTAATGTACGTCCTTGATCTGTGCCCCCGCTAGTCTCCCCCAAGCACGGTGGAAGGATTTTGCACTTCCGTTAAGATCTGTTTACAGCTCCTCAACAAGTGAGTCGGTTATCGAACCTTCCTTTCAGAAAGCTGCTCTGAAAAGACCAGACAGATGAAAAAAATACGCAAGTCCTTGGCCCCTGAAGTGCGAAGGAAGTTTCGAGCACCAGTACTTTTGAAGTGCTACACTTGGAGTTGACGAGAATCTACTCACAACGGACAGCTCCAGTCTGCAGCCGTGAAAAGCCCGCCCCCGTCTCGCCCCCCGCCCCGCCCGCCCCCTCGTCCAGCCTGCCCAGCGGCCCCCCTGCCACGGCCGCCGCCGGCGCCTCCTGCTGACGGCCCTGCCGCGCCCCCAGATGGCCGGGGGGTGCCGCACTTGTTGCAGACGCCACGGAAGGCGAAATTGACGTTTCCGCACCTGCGCATGGCATGCACAGTTGAGAAGGTTCCCTTGAACTGGCCGAAACGAACGGCTTGAGGCTACTGTCCTCGTTGGGAAAGGTGGTTGAAGAACTCGACTCTGTGGTAAACGTTGACTGGATCTGGTCCATGCACCAAACGGGCGTTGCTTGTTCGCCCTGAATCCGGTGAACGACCTCCGGTCCTTTTCCATTTTTGTTCAGCAGTGACAGCGTAAGTGTCAATCAAAGCGGGGTCAAAAAGGTTGGCAGTCCGGTTGGTAATGCTGTTGATATAGAGAGATCGTTGCGGAGGACGAAGCTGAGGCTGGTTGGTCAACACAGTCAACCAAACAGAAAAGTATGAAGGAACATTTGCCAGGCTTCCCCCATGTTGTACGTGTCGATATTTCCCGTCAACCAAAGAGACTTGAGAGCAAACACACCGCAATCAACGAACTTGTTACTAGCTCCGCATCGGACAGCAGGGTCGCAGCATGAGGGTTTCCCTAGAGAAGACACGACACTGCTGCTGGAGGAGTTTGCAAAACTTGGAAGGCGATGTTTCCTTACCCCTCCTTGGGGCATGGCCAATCCCCATCCTTTTGCCAGGGTTTGCCCGCGACGGGAGCTACGGGGGCTTGCGGACCTGCATTACCAAGAAAGCAATCGTCAGCTTGTCAACTTTAATCCCCAGAAAATGAGAGACCAAGCGAAAGCCATTGAAGTTTATATCGATCATCGCAAATCTTAGATGAGGGATACCCGTTCTTTGTCTCAAATGGATAAGGGGCGACAGTAGCAAACGGGTGGGCGATTGCCCGCTCTTTGTCTGAAGAGTGCAAATTTCCAGAGAAAAGCGACAAACATCGGACTCGAGGGCTTGGTTGCAGGGGATAGAGCAAAATTGAGCATGTGACAGGGCTAAACCTCCAAACAAAAGCACACCTGAACCAGCCCGATTTTTATTGTTATTCTCTTGTCTACCTGTACCTGTGTGGCACCCGCAGTTTAAGCCTGTCATGTTTACCCGGCACCGCCAACAATCCATCATGCGCCTTTTACATCTATCCAATCCACCGTTCTGTTTCCCTTCTTGCCCCGGCAAGGGCAATGAGTGGACTTACCCGGAGAGGTGTTATCAGGCCCCACAGCAGCTACCTCCACTCCCTTCATGTTTTCCTGAGCCATGGACACATTGATGATATTGCCGTCGACGTCCTTGCCGTTGAACCAGCGCACAGCAGACTGGGCGGAATTTGCGTCTTGGTACATGATGGTGCAATCGCCCTTGGGAGCGCCTGTCTCTTTGTTGCGGTAGATGCGGATCTTGGGTTCGCCAGTCTTTGCGTCCATCTGCATGGGACAGATTTGTGTTTTACTTCTTACTTTGAACAGGCGCAAAAGGGGCTTATAATTGCATTGAAAAGGATCGATGTGGAGTATAGACTATGTGTGCGCTCTCGAATAGACTTATCGGCGGACGATGTACGGTTTCTGACAGTGTGCAGCTCCATTTTACAACGGTGACTGATCATGGAGAAGACATATGGTCTTCGGAGAGCTTAATCTGCGCTGCGCAGACCGTGTCAAAATACACTTGGTATACGAAGGATGCGTAGAAGACCCAATGGTATCAATCTACATAAGCCCATGTTGAATGCGCAAAACAACCGAGCAATTGAAAGCAGAAAAGCATACACAGGAGTGATTTTCAACCGCAACTAGGGTGTTCGTAACCAGCCATAAGCGTCAGAAACAGTTGAACTCCGTTGAAAGAGGGCACTCCAAACTTCATCTGTACTGTTTTGACCACCATCGTCCGTGATGTACCATCAAGGCTTCAGAAAGCAGATCAAAGTGACTATGCAAGTGTTCTGGGGCACAAAGTTGCATACATTCCCCCACTTTTATCGCCAGGCATTTTTGCCGGCGCCTTGCTGAAAGCTCTTCTAGCTATGAGGAGATGTATGCTTGGTATCTTTGCATTCCAAGATAAGTTCCAAAAGACAGGGTCCACTAGAAAACAGGTCGAACAAATCGAATTGAAGCCAAGAAGACACAATTAAGCAAGGAGTGCCGGAAGCGTCGGATTTTTATGCGCCCGCTGTTCTGATGATGAGGTAAAGCTCATAAAATTTGCAGAGAGGTTATGCACCCACCTTGATAGGCCCCATTGTGCCAAAGAACTCTGCCAAAGCAAAAAGATCCATTCCCTGAGCCGGCAGGTTTGAAACGTAGATCGTGTTGGCGTCAGAAGGCACAGCAAGCTGCGCGCTCCGCTGTGACATCACTGAGTGCCTCACAAACACGTCTGGCACCTGTGTATCCCTCCCCATTGTTGCAATCCGTTGTGCCTGCAATGGCGCCCTATGCCAATGGAGAATGAGGGGCAGACCCCTTGTTCCTGAAAAATGGGCAAACTGTGCACGAAGCTCATAATATGTATCACAACCAAGTTAAGAGAGCAAGAAGCTCGGTTGTGGGGACACTCACATATGTTTGCCAACAGGGCCCTCAAAGAATAACGTATGCGCAGCTGATTCAGAGGCCTCGTTGGCATACAGGTCGTCTAACCGAGTGTGGTCACCGGCAAGCCCTGGCAAACCACGTAAATAACCCTCGCGCTGAGACTGAGCTGGCAGCCAAGGAGCAGTGCTCATGGCTGAAGAGTCCGATCGAGAGGAGTCTGAGCAGCTACAGAGCTCTGCATTTAGCAGAGTAGGGACCAGCTTTGGGGGCGCAAAGGAGCAAGGCAGGTTTCTCAAGACGAGCCTCTCGCATTAGTCAAGCCTCAAGTGCAGTATTGAGTGAGTTGGTGGTTGCTACATCTTCAAAGCCGTAAGAGCGGCACCCTGAGTGTGCTTGTGTTTTAGTAAAGTTTGGGATAGAAACCAACTCGATCATCAACTTGATCAACTTGTACTGCCTTGGCTGTAATTGAGTGATTGTCCCGCCGTTCGGCAAGGGGACATTCGTCTACTCAGAAGTTACACGAAGCAGGTGTGTGAAGACGATAGAAGGTGCGAAAGAGCAGACATAGCGGAACAAGAGGAATCCAAGCATGGGAGACCTGAGTGTCCTCCATCTGCCGTCGGGCCCGACGGCCGCGGTTGCAAAATTGCACCCGGTCGTCCTGTTTAACATCAGTGATGCATACATCCGGCGGAATGAGGGCCAGGAGAGAGTGATTGGAACGCTCTTGGGGACAGTGAGCAGCGACGGCACAGTGGAGATCAAGAATTCATATGCAGTGCCTCACAAAGAGACGAGTGATGAGGTTAGTGGGTCTGGCGGGGCTTGATTGGATTGCTCCCTCACAATATGGTAATGGTTGCCTTTATATGGCAGGCACTCTGTGGCGCCTTTGGTAATGGTCGCGTGATAATGTGCTGCCGAGGCCACAGAAAGCGATTGAAGGGTGTACTTTTGCGTCCCCTCCTCCTTGATCGCCAGGGCTCTTAAATAGAAGAGTTCAGTCCTAGAATGTGCAGAATGAATGGCTGGTGGTGTTTTTGAGGCAATTGAGAAGAGACGCTGGTGTCATTCTATGCAATCTCTGGAACCAACTGCCGAGTCGATTTGGGCGGGTCTCACATGAAAAGTTAACCTGCAGGTTGCGGTTGACATTGACTTCCACCAGCGGATGTTTGATCTGCACCACCAAGTGAACCCTAAAGAAGCCATCGTCGGCTGGTGAGGATCGTAGCCTTTCAATTTTGGACCCATGCAAATCATTATTTCAAGGCTTGGCTCATCAGCGTTGCAGGCACCTGCGGGAAGGCCTCATGGAGGATTGAGCTGTTTTGATTGAGATAATCTGGGGCATCCTTGATGGCCCCTGAGCGGATTCATGAAGTTGAACGTGCCTTTTGCACGGAACTGGCTTTCAGCCTTGCAGAAAGTTGGTGGGGCAAAACGAGGTTTCCAAAAAGGTGATTGCATAATTTCGAGGAAGTCATTTAGAAAACTTATGTTATCAGAAGCCACAGATTGAACATGAAAGCAGGAAAAGTTTGGAAAGTTCATCGACTCTCCCGTCAGATCAAATTCGTACATGCTAAAAGTAAGGGCTAGAAACTCCAAACCTTGACCTCGAATTTCCCCCTCCCAAACCTTGACACATCATGTCGCCCCATTTGCAGGTACTCCACTGGCGCCGGGGTCAGTGTCAGTGACGCCCTGATCCAGGACTTCTACTCACGGGAAGCAAACAATGCGATCCTGTTGACGGTGGACACGGCGTTCACGACCGAGAAGCTGAAGCTCAAGGCGTTTGTGTCGACGCCAGTGCAGCTGGGGGACCGCCAGCTGGCGGCGCAGTTCCACGAGATCCAGCTGGACTTGCGGCTCGTGGAGGCAGAGAGAGTTGGCTGTGAGTAGCAGCATTTCCATCCGTGTCTAATTTTTGGGGGAGCAAGCAGTTAAAAGGGTGCGCGGTGTGGGCCACGCATTTCAGGGACATATGGCTTGACCTACACTGGTGGGAGATGGGGGGGGCGTGCTTTTCGGTCTTGCTCTCGGACGTCATCTGAAAATGAGCTCTTGGGGATGTGAATGAGGTGTCTGGTGGCCCCAGAATTCCACAGGGCGCAGCTTGAGCTGAAGTTGATGGAGGCAGGAAACCGTAAATATGACCGGAGCCACCAGTTGTTATCCCAGGCGCTTGTTTGCCCAGTCACTTCTCGTGTTTCACGACTGGGCACAGTAGTCAGCAGGGTAATGAGCGTCCTCTCTCCACCGAGTCACAAGACAGTTATTGATGTTCGGTCAAGGTCCTGAGATCTTGAGAGAGCTGGAGCTGGTCTTTGCCCCAGTGGAAAACTGTACAGTAAGCATGGTTTCATGCAGAGTTGGAATCTTGTCTCCTTGGAGGGACTTGGCTGAAGGAGTTCTTATTGTGCAACTTACTGGCGGTATGGCAAGGGGTCTGGTTGTCAAGATGAAAGATCATTATAAATAGACCCCAGATACTTGAGGCCCCCTCATGGTGCAAATTGCGCTAGTGTGCATGGGGGTTCTGATTCTGTTCTGCAAGCCGTGAGAGGCTTGATTAGATCGAGGTCGACATCTCTTTGCAAGTCGTCCTGGCCCTAGCTTCTGGTTATGGCAGCTTCTGTTGCTTTCTGGGCAAAGAAATATTCTTTCTCTGCAGACTCTGGATTGCAATGATGTTACCGATTGCTTTGACTTCATCCAAAGCCGTCTTAGCTATTGAAAAGTTTGATTTACCTCCCACCGGAACTCCTGTTCATTGAATCTCTCTGAGGACGCACCATAAAATCTGACGTTCGGAAATTCAGATTCGACCCTTCTTTTTCATAATTGACTTGGCGGTTTGAGTTTGAACGGGGACTGGATATGGTGCCGAATTGCTCACTGTGTAACTTGCTTCCACAGTCGAGGTGTTGAAGGAGACGCAGACGGATCGGCTGCCGAACGAGATCGAGGGGCTTGAGGCAACGGTGGAGCGGTTGCGAGGGATGGTCGATACTGTGGCGCAGTATGTCAACAAAGTAGTGGTGAGTTCCAGCATCGTTCCTCTTACCTCCCAGTAATGGTGTTCTACTTTTGCTGCCGATCAGGGGGGCAGTAGGTCACTGAGGTAGAGATATCCGAAGGTGGTCCATGTCTCTCCATTATTTGTTGGACCTGTCACCAGCGGATCAAAATGTTATGTACCAAGCGAAAGTCTTACGAAATTTTACGCAGTACTTTGACAGGCTCCTTTTCGGTGACCTATGCGCAGAAGCTTGAAAGGGGTTGGTGAGGGCTTTGTAGTGGCTGGTGTTTTCGATTTGTTAGATGCCTTAGTTGCTAAGTCGTTTCTGATAGAGAGTTCGTGCTGGGAACCTCGTGTGCTTCTAGCTTCGCTTATGGCCCGTTTGGTTAGGTTGATGGCCTGTTTGCCTAGATCGAAGAGTCTCGGCCTTTAGTATTGTTCAATGAGCAAGCTCACAAACAAACTCGGATCCCGCTCGTATGTCATCCGCCGAGCAGCCGTTGTCGTGCTCACCGCACCATAATCTTAGCAAAGGTTATTTCAAGTCTATCAAATAGAGGTGCGGATGTTGTAGCCTTCTAAATTTGAAGTGACGCTCGTTGACAGGACGGAAAGATCCCGGCGGACAACACGATCGGGCGGTACCTCGCAGACACGGTCGCTGTTGTGCCGAGAATAAACCCCGAAAGCTTCGACTCGCTCTTCAACGATAGTGTACAGGTAGGTCTTGGGCTATCACGTTGCTTGATCATGGTGTTGTTTCTGAAAAACCTGCGCTGGTTTGCTTCGGGCGTGTCAGCGAATCTTGGATGAAGAGCTCCCGGATACCGCCGACAGGAACAAGCGCCTGGGTTTTTTGTAGGATCATGAGATGCTTCTGCACGCCTCTTGTATGCTTAGTTCGAAGGCTCTCTTGTGTGCGCGGGCTGCCCTTTGGTTGTACCCGTTAGAAGAAGGACGGATCTGTTGGTCCTTCAAGAAAGTTGGTCAAGAGGTGACACTTGCCGAGTGAACCGCCGAGTCTGTGGTTGACGTTCCCCTGGATTGTGCGAAGACCTGAGTCATTACACAATGAACTTTGGCAGAGAATTGACCAACTGTTTCCGTTATGTGCTCACGGCAAGCTTCGACCTTAATGTGATGTCTTACCTGGAGAGCTTTTTATATTGCTGCAGGATATGCTGCTTGTTCTCTACCTCGCCAACCTCACAAGAACCCAACTAGCTCTCGCCGAGAAGCTCAACACAGCAAGCGCACCCGTGTAGACATAGAAGAGTTTTTGCTTGCTCAGTTTCTGCGCTGAGCCCATTGCTTTCGCCAAGTGCCGAAGGCATTCAGAGTCCGAGGGGTTAATTGTTTTGAGCACGTTCCAAGGGGAGGGATCAGTGAGTTTCCGAAAAAAGATGCGTCAGCTAAGGGATTTCCGGAGGTGTTCGGCGCTCGATTGCGCTGTTATGCATTCAGGGACGGTAGGAGAGCAACGAACCAGAAACTTGTCTAATCCGAGTATCGCAATAAAGTGGCTTTTTTGGCCTTTCGATCAAAGAGCACGCAAGTTGGCCGATAGCTGCTTTGAGTTGCCACAGTTCGTATGTCATGAATTGTGCTTGATGTTGTTGACATTGGTACATCCAAGTCACCCCACTGGCCAAGGTGCCACCCCGCTGATTGAAGCGCTTGGCTGCATTTTCCAACTAATGTATGGTCGAATAGTGACACGTCTGTATAGCAACTGGCCCATGTGCAGTACACGGCCTTGCCGGACTGTAAAAGTGATCTGGCTTGGATTTAGTGCGACTGCACATTGAGGCCCATGCAATTGTGCAGAACATGAGCATGGAAGTATGCGCAGAATGGCAGCTCATATATGTAGCACATGAATATGGACATTCAATGTGTTTCATGCCATGCATGACTTGACTGGTGGCTATACATGAGATGCAGGACTCAGCCATATAACTCAAACGCGCCCGGTTATATTGCACTATCGATAATCGAGCAAGATCCACACGCCCTTCAATGCACGTTTTTCTCCTTTTTGTTTACCTGAATAAGGTATACTCCTCCCAACTATGAGTACACGCAGCTGCAATTGACGAATTACATTGAATCGAGATAGTCTGGCTGCTCACATGCATGCCAATTCATGATCAGTAACACCTGACGGTTGCCATATGAGCTTCCTGTTGACATATGAGGTTCTCCCAACTTGTAGAGCCATGATCACCGCACCACGAACAACGAAAGTCAGATAGCCTCGAAATGATTCAGACTAAGCCCTTGGGCCCAGCTAGGCTGCCGCGCAAGCTTCAAGTAAGGGCAATCGTAGTGACCAGCCATCAAGCAACGTGATGCGTTTGAATGGACGCTCAGCAACCTGCAACACTGGCTAAACTGGCCTTGCACTGTCAATACAACAAAGAAGGTACTTGAGCCTCCAGAATACGGAAGAGACAACCTATGCTCAGGCCGGCAACAAGTAGCCTGGTTCCATCACAAACAATAATCGAGATGAGGAAAACAAAGGGTACCTTGAACTCGGTCAAAAGAACGAAGAAAGCAACCTGTCCACTTCTTTCCAAGAATGAGACGGTCAAGCTCGAAGCTCTTAGCTCTGAAGCAACTTCACCCTATTTCCGGACCGCGCCGAGTAACACCCTTTGCTTAGATGAGCAAGGGCGCTGCTGGCAATGATGAAAGGGAAATGACCATCTTGGCTGGAACCACTAAAAACTGCGACCTCTTCAAAGAACGGCGGAGACAGATGGCAAGGCAGAAAGATTTAAATACCTAGAAGATCTGGGACAGCCATGATCAGCGAGAAAAGGTTAAAGCAAGACGCCAACCCACCAATCATCCCAGAATAGTAGGACAAAAGCTGGACCTTAAGAAAGAATTCAGAATCTTGCGACCTCTGTGAATTGGACATTGCTGGACAACCCTTTCACTCTCATGTGAATACAACATACCAGGTTGCGGCGATGTGGGGACACTGAGATTTCTCTTGAACGTAGGACAGGAAAGCTGTATAAGAATGCACAGAAAGAGTGCCTTGGTCCAGAGAAGAGAAAGTCTCGCGGCAAGCAGAGCCTAGCACTTAGTCCCCGCTACTGCACCTTTCCCAACCTTCTCTTCAAATCCAAACGCTTAACCTACTCGTCATCCTCGACGATCTTGGTGCCGACGTTGGAGAATCCCTCGGGCGTTTCTGCGGCGGTGACATATGAGAAGAGCTCCTCCTTCGCGTCCTCATCGTCGTTACGCTTGCGGGAGATGCGCACCCGAAGCCTCCGGGGCACGTTGCGGATGCCCTTGGCCCACACCGCCTTGTTCAGCTTGGTGTCTATCCGCACGTCCTTGGTCTTCATCACCGACTCGGCAAACTGCTTGATGACCTTGATCGCCTTGGGGGCCTTCTTCTTGAACGTGCTGCATTGGTGGCATGGAAAAGCTTAAGCTTAACTCTGACATGCTTCCGCGGCCTGGCAGGCCTTCCCTTGCCAGATTCTGCCTTGAAATAGATAGGGTGAGTGTCAGGATCACTAAAATAGGAAGGAGGGGGTTGCTTATATAGAAGGGTGTGGCAGACTGCTCTTGAGGGCCGCGCCAGACGCAACGTGCCACTTGGCAACCTAGAACTTTCTCTGCCCCAGACATGAGCTGCAGCCGTATCCTCCAACAACCAGGAGTTATTGTCTCTGAAGCCCGCGGAAACTCCTCAGAATGCAAACAACTTACTACTTCACTTCTATAACGCGTTACAAACAGGTCGTGCGCCCAATAAGGAGAACTTGACTGGCTTCAAAACAATCGCTGAACCTGTACTCCATTACTCCTGTACTTCTGTAAGCTGACTCTTGCAACTCGCCAGGCCCGCTCAACCTTATGTAGCCTCTCATATACTAAAAAGCACTTTGTCAACGCACTAGCCTAACTTGTGACCCTCCACCCAGTGTCAAAGCCAGCCCGCTTGACTCAACAGATGGACGCCTCTACTTGTAAGATCAAAACTCCGCGCTTCAATGGTCCCGAATGTTTCAAGGCGGGTATTTGCCACAATGGAAAACCTACTACAATTTTAAATGCAAATTCCTGCCCCGTGGTCTTGGTATATGGCCCAACCCCAGTACGCGTGCTCATCCGAAACGCTGAACTCAAAGTCATTCTTTCCAAGGCATAATGACGGCAGGCTAGGGTCAACTTCTGTAGTGCCCGTGCTGCTATGGGGCAATTGACACTGTCCACTTTCTACAAGAACACAGGCTTGCTCCATCAATAGTGCTCGTCGCCCCCATCTTCTCTCTAAGTAAAACTCAAATGTAAGAGGACCGGCATCCAGATTACAAACATCGCACTCCTGTTATAAAGCCGGGGCAAGAAGACAGCCTGATCAAAAGCTCATATCTGGTCAGATGCTTTTTCCTTCTGCAGATTTGTAACGGCCAAAATGCCCTCCAATATGCTGGATGCGCTTCCCGCTAGGCAGCGGATATGAACAGACCATTACCGGCCAACACTTTAACGCCCCCATTAGTACTGTGTCAGCTCAAAGCATCCAGACCCCGATGGACATTAGACCGCTTGCATCTCTCCGCCACAGCCAACGCCCCTCTTTTCTCAACAAGCAAAAAAAACCCCTCACTTGCAACGCCCCCAGCCTAACTCTGCACAAACTTCTCCCCGCTCACCAGCTGTGCAGCCTCTTGTGCAGGTTGATGGTGTACTCCCGCGTGACGACCTCGCTGGTCCTGCTCTTCCCCTTTTCCACCATGGCTGCGTCTCGCTGCAGAACCCCTGGCTGTTGCTGCGTGCGCGGCAGCCACAAGAGAGGAGAGGCAGCGAAAGAGGGCGAGACAGCAAACCGTTCCCACCCTTCTTTTCCTTCCACCTGGTTTGTCGTACGGTGGTTTCCCTGTGCCTGGGAACTCTTCACTTGCATTATGTAGGGTGACGCCGAGAGAGACAAAGTCACTGTACGTAGCATCGGAGCTTCTTCACAAAGATGACCTGTGAAAACCTTCGTACGTTTGCTGTCGAGTTGGCTTGCGCCGGCAATGAACAATCCATACGGAGCCTGTTCACACTTTTCCTGCTTGCACCAAGACGCTTTAGCCGCCACAGCACGGCCTCGAGTCAGCCAGCTCCAGCGTGAGGCAAACAGCAGCATCTGCAGACTGCAGCTCAAGACTCGGGGCAAAGTTGGCCTCAGGGCCAAGGGGCGCTTCAATTTTATGCTATCAGTGCTATCACTGACAGTGCAAGCGGGTGAAAGCATGTCCCCTGCCACCGCGTGAAGACCCTCTGGCTTGCCCCGAAGAAGTCCTCCCAACTCCCGACGCTGGCACAGAGTTAGTCGCACACAGACCAGGCACCGGCATTGGCGCTTCTGCCGGGGCTCAAGAGTCATGTCGTCTGCGGTGACCGTATGCTCGGTGGTCCCCTTGAGAGAAGTTTCTGCAGTTGGGGCTGGTGGCAGTTTGTTGCGCGACGGACACGCGCTCATGACTATACCGCACAACGTTAGGCTGCCAATTCACGCCAGGGCGCCAATTCACACCGGGGCGCCACATCACGCCTCGCTGTCACCTCGCCCCAGTCTCCTCTCTCCTTCCAGAAGGATGGACCCTCCTACGAGGCGAACGTCACCCAGGAGGGGGGCGCAGCGCTACGCTGACGTCAGCAACGCGGCGTGCCCGTGTCAGCGGCGCCAGAGGCTCCTGCAAACCGTCATGTGGATGCTTCCCCGGGACACTCAAACACAGGGGAAATTGGCACTTCTATTGAAGGCATCTCAAGTTGCTGCGGGGGGGTCGGCAGGATTTGCTAGC